TACTACAATCACCATTCATCTACTGAACATCCTAGTAGCGATGTAGAGCACCAGCTTGAGTCACCTGAAAACAAAAAAATCAAACTTGACATTCCACGGGCTACATTAGGTGAATCTCGATGTTTCATTTGTAAAATGTTAAGAGAGGAATGTAAAAGTAAAATGGTAATGCTCTCAACAGAAATGCGAGTAAAGATTTTTATTAAGACAGGTATCCTTGTCCCAAACACCTGCAGATGTTGTTCTTCCCACATAGTGAATGGTGATTTCCCATCTGATAGTCTATCTTCACTCGCATATTCCAGCAAAGACACTGAACTGGATTCTTCTGAAATATCAGAGATCCTTTTGACACTTAGGGCAGCTGCTTCAAAGAAAAGTTGTTTAGACTTTGATTCCTCAGATGGATTAACTGATCAAGATTACTACCGTCTCACAGGTCTGTATAAAAATCAATTTTCTGACCTTTTACGATCAGTTAATCCCTCTCTTTACTCTACACTGAACAGAAGCGCAAGGACTGCATTAGCCATCCTGCTTGTAAAGTTGAGGACTGGCATGTCTTTATCAATATTAGCTTCTCTGTTCAACATGACAAAGATAATATGTGGAAAATGTATTCATTCAGCTCGCCAAGCATTGATGACCCACTTCGTTCCTTCACACCTTGGCCTGCAACACATCACTAGAGAACAAGTAATTCAAAACCATACAACGGTATTTGCAAGGAAGATGTTTGCCTCTGGTGAAGATGTCGCTATAGCTGTTGCTGATGGCACATATATTTATGTTGAAAAGTCCAGCAACTATACTTTCCAACGACGCTCTTTTTCGATGCACAAAGGACGCCCTCTCCTGAAACCAATGCTTCTTTTGGCCTCAGATGGCTATATACTGTCTGTCCTAGGCCCATATTTAGCAGACGGTCGAAATAATGACGCCAACATTACAAAACACATGTTGAAAACTAACACTGAGAACATCAAGGATTGGTTTCAAGATGATGATGTTCTTGTCGTTGACAGAGACTTCAGAGATGTGACAGAACTGTTGAATGATGCTGGCATCAAAACAGAAATGCCATTTTTCTTGCCAAAGGGGCAGAAACAACACACACATACTGAGGCTTGTAACAAAGGTAAGGTGGGTTGTGGAGTCGGCAAATGGGCGGATTAAGCAGTGGAAGACCTTGGTACATGTTTTGCCCAACACTCTCATTCCAGTTGTAGGTGATTTTGTGAGAATTGTGTGTGCAATTTGTAATGCTTTTCGCCCCCCACTTGCCTCTGATTCTCCCAATGACCTCATCATTGCTGAGCGAATGTTGGCTCTGTCAAAATGTCCCAATAAATTGCAAATTCAAGTTGAAAAAGAAGGTTTGGCTAGGAAAAGAGCCATATGGGTCAAGCTTGATGAGGCCAGTTTGCCTGACTTTCCTCAGCTGACAGAACCGGAGTTGAGAGATCTTACCATGGGAGTATATCAGTTGAAGCAGGCAAAGTCATATACCATGGAGCACTTGTCTGAAGATGGCCAGTATGAATTAATGGCATGCAGGGAAAAGCCTGGCTTAATTAAAGTTCAGATTCGTTCCAGACATGTTGCTTCGAAACTGTACAACCTGTGGATTGAGTATTCCCCTGGTTTGACTCCTATATCTGGTTGGTATTGCCAGTGTAAGGTTGGTGCCAGGGTAGTGGGCTGCTGTGCCCATATTGCATCTGTTCTCTGGTACCTTTCTTATGAGCGACACCAGCCTAGGATAGCACACCCAACTGCCTCATCAAGCTACCTCAGCTGTGCTGATGACGCAATGATGATTGAGGACTGGTCTGAGTCTGACAGTGACAATGAGTAACTAACTATGTGTACGACCATTGTATGTATAGTGGAGTGAAATGCAACACTAGAGGTTAAGATTGATATATTTCATTAGCCATTTCTGTGTTAATACTTCGGTAAAACCACTAGATACAGACATATGGTCAAAGTTGTCGAACTAAAATTCAAAGCACCGCCTCTTCTTTGTTTTCTTTAAAGTATGCAAAAATATTTCTTATTAAAACATGGTACATGATAAAGGTATTGTTTTTATGTACATTAAGGCAGAAAATTAAGTTCATCTTTAATATAATTCGCAATTAATGAGCTTAATTACCATGACCTACTTTTCAACAATGGAATATTTTTTCAATCAATTTTACTAATGAATGTTTTGATATGGATTATTACATGAAAATTAAGAAGAAAAAATCCAAAAATATAATGTAGGTTTGTCATAATGGAGCTGTTTATGAATTTTACCCCCACTTTACCCCCCCCCCCCCCCCCCATAACTAATGAATGGCTCAGATCTGACCTTAATTTTATGTCATATCATGACCGCCTAACCCCAAGGAATTCCTACACAAGAAATAAAAAATATCGGTCATGGCCGCCAGAAGGCCCAAATTGGCACTCCTCCTTTCTGTATCAGTAAAGAACACACTACCCAACATATTACAGAGTGCAAAAAGATGCTTGCCGGCAAAGCATGTTTCATTTATGACACCATATATGCCATACCATGAAAGTTCAATGCTTTAGTAAACCATGAACCACATTCTTTACAAATTATATCTCACAACAAAAGATGTGTTAACAGTCTAAGTCACTGCAGTTGATGTACTCCCATCCTAGCTTACAAAATGAGATTGTCCAATTATGACATTTATGAACTATTATCGACAAAATATCAACACTGACAATGCAAATAAAAAAGAATTAGTTTTGAGATAACAAAACAAATCCGGTTCCCAAATGCTTCGAATTTGTCCTCTGTGATTACAACTTCCGGTCACATTATCTAAACAAGTGGTTTATATTTTAGTCCAAGCCTTATTTGGAAACAAGTACGCACGTCCCAGGTTATAAAAGGCTTGTAACCTGTCAAACAGGTTATCATTATTTCATTGACGGTGCAACTATATATATATACAATGGATAAGAGCATACATTTACTCGCTTTTTGTTTTGTTTTATCTCAAGATGCACTTTTCAAAACTTGCGTAGTCATCTTTAAACGGGGAAGTCCCGCACTTTTACATGTACATTCTATTCTTAAGTATGTTTCACCTTTAAAAGACAAAAATAATTCAAAAGAGATTCAATGTTCCGATTACATGTGACCCATTTGATAAATGGGACGATATGCGACTCAAGTGAAGCAGCGGGTAAAACGGAAGTATAATAGGTGTGATATCACCGCTATATGAGTATGAAGCATGTAGTTACCTGTACTACGTGTGAGTGTGTGGAGGGGGAAGGATGGCTAAGTGTAATATATTGGATTGTGGTCTAATTACAGACAGAAAGTACCGATTAATACGAAATGTAAAATGACCACCATGACGTTACATAATATTTATGATTACAATAAATCTGCACTCCTTATAACATCCTGTCCACCTATTCATATCTTATATGGGCAATTTCCTAATAATCTTTAGTTGTATAATATGCATAAGTAAAACGATCGCTATAGTGTCCAAGGTTATAGAACATTAAAAAAGCTATTGATATACCAATTTGGTAATAAACTTTGGTTTGGTTTTATAATCATTTGATTTAACAATTAATATCGATCGGATATCGCTATATTTGTATTCAGGTATGACCTTTTGATATAAGTTAATTGAGTTTTCGACTGGTGTATCATTATAGAAAATTTCAGACATTAATAGGACGTAATCGGACATATTGTTAGGAAAGTGATGTTTCTCAATTTACTTCTTGCAAGCCATAAATAAAATAAATAACATGTACAAGCATTCACATTGAACGAAATGGCTAATACAATCTGATACCTGTGTTATGTTACAAATCTTAACGCTCGACTGATATACTCCGATTTCGCTCAGTTACAGGTAAAATATGTTTTTTTCTCGCACCTGCTAATCTTAAAAGTATTCAATATTTCATCAGAGTTTGGCATATCCCGTGGGAGCCTCAATCTACGCGCCTTTTCACTTCTACACATTTTTTGGATGGTGCCGCGTAAACAATGTAGTCCGCACTTACACAAAAAACACACATTACAGTGAAGAGTTTCTATTTCATTTTAGATATGATTAATTATATAGAACATCGTTCTAACAATGTCTTGCCGAGAAAAAACTTATCACAAAGGTGACCTGGTTGTTACATCTTCCGCATTCTTGAATGTGTCCAGATTCCAGATCGGGAATTTGTAATAATAAGCTATATATAAAGCATTCAAAAGGAGAAACAGAACATAGTCAAACGATGAGACATCTCAAACATTATAGTTTGACTTGCTCTACAATTTAAAAGACGGGTGCCGGCATTATAACGCGGCTCAGCTAAGCCTAGTATGGACGGGGGACGTCACTACAGAAGTAAGTAAAGTTATCAATAATTGAAAATAGGCATTTATGAATGAGAAAAGGTTCGTCGTTAATTTTTAAATGCACATCCGTTCAGTCATTATATTTTTTTTTACACAGTAATGTCATTCTAAATACTTTTACAAAGATAATAGAAGAGAAACAGACCAGCTTTATTGTAGTTTATGATCCGACAGGCAACTTATCAGTTAAGTTTAGTAAAATTAGAAATTTTTAAGTTGTTAGTTTACCGGATGTTAATTACTAATCATCTCAACTCCATGAAGCCAGCTATTGATAGTGCTGTAGCTCAGTCTCTCTCGGATAGTTCTGTCTTTACCTCAGCTGTGAACACTAGAGTAGAAGAGGTGTTGATCCCCCTAAGGGATGCTATTAATAATCAGGGTTCTCAAGTTAAGTATTTGACTGAAACTGTTGACAAACTATTAGTTGATTGTGATTATCATCAGCAGTACTCGAGGCGCACAGTTCTCAGGTTCCACAATGTTCCAATATCAGGTCATATTCGGGAGTTAGATACCATACTGCTGTTCTGGATATATATCGAGAAATTGGGGTTTCCTTGTCAGAAGGGGACTTGTCCAGAAGCCATACCTTCGGTAAAGTTCGGAACAACAACGTAACTGTTCATGTCCGTTTCCTGAGGTATACTGACCGTCAGAAAGTATATAAGGCTTAGTCGAACCTGAAGAACAACCCAAACAAAACATTCATAAATGAGAGTCTCACTCAGTACCGACAGAGTGTTGCCAACAGGCTAAGTGAGTAATGGTAAGGCCAGTTTATACACTCGCACTGGACATGATGTGCAGCTTTTCGTCATGTCGACATCTGAGTCGCCCAAAACGCGTGTAACATCGCACACTTGTGTAGATCGATTCAGTGATATCAGTGCCCAAACTCAGCAGCCCAATCCGTCCTGCCCGTCATCTAAATCTTCCCAGGCATCCCAACCACTAGAACCGTCCACATTGCATATGCCCCAGTCATCTCAACTTTCCTCATCATTCCAGCCACCACAGACTCTGGATCAGTTCTTTGAGGCATTGTACCAGTGAGTTGGCCCTATCAAATCAAGTAACAGTAACGAGACTGTATCAGACAGCACTCACATGTAGTGCATCACCGTGACCTGTTGCACTCACATGTGTTGACTGAAAACTGCTAATATGTCAGTAAAGTGACACCAAAACGCTTGAGAAATTGATATTATAGTTGATTTGAAATATGATATGCCCGTTTGTATTTGAAATGATTCCCCGATTGTACATTTGTACATGAATGTTGTTTTGCACCCCGCTTCGTGTAAAAACATAAACTTTAAAGCGGCTATTACCTTATATTTCAACATCGGGAAATGGAGAATTCGGCTTATGGATAATAAAATATATCCATAATAAATTGATGCAAGCGCCTATAACGTCAAATGTGTTGTTTTTGTACATAAAATCCGCGTCGGAACATTGTTTATCTTGACTATTGTTTATAAGCATGTTCACGCTCGGTTGACTACGAAGAAAGCCGAGTGGGTCACGTGGCTTGTCACGTGACGAAGTCATTTACTTCCGCCTCGAAGAAAAAATAGATTACGAGGTAAACCAACGTACATGTCTGATGTATGTTCACGCTCGGTTGACTACGAAGAATCCCGAGTGGGTCACGTGGCTTGTCACGTGACGAAGTCATTTACTTCCGCCTCGAAGAAAAAATAGATTACGAGGTAAACCAACGTACATTTCTGATGTATGAGACTGCTTTTTGGGCCCCACCTTGAAGTCAACAACAAACACACGTTGTCGATGGCAAATTCAATCGAATAACACAACTATTTTCATTCAACATTTATCAGATAATACTATTAGTATTGTTGTTCATAACATATTCACGCGTCAAACACTGGATAATGGATTATAATCGATGACAGGCGAATACGTTATAATTATAGGACTAACGTTAAGCTAACCAGTCGGGCAGCAGTTTCGCAAATTCCGAATCCGTATTCAGTCCAAGATCCTCCTTCATCTTTCGCCATCTATCGATCACCTATGTAATGTTAATTCTTGCGTGTCCTTTTTTTCTGGTCTGACTCCTTCCTCTTATGCTTTCTGGCCATTTCTGTAAGGTAACTTTTAGGTCCTCGTCGCTTTTTCGTATTTGCGTCCGCCATATTGCTTCTTTCTACGCTTATACGCATGCGCACCATCAGAGTTAGGAGCGTTAATGTATGAATTCGATCAGGACCGCAATGTTTACATTCTCTTATTTTTAGATATCAATAAAAATGGTTGCAGTGACTTTTAATTTTAGTAATTAACAGAAAGTCTTATGTTTGTAACATACTCTTGGAAAATAGAACGTTTTATATCGTTTTCTCGTATTTTTTTTTTTAATTTATAGTCGCTTTAAACAATAATTTAATTTGCTATCAATATGTATATATTTATCTGGTTAACTTATTTCAATTACTTTATACGTCTTGTACCATTGTACACTTAAAATATATTTGAAAATGGGATTTTTTTTTGTGTGTCATAGAATAGCGATCGGTACCTTTCATTCTGAGGTCTACGGAAGATGTTTGATGACGTCATTTATCCCTTTTTGTTTTGGTGTAAACTCTTTTTTAAAATTGCTTCATCGATAGCATAACTCTCTATTTTCGTTAGCTTATCAGTTTAATAGGATCTTTTATTATTTCCGAAATTTTAAATTTTCAATGGTTTTGTTAATATTAATCCTACAGCGTATGGATGTCGAGACCAATCCTGGTCCAAGACTTGGCGAGCTTTCCCTATTTCATTTCAATGTTAGGATTGTTGGACATAAATTAGAGTACATTGAAGACATGGTAAATGAATATGACGCGTGTTTAACCGAAGCTCATTAAGATGATCAGGTTACTACCAATGCTTTATGTATTGAAGGTTTTCATTCTCCTTTAAACTTGATAGACATTTTGCCGGCGGTGGTATTTTGGTCTATATGAGTAGTCTTTTGAAAGTTGATCGTTTGTCTGAATTAGACTATCATGGTGATGAGGCGATATGGACCAAAATTAGCCTTCCTCACTCTATTTACATTATTGGAATGGCTTATAGACCAGAAAACTCCAACGTACCGTTTTGGGAAAAAGTCAGGGTATCTGTAAATAATGTTCTCGATATATTTCCTGATGTTATAGAAACTGGGGATTTAAATGTTGACGTCTTCACTGCTTCAAATAATCACGTGCTGTTTGATATCATTAACTCCTTGTCACTGACTAATGTTATAAAGGATCCTACTGGACGTACTAGATCAAGCTTACTTGATCCTATACTATTATCAAACTCCATTTCCTGTATTGATTCTTCTGTAACTTCTATTGATAGAACAGTCATATACAATATATATATATATATAAGGTATCACATATCATGTGACTCTGTAAGTTGATAACCAATTGAATGTATAACTCATCACAATATTTCATATGCTATAGAAAATGTTGTCGGGCATAGTCTGTTCATCTGATCTACTCGTTATGCTGTTCAGACTAGGCAAACGTTGCCATGTGTGCAACCTTAGAAACATCCGCATTTATTAATCGTAATATTTAACACTTCAAAATATTCATATTGCTGTGTATCACTGTGTACACTATTCTTGTCCAGTCTTACTGAATTAGTTTGATTTATGATAATGTTTACATATTAATATCTTCTTACTGTTTAATGTAAACAAGTCGCGAGAAATGTGATAATCAAGATGCTAGATCGTATTCACGAGCAAACAAAAAAGTTATTTTTATGAAATATCTCATCCCGGAAGTTTTGTTCTGTGGTATTATAGGACAGTAACCTGAAACACTGTCGGGTTATTATCTTATAGAACGACATCGTCTTAACATTCACTGAATGATCTCATAAAACAAAGTCATTGGAGTGAAACTACTCAGGTTGGATATGTTCAACTAATGCATTAGATAACATATTGCACGATGAATGTTATTTAAAAAACATCTAAATGTCAGCCGAGAGACAATAATCAATATCAGCATAACTACTTAGTTCAAAAGCATAGAATTATGGTAGGAATATAAAGTTTTTTTTTTTTTATTTTGTGATTTTGCTTTCACTCATGAAAATTCATGAATCTGCTAGCCTGTATTTAGAGCTATTCGAAAGTTCAAATTGAACGCTAACCAAAATGTTGCATCTTACAGTTTGCAAATATAAAAAACAAATTCTATCAACTATGAAATCATATTGCATTACTTTGTGTATGGCATGTTGGGTAATGGATCGAATATCCCTAAATATTTATACTCAATAGCTTATCATATATGAATATCAACAATACAATCGAATATTATATATATATATATTACATACAACTGGCAATCTGGGATCATGTTGTCAGTTTGTTATCAATCTACCGGTCTCGAAAATTGGAAACGTTATTGCATAAAATTCAGTTTTATAAGATGTTTCATTAGCTGGCAAGAGACCATTTGTGTAGGTAACTGTTTGCATTCATCAGAGTTGACTGAATAGCAACAAAGTCATGATTCGACAGACGCGTTTGAAGGTTTAAGTGTGTTTTTGTTTGCCGAGATCCGCCTGTAATAAACTCTTTACGAGGATTCGTAGGAGGCATGTGTTTAGCTCCGGGACGGCAAAATTCATTTAGCTTTCCATTTCGGTGTCAGTTGCTTGACAGGTAAATATGATATGATTGTTTCTATTCTACATCGGGACACGCCAATCCTTGTACTTGTTCGTTTTTCTTTAAAGAATGGAATGTTGTGTCGGTTAGTTAGTAATGTATATATATATATTGAATACACCTAAAACTTACAAAGTCATGTTTCGCTAACTACAAGGCCATCATTTTCAGATAAACGACCAGTAAGGAGCGTATTTGTTCTGGGTATACACCGACTGCTGTATTATGTAGTATACACTGAAGCGGAAAGTAGTGAGACGAGATGACGACAAAATTATGAACACTCCTGTACCTTTTTAGTATCGGTCCGCTGATGCGTATCAAGATAGCTTCTTTGCTATATAGGTGTTTTCATTGTAGAGAAGTGCATTGCTGGCTTTAAGCTATTATGAAAAGTTACACTACATTAAGACTGGCTATTTCGGCCTTAAACTACTATGATATATATGGCACATGTAAAGGATTAACACAAATTACTGTAATACATTGTCATGATTGTGATGAAAATGGCAATTCACAAGTTTTGCTTTCAGCGCTTTTTGCATTGGAATGCATTTGTGTGCGTTTGAAGAAAGGAAAAATACGGTTTGCTAAATGTATGCTTAATCTTTTATTTCATTCATTGCAGAAGATAATACAATATATAGGTTTGCAGATGACCTAAGAACCACAGGGATTTAGCATGAATTTCTAACCCACGGTCCATGTATATGTATTATAGTGACACAGGGACATGGCACCAATTTCCAACCCACGGTCCATGTATATGTATTACAGTGACACAGGGACATGACACCAATTTCCAACCCACGGTCCATGTATATGTATTATAGTGACACAGGGACATGGCACCATTTCCAACCCACGGTCCATGTATATGTGTTATAGTGACACAGGGACATGGCACAAATTCCCATCCATGGTCATATATAAGCACTGTAGTGACAAGGGGCGTATCTGTCGACAAGTGGAGACATATTTTTATTTAGTTTAATCTTTCCAATGAGTGTGCGAAGAACCAAAGAATACTGACAAATCATACTTCAGTATTACAAACATTTAGACTGCATATAAATACGGAACTTGCTCGTTAAGTTTGGATTCCTGAACTTCACGAGAATATCATTTACGTGTTATTGCCGGCTCGTATATTTCTTCAACTTAACTTTATTAAAAACTTCTTACTACCATTCTGAGAACTGTCAAATAAGAGTTTCAGTCTTATTGTGTAAGTGTTTCCTTAGGAAGTGGTTTGAGTATATTGATTTTGAAGACATGCATGGATATTTTGACTAATCATCAACACCCTTGTTTAAAATAAGTTTCTATAAATACATGATTTTTTCCTACTATGTATCTTGTAAAAATACGAAGGTTTTTCTGAAAAAGATAGCTCTTTGTTAAAGAGACACAAGTGAATTATGAGTTTTAATATTACTGCTAGTATGACAGGGTGACTGATGATATTTCTTCTATAAAAAAACATTTCATCTTGCATCTCTTCACGCTGCCATACCCTATTATACACTGAAGGAACGTATTCGTTCTAATAGTATGAGAGCTGACTTCTAAATAAATAAATAAACAAATAAAAAGTGTGAACACTGGAAAAAATATATGGTTGTGAACTATTATTCTTATGAAAAAAACCCGTCAGAATCAAGGAAGAAATATACGGAGGACGAAATCCTAAAAATTATCAAATTCCTGCTAGCAACATCTCCACCGCGTGATGTGCTCAGAATAATAATCCAAACTAAAAGAACTACCTAAAAAAATAAAATCAAATGTTCCGGAAGAGAAAGCGTCTTTACTTCATCGACGACGCCCTTCACCTAAATCTTCATCTATCCAAGAAAGTGATCACACGTTCCAAAATGAGAACAAGGTATACACTAACGGAACCAACATGCCCTGTTTGATGTTCGATAGTTGGCCTGTTGTTTCCGTTGTTAACTTTGTTCTTATTTGAGAATCTGATATCATATACTTGGATTGACCTAGATTTACTTGACATGTATCGTCGAGCTGTATAATAAGCATGATTATTTCAATTGTCCTATTTAAAATTTTCCACTTCTTGTTAGCAACATCCCTGCATCTCCAACCAATGATGTTTACATGTTGCAGTTGATTCGATATTCAAACCTGTTCCTATTATCACGATTTTCTTCAAAGAAGTCGTCAAATGCCAGACAAATTCGTAAGACAGGGTTTCTAAACATGCAGGTTGATGAAGATATTGGGAAGCTGTACCGTCGTCATAGTGATCTCATTGAAAAATATTTCATTTCTTTGTGCTGTATGAAGTAAGACGTGTTAGATGTTCGTTAGTTTGCCTGTTGATTCCGTTGTTGTTTACTTTGTCCCTTTGGCAGTACTTAGATTTACAAAGATTCACATTAATTTAAGGTTACGTTACGATCATCTTGAAATATTGGCATTTTCTTATTGTTTTTCTAATAACTGTTCGATATTTACAAGATATACGGCATGAAATAAATATTCTGTTCATATTGAAAGACATTTTTATATTTTGTTAGATCCCGAGTTTGGTGATATCAGACGAACTGCCAGAAAACAGAACAATGAATCATATCAACCAGTCTCGTACCTCCGTGACGTCAGTGACAGGAGAAGTGTTTCTACTGGGATGGCATACGATAATTATGCCATCAATGACGACCTTTCTGATGGGACCCCTAACTGGAACTTAATGGCATACAACTCCAAACGACGATGGAGTAAATCTAGCTGGCCAGGGGTAATTACCAATACCGATAATAAAATAATTATTAGGTCTGCCTCTTCATAGATCTGTATCAAAGGTCATGGCAAAATTAAATGTTCCATGTGCCACCTCTTGTGGATAAGACGAAGAGACTAGTTTGATTTTTTGATGTACAAGAATTTCGAGAACGTTTATAAGTCTGTGATCGGTCAGTTTTTGTTTTCTACTGAAATATTTTCTAGACGAATCAAATTACTCAAATTAATCAATGGTGCCTTCAATTTTGCCAGGAAATGTTACCGTGGTGCAAGGTGTGAATGTAACCTCTAGCATATTGAGGATCTATGACGAAAATCTGATAATGGTGGGTTATTCAAATCGTTCTTTGAACGTCGTCCGCCCAGCGTACGTTTGGATATTCGTCTGGTCATGAACAATTATTTTCATCTTGTGAAAGTCCTTGGATAGCTCAATTTATGACTAACCGAAAATACAAGATGGCTATTTCTGAAGACTAGACTGTCATTCTCATATCTCTTGTATAATTGTTTGTTGGTCCCTATAAATGCTCTTTATTGCTAGATTTTTGACAGCTATAATTTGTTATAAAGCTAACTTTAAAGAACTAATTAAGACCAATCAGTCGTGGACGCCGATCTTCCAACTAATGTCTACTCAAACCTTGTCAGTATAAACTAAAGGATTTACCTTCACTGTCTCAATATGTAGTGTTAATATCCATGAGTAGTTGTACCATCATTTGTTGTTATTCTAAGAAAAGAACATTGACAGGCAATATCTGCTGTATAATCTTATTCACTCTCTTTTGTCATTATAATAAATGAAATGAAAAGAACACAGTTTAGTATTAACGTATTAATGATGACGACTGATTTATTTTGAAACTACAGATATATGAATCAGACAATGATAGTTCTGTACGACACCACACTCAGCCTCAACGGTCCTATCATTCGCCCAGAGACAGAAGGAGAAGAAACCCAAAAGCCTTACTTTCAATTCTGACAGTATCAATGGTATTAATGGTAATAGCGACCCCACTGCTGATCGTCTTCGTCTTCAGAGAAAGTAAGTTAACATATTCCTTCTTTACTCTAATTCTAAAGAATGTATGCACTAATCAAAGGTGAAAATTATGCTGAAAAAATGTGGTTGTGGCCATTTGATTTTACGGAAATCACCGTTTTCATCATTTTTCCAAGATATTCAGGTGTTTACTTCATTTATGATAATGATGGAACAAGAAACAACTTATTGTCAAATCTGTATTATGACGTGAACATTTAATCAATCTCTCCAATCAGATATTTTAACCATGTTGGTTTTACGTTTTCATTGTGTAACGACTTTTCGCGGCGATTTAAATTCGCGATTTACAGTCATAAATATTGGTATTTAAGAACCGGTTTTCAGAGTGAGTCACCAATTCACACATAAATATTGGTCATTGCGAAAACTCAGTTGTGATCACTCCTTTTTTCCGTGCGCATGTCTTTTCTTATTGAGCTGGTGTTTATACAAAGTAAGCACGCGAGTTTGTTTTGTGAGTCAGTTTGACTGATTATTGCCAAGTCCAACGATCATCATGTCAAAAAGAAATGTGAGCTGCAACCTCAGGGTGTATGTGGGTAATAAAGGATGAAATGAAATCACAATTTACTCAAATCTCGTGCAGAAAAAGCAAGAGTTCAAATATGTTACATGTATGTGTCCACTGACCTCAAAATGTCGAATGTAAAATGCACGTATTTCAGTGGGTTGTAAGTGCTTGGACAAAAGAAAATTTGGCCCCAGATATTAGGAAAGTATGGTATCGTTCAGGTCTTTCTGCATGTACTTTTAATGATGTTTGCATAAAAAACCGTTGGAATCTTTATGACTTCCGGTAATGGTTTACATGACGTGACATGCTGTGCATGTACTTTCATGGCTGTCTTGTGAAATATGTATTCGTTTCTCACTTTATTTTAAAAGTAAATAAAGAGTATGTTAATATTGTCGTTTGTTAATATCTTTCCTGTATGAAATCAACAGTTTCACGACATGTATTATACGCCAGACATCAGACGGTCGACTAGAAACACGAACCCAAGATTACTTGTAAAAATCCTACTGTACCTGTAATTGAAACTATTTTCTCGACGATTATTTTTTGTGAATCTTAACCGTCTGCGAAAATTAATCGAACGCAAAAAGAAGTTATTTTACAGTATTAGCAAACGTTTCATACCCAAAGTAACCATTCAAATTTTATGCGATGCAGTATAGGAACATTATGTATTAAATTTTCACCTGAGGTTGAGGTTAAGCATTAATAAAACTGAAAACAATAATGGCCACACCAAACAGTGTGAAAAATTATTATCAGTTAAAGATATACAGTTCTTCACAGTTGAAGAAGCTGATGACCAAAGGGAGATAATTGAAATAGCATAATAGAAATAGATGATCAACACAAAAGAAGAACAATAAAGTCTTTCTTTATATGGACAGGTAGCATTTTTACCTTACATTATCTTATTGTTAATATAACAAATTTATGACTCAGCATTGGAATTTATTGTCAACGTTAGTGTATGTGTGAAATACGATTCCAATGTTTGTGAAGGTGTCGAATATTGTTCTTTAATAAACCTATTAGAGACTGACGGGAACATTTCATAACACTGCGTTTGATGTTATCGATTGAATTTTGTATATTTATGCACTATGAAGAACATATCCTATTATTAAAATTCTTTTTACAAAGAATGAGAATATTCAGTGAAATGCACATGTACGTGGGTTGAAAAGAAAATGCAAGCATTGGCTATTTATCTTGTTTTAGGAAGCGATCCAACCGAAGGTGAGTTTTTATTTTATCAATTCAATAAGTAAGGAAAATACTTTTAAAATAATGGTAGTGACTGTGCCCCACCCTTCCTTAGCCTTATATTACATGTTTATGGTGTTCATTCAAAACAACTGTTCAAATAAAATGTTTAACGAAATCTTAATAATTTTGAGAAGTAGAAGAGAAATCTTCAGATTGATTTTTTTCAGAGGATAACATGTCATTTATTGCTCGTTGCATGCTTTTATTCCAAGTCATTTCGGATTTTTAAAAGTTATCTTTAATAAACACAGGGACTGTCAACTTGGAATTAAAGCTAGCAGACCAATTTCAAAAGGGCATGGGCGATTCCACATCACCTGTGTTCCAATCAACGGAGAATGAACTTTGTGGAGGGGTAATATTAACATGAAAATACAAATGAATAAAAAATACTTCTTAATACCATCATAAACAATGAAGTAATAACGACAGTGCGGATTGTCAAATTTTCGAGACAACATGCACCTTTATCAAGATACAAATATTACATAAATTACATAACATGCATAGTACATAACACAAATACAAAAATTACATATCTAAATCGAGAACAACAACTAAAAGATTGTGAATTTTGTCCGGTAAGAAGGTCCTTCGGCGTCGATCAGCCGAGGGGATTATCGAGACACCTAAATTTACACCACCGTTCTCGATTTAGATTTATAACTGTGTACTTGTTTATGGTCTATGCATGTGATGTTATTTATGTCCTGATAAAGGTGCAGCTTGTCCGCAATGTCGTTATTACTTTATTGATCTTACATCTATTCCAGTAATACGCACTCAACGAACATTTGTTTGTGAGAATTCAGTACCAATATTAGATCATATCGTCGATATTACTTACTAGACTATATAAATATATATAGTGAAGCAGATGTACATCATTCTTTTATTTTGTTCTTCTGTTTACTAGATTTGCTAATGGAAAATATATCATCACAATCTGATAAAAGAATTTGTGTATTAATAGGCTAAACAAGCTTTAACCACCAGGGGAAATTTTCCATTGGACACTAGCATTGCCTGCAAACTTGAATCACTTCGGTACGTGAGCTTTATAACAAGCGCACCTTTACAAAATTGCAAAGTTCGTATAAATTTCTATGTAACAATAATAATTACCTGGATTGACAACGATTTACATAGCGCGTCTCGGCTTAAGAAGTAGAAGACGCTTATTCTATAGGAACACCTGGTCTTATTATCTTTATACGTTTGCGGGTGTCCCCTTGTAATCGTTCTATTGTTCATATTTCACTCTAATTGTATTGAAGTTGATTTTGGATTATGATTCTGTTGATATATTGGGATTTTCTATGTGTTTGCGATATGTTGTAAGGACAAGTAAACCTTATTGATCATCCTTTATTTTGTTCTTTACAGTGAGCAATTGACAGGTCAAATTATGATATAATGAATTCGGAAATACATAACAATATTGCTATCCTGAGAACATAGATATTCTACAAAATGTAAAGCATTAATTTGGAACTTGTTTAGCTCTGACGTTTACCTTGAACTATGTATCATTTATTTCATTATGACAATGATCATGGATATCTGTAGGTACCTCTTTTTAAAACGTGGATTGTGATTGTAATTTGTGTTATGTTTCAGAGAAGGCAGCATCATTGCTACACTCGTGATCACTATTATCGGGCGATACACTATACCGGTCAGTAACAAGTATGTCGAGGCGATAACGACGCACATTGGAGTAAATGGGACACTTGGGTCCTTCACAGTCATTGAAGGGTCCATATTCGTTATTGCAGCTTCATATTTGACACAAGGAGTAACGACTCATGTTTCAAATAATACAACCACTCTAGAGCAAACAACAACCACAACCACTCCAGATCCAACCACAACCACGACTACAACCACTCCAGATCCAACCACAACCACTCCGGATCCAACAACAACTACAACCACTCCAGATCCAACAACAACTACAACCACTCCAGATCCAACCACAACAACAACCACTCCAGATCCAACCACAACCACAACCACTCCGGAGCCAACCACAAGTACTGCGGAGCAGACCACCTCCACAAGCGTAACAACAACCACGAGACCTATCCCTGCTAGTAAGTATTCTTGTTACTTCTCTTAGACTGTATTCACACGTATAGGCCACATATGATAGTAGTATGTTATTTACAATTTTGGTTGTTTGACCGGTAAGAGTTTTTCTTTTGAATATAAAATTAAAACATGCAAGGTATTTTCATGTTTAGTTGCCTTTCAAATTCATGCCAAATTCAATTCCCTTCTCATAATCATAGATACCAACTAGATTAAATGTCGCCGTCAAAACATAATAATATACCTTATAGAAGAAGCCTCACATCAATAGCGGAGATAATTACGATTTCTCTTCGACATTGAAAAATAACAATATTGCTTGCTCTGTTATATCCTTTCTTCCATAGTTCCGCTCGCTCTCGTTCGGAATTATTGATCCGGAATTTTGATTACTATCTTGTAACGTGTCAGTATCAATTCTATGCTTTTATTATCCAGCTGCACTTGTTTTTTCTGCTTAAAAAGAATGATTAAAAATATTTGTAAAACTGATATATTTGCAAAAATATCAATGTCGTGTATTTTACCTGAATTCACTACTTCCGATAATGTTTCTCCATTAGGAATTCAACTTAACAGTTCGCTTACATCTCCGCATGAGAATCTATTCATTGAATGCAACATTCAGAACCCACCGAACACCTGGGATCAGGTGAAGGTTATCTCCTCTGACGACAACATTGGAGTTGTAGCTGTTGGCTATTCTAATGGAACAATACAGAAAGACAACAACTCGTACCAACTGACCCTTGAACCCGGCGATAGCAAAGTAACATTAAGTCTTCTTTTTCCCAACACCACGAAGCATTGTTTTGTCAGGAGTAACTACACGTGTCAACTTCATAGCAATGGAAATATATTTGTGGAGTCCATGGAATACATTTCCATCCCAGGTATGTTGACCCTGAGATGTTGTTTTGAAGATTTCATAACAAAACGTAACAGCTTCCTTGATGATATTTGGCATCTATCAAAATAATCATCTGGGTATATTATTGATCAATACAAATAGCTCATTTTGTGAAAAGTGAAACCATAGCTTCATAAAATTATATAGCAATTGTTTCAATTATTTCATGGAGTCATTTATGAATAAATACTGCTACTAAGTTGCAGACGCAGCGGAGAATATCCACATTGTTGGGCCTACAACGGTGAACGAGGGTGATAGTTATGTGGTGAACTGTAGCGGGGATCTGGCTCCATCAGATAGTACACTGGACCTGTATACCAGAACCGTAAACGCCACGTTATTTACAAAGTCTCCAATTAGTCCTCAAATCACGAATGGTGACGTCACCGAATCCTGCTACCTCCACACAACACAGAAGTACAGTCTCAGCGCCAGTAAGACTGACAATGGCACAGAGATGAGGTGTGAGGCAGCGAATTCCTTCCCTGGTTCACAGACGATCTCTAGCGCACAAATGATCTTGGTGAAAGTTGCCGGTAACTATATCCCTTTTTACATTTATTGTAAGAAAATGTATGTACGATAGAAAAACTGGGCGACGTTTGCTATTACACATCTGTGAGCACCATTTGCAGTTCTAGATGTGTAATGTATCATTGTAAATAGCTGTTTAGAAAGGATTTAGGAGTAAATATCGGACAGGATCAACTTATTGTCTCAAAATATATATACATGAAAAGAGCTAACTTTCTGTATTTTTCCTGATTAACCTATATTGTTTTAAGTCAGACACGGTAAGATCTATCAGTTACAGACAAAAATGCCACACATGACAGATCATAATGTAAAGATACAATGTATATACTTTACATATGTAAACATTAGAAAGACGTCCCTTTTTAAATCGGTAATGAATCGACTAAAATCTTATATTGTTGGAAAGGAAATATTAATGGTATACCTTTTGTATTTCAATTTTTCATTTCGTAAAGACAATTATATATGCTCAACTAAGTTCAAGGTGTTGTTTATCTTACACCAGCGACCTTGTCGGTACAGTCCTGTCATGTAGGTATCAAAATAATTTTTTTATATCTGGAGCACACAACTCGCCACTCTTTGAATGTCAAATCTATTCACTCGAGACACAGGGTTCGGTAGTTTTTCAATAGTGAAAAAGTAGAGATGACTTTGTTAATCAATGATCAAAACCAGAATGGTTGCTGTATAGTGATAACTTCGTAAGTTTTCCGATTGAGCTTTGATACGTAGCATTAAGAATTGCTGATCTGATCCTATTGTATATTAGTAGGCTAGATTCTGTATCGTGTGTATGTGCCGACGATGTGTGCACGATGTGCGCACTAAGTTTATGGAGCATTGTATGATCCAACAACTGTATTACACAGAACATTTTGATTATCCCGAACAAGCATACCAATTCCAATTCATACATAAATGAACGAAAATACTTCGACTACTCATGAGGGTTAGAAGAACTCTACGAGGCCTGATCGAATAAAAGTATACTCTACCTCAACACCTGGTCTTATTCTTCTTATGCTTATCACTGAATCCTAGTTTCCTCAAAGTTCAGTTAGACTAAGATTCTGCTGATATGTCTGTATTTTCTTTATAGTTTCTAAATGTTTTTGGATTGATCTACAAATTGTTGTATTGTAACATATTTTGTGTGCCATCATTAAACTAGACTTATTTGAGCACGATTTGTGTACATATTTCCAGAACTAGTAATTGAAACATCGCTTACACCAACACATGAGGATCTCAAAATTGAATGTAATATTCAAAACGCTCCGAACACCTGGGATAAGGTTAAGCTTATCTCCTCTGACGACAGCATTGGAGTTGTAGCTGTTGGCTATTCTAATGGAACAACACAGAAAGACAACAACTCGTACCAACTGACCCTTGAACCCGGCGATAGCAACGTAAAATTGAGTCTTCTTTTTCCGAACACCACGAAGCATTGTTTTGTTAGGAGTAACTACACGTGTCAACTTCATAGCAATGGAAATATATTTGTGGAGTCCATGGAATACATTTCCATCCCAGGTATGTTGATCCTAAGGTGTTGTTTTGAAGATTCCATGCAAAACGTAACAGCTTCCTTGATGATATTTGGCATTTATCTATGTATCTATCTGAACATAATGATAATCAATATAAAAATTTCATGTTGTGAAATGTGAAATAGCTTCAAAAATTATATAGCAATTGTTTCAATTATTCCATGGAGTCATTAACGAATAAATACTGCTACTAAGTTGCAGACGCAGCGGAGAATATCCACATTGTTGGGCCTACAACGGTGAACGAGGGTGATAGTTATGTGGTGAACTGTAGCGGGGATCTGGCTCCATCAGATAGTACACTGGACCTGTATACCAGAACCGTAAACGCCACGTTATTTACAAAGTCTCCAATTAGTCCTCAAATCACGAATGGTGACGTCACCGAATCCTGCTACCTCCACACAACACAGAAGTACAGTCTCAGCGCCAGTAAGACTGACAATGGCACAGAGATGAGGTGTGAGGCAGCGAATTCCTTCCCTGGTTCACAGACGATCTCTAGCGCACAAATGATCTTGGTGAAAGTTGCCGGTAACTATATCCCTTTTTACATTTATTGTAAGAAAATGTATGTACGATAGAAAAACTGGGCGACGTTTGCTATTACACATCTGTGAGCACCATTTGCAGTTCTAGATGTGTAATGTATCATTGTAAATAGCTGTTTAGAAAGGATTTAGGAGTAAATATGGACAGGATCAACTTATTGTCTCAAAATATATATATATGAAAAGAGCTAACTTTGTGTATATTTCCTGATTAACCTATATTGTTTTAAGTCAGACAACGGTTAGATCTATCAGTTACAGACAAAAATGCAACACATGACAGATCATAATGTAAAGATACAATGTATATACTTTACATATGTAAACATTAGAAAGACGTCCCTTTTTAAATCGGTAATGAATCGACTAAAATCTTATATTGTTGGAAAGGAAATATTAATGGTATACCTTTTGTATTTCAATTTTTCATTTCGTAAAGACAATTATATATGCTCAACTAAGTTCAAGGTGTTGTGTTATCTTACACCAGCGACCTTGTCGGTACAGTCCTGTCATGTAGGTATCAAAATAATTTTTTTATATCTGGAGCACACAACTCGCCACTCTTTGAATGTCAAATCTATTCACTCGAGACACAGGGTTCGGTAGTTTTTCAATAGTGAAAAAGTAGAGATGACTTTGTTAATCAATGATCAAAACTAGAATGGTTGCTGTATAGTGATAACTTCAAGTTTTCCGAAGCTTTGATACGTAGCATTAAGAATTGCTGATCTGATCCTATTGTATATTAGTAGGCTAGATTCTGTATCGTGTGTATGTGCCGATGTGTGCACGAAAAATGGAGCATGTATCCAACAACTGTATTACACAGAACATTTTGATTTGTACCAATTCCAATTCATACATAAATGCCGTATCATATACTGTGTGCTCTACCTCAACACCTGTCTTATTCTTCTTATGCTTATCACTGAATCCTAGTTTCCTCAAAGTTCAGTTAGACTAAGATTCTGCTGATATGTCTGTATTTTCTTTATAGTTTCTAAATGTTTTTGGATTGATCTACAAATTGTTGTATTGTAACATATTTTGTGTGCCATCATTAAACTAGACTTATTTGAGCACGATTTGTGTACATATTTCCAGAACTAGTAATTGAAACATCGCTTACACCAACACATGAGGATCTCAAAATTGAATGTAATATTCAAAACGCTCCGAACACCTGGGATAAGGTTAAGCTTATCTCCTCTGACGACAGCATTGGAGTTGTAGCTGTTGGCTATTCTAATGGAACAACACAGAAAGACAACAACTCGTACCAACTGACCCTTGAACCCGGCGATAGCAACGTAAAATTGAGTCTTCTTTTCCCCAACACCACGAAGCATTGTTTTGTCAGGAGTAACTACACGTGTCAACTTCATAGCAATGGAAATATATTTGTGGAGTCCATTGAGTACATTTCCATCCCAGGTATGTTGATCCTGAGATGTTGTTTTGAAGTGTTCCATGCAAAAATGAACAGCTTCCTTGATGATATTTGGCATTTATCAAAATATCCATATGGGAACATATGATAATCAATATAAATAGTTCATGTTGTGAAATGTGAAACCATAGTTTCATAAAATTATATAGCAATTGTTTCAATTATTTCATCGAGTCATTAATGAATAAATACTGAAACTAAGTTGCAGACGCAGCGGAGAATATCCACATTGTTGGGCCTACAACGGTGAACGAGGGTGATAGTTATGTGGTGAACTGTAGCGGGGATCTGGCTCCATCAGATAGTACACTGGACCTGTATACCAGAACCGTAAACGCCACGTTATTTACAAAGTCTCCGATTAATCCTCAAATCACGAATGGTAACGTCACCGAATCCTGCTACCTCCACACAACAAAGAGGTACAGTCTCAGCGCCAGTAAGACTGATAATGGCACAGAGATGAGGTGTGAGGCAGCGAATTCCTCCCCTGGTTCAAAGACGATCTCTAGCGCACAAATGATCTTGGTGAAAGTTGCCGGTAACTATATCCCTTTTTACAAATATTGTAACAAAATATATGTACGATAGAAATATTGGGCGAAGTTTGCTATCACACATGTGCGAGCACCATGTGCAGTTCTAGATGTGTAATTGTATCGTTGTAAATAAATCTTTAGAAATGACGTATGAATAAGTGTTGGATAGGGTAAATTTATTTTCTTAATATATATGAAAACAGCTAAGTTTGTGTATATTTCCTGATTAACCTATATTGTTTTAAGTCAGACAAGGTTAGCTCTATCAGTTACAGACAAAAATGCAACACATGACCGATCTTAATGTAAAGATACGATGTATATACTTTACATATGTAAACATTAGAAAGACGTCCCTTTTTAAATCGGTAATGAATCGTCTAAAATCATATATTGTTGGAGAGAAAATACTAATGGCATACCTTTTGTATTTCGGTTTTTCATTTCGTAAAGACAATAATATATGCTCAACTAAGTTCAAGGTATTGTGTGTCTTACATCAGAAACCTTGTCGGTACAGTCCTGTCATGTCCATATCATAATAGATTTTGTTACAAATATCACACAACTAGCCACTCTTTGAAATGTCAAATCTATTCACTCGAGACACAGGGTTCGGTAGTTTTTCAATAGTGAAAAAGTAGAGATGACTTTGTTAATCAATGATCAAAACTAGAATGGTTGCTGTATAGTGATAACTTCACAAGTTTTCCGATTGAGTTTTGATACGTGGCATTAAAAATGGCTGATCCTATCGAATATTTGTACGCCGTATCATATACTGTGTGCCGTCATTGAACTAGACTTATTTGAGCACGATTTGTATACATATTTCCAGAACTAGTAATTGAAACATCGCTTACACCAGCACATGAGGATCTCAAAATTGAATGTAATATTCAAAACACTCCGAACACCTGGGATAAGGTGAAGCTTATCTCCTCTGACGACAGCATTGGAGTTGTAGCTGTTGGCTATTCTAATGGAACAACACAGAAAGACAACAACTCGTACCAACTGACCCTTGAACCCGGCGATAGCAACGTAACACTAAGTCTTCTTTTCCCCAACACCACGAAGCATTGTTTTGTCAGGAGTAACTACACGTGTCAACTTCATAGCAATGGAAATATATTTGTGGAGTCCATGGAGTACATTTCCATCCCAGGTATGTTGATCCTGAGATGTTGTTTTGAAGTGTTCATGCCAAAAATGAACAGCTTCCTTTCTGATCTAAGCGCATTTATCAAAATATCCATATGGGCATATCATTGATCAATACAAATAGTTCATGTTGTGAAAAGTGAAACCATAGTTTCATAAAATTATATAGCAATTGTTTCAATTATTTCATCGAGTCATTAATGAATAAATACTGAAACTAAGTTGCAGACGCAGCGGAGAATATCCACATTGTTGGGCCTACAACGGTGAACGAGGGTGATAGTTATGTGGTGAACTGTAGCGGGGATCTGGCTCCATCAGATAGTACACTGGACCTGTATACCAGAACCGTAAACGCCACGTTATTTACAAAGTCTCCGATTAATCCTCAAATCACGAATGGTAACGTCACCGAATCCTGCTACCTCCACACAACAAAGAGGTACAGTCTCAGCGCCAGTAAGACTGATAATGGCACAGAGATGAGGTGTGAGGCAGCGAATTCCTCCCCTGGTTCAAAGACGATCTCTAGCGCACAAATGATCTTGGTGAAAGTTGCCGGTAACTATATCCCTTTTTACAAATATTGTAACAAAATATATGTACGATAGAAATATTGGGCGAAGTTTGCTATCACACATGTGCGAGCACCATGTGCAGTTCTAGATGTGTAATTGTATCGTTGTAAATAAATCTTTAGAAATGACGTATGAATAAGTGTTGGATAGGGTAAATTTATTTTCTTAATATATATGAAAACAGCTAAGTTTGTGTATATTTCCTGATTAACCTATATTGTTTTAAGTCAGACAAGGTTAGCTCTATCAGTTACAGACAAAAATGCAACACATGACCGATCTTAATGTAAAGATACGATGTATATACTTTACATATGTAAACATTAGAAAGACGTCCCTTTTTAAATCGGTAATGAATCGTCTAAAATCATATATTGTTGGAGAGAAAATACTAATGGCATACCTTTTGTATTTCGGTTTTTCATTTCGTAAAGACAATAATATATGCTCAACTAAGTTCAAGGTATTGTGTGTCTTACATCAGAAACCTTGTCGGTACAGTCCTGTCATGTCCATATCATAATAGATTTTGTTACAAATATCACACAACTAGCCACTCTTTGAAATGTCAAATCTATTCACTCGAGACACAGGGTTCGGTAGTTTTTCAATAGTGAAAAAGTAGAGATGACTTTGTTAATCAATGATCAAAACTAGAATGGTTGCTGTATAGTGATAACTTCACAAGTTTTCCGATTGAGTTTTGATACGTGGCATTAAAAATGGCTGATCCTATCGAATATTTGTACGCCGTATCATATACTGTGTGCCGTCATTGAACTAGACTTATTTGAGCACGATTTGTATACATATTTCCAGAACTAGTAATTGAAACATCGCTTACACCAGCACATGAGGATCTCAAAATTGAATGTAATATTCAAAACACTCCGAACACCTGGGATAAGGTGAAGCTTATCTCCTCTGACGACAGCATTGGAGTTGTAGCTGTTGGCTATTCTAATGGAACAACACAGAAAGACAACAACTCGTACCAACTGACCCTTGAACCCGGCGATAGCAACGTAACACTAAGTCTTCTTTTCCCCAACACCACGAAGCATTGTTTTGTCAGGAGTAACTACACGTGTCAACTTCATAGCAATGGAAATATATTTGTGGAGTCCATGGAGTACATTTCCATCCCAGGTATGTTGATCCTGAGATGTTGTTTTGAAGTGTTCATGCCAAAAATGAACAGCTTCCTTTCTGATCTAAGCGCATTTATCAAAATATCCATATGGGCATATCATTGATCAATACAAATAGTTCATGTTGTGAAAAGTGAAACCATAGTTTCATAAAATTATATAGCAATTGTTTCAATTATTTCATCGAGTCATTAATGAATAAATACTGAAACTAAGTTGCAGACGCAGCGGAGAATATCCACATTGTTGGGCCTACAACGGTGAACGAGGGTGATAGTTATGTGGTGAACTGTAGCGGGGATCTGGCTCCATCAGATAGTACACTGGACCTGTATACCAGAACCGTAAACGCCACGTTATTTACAAAGTCTCCGATTAATCCTCAAATCACGAATGGTAACGTCACCGAATCCTGCTACCTCCACACAACAAAGAGGTACAGTCTCAGCGCCAGTAAGACTGATAATGGCACAGAGATGAGGTGTGAGGCAGCGAATTCCTCCCCTGGTTCAAAGACGATCTCTAGCGCACAAATGATCTTGGTGAAAGTTGCCGGTAACTATATCCCTTTTTACAAATATTGTAACAAAATATATGTACGATAGAAATATTGGGCGAAGTTTGCTATCACACATGTGCGAGCACCATGTGCAGTTCTAGATGTGTAATTGTATCGTTGTAAATAAATCTTTAGAAATGACGTATGAATAAGTGTTGGATAGGGTAAATTTATTTTCTTAATATATATGAAAACAGCTAAGTTTGTGTATATTTCCTGATTAACCTATATTGTTTTAAGTCAGACAAGGTTAGCTCTATCAGTTACAGACAAAAATGCAACACATGACCGATCTTAATGTAAAGATACGATGTATATACTTTACATATGTAAACATTAGAAAGACGTCCCTTTTTAAATCGGTAATGAATCGTCTAAAATCATATATTGTTGGAGAGAAAATACTAATGGCATACCTTTTGTATTTCGGTTTTTCATTTCGTAAAGACAATAATATATGCTCAACTAAGTTCAAGGTATTGTGTGTCTTACATCAGAAACCTTGTCGGTACAGTCCTGTCATGTCCATATCATAATAGATTTTGTTACAAATATCACACAACTAGCCACTCTTTGAAATGTCAAATCTATTCACTCGAGACACAGGGTTCGGTAGTTTTTCAATAGTGAAAAAGTAGAGATGACTTTGTTAATCAATGATCAAAACTAGAATGGTTGCTGTATAGTGATAACTTCACAAGTTTTCCGATTGAGTTTTGATACGGCATTAAAAATGGCTGATCCTATCGAATATTTGTACGCCGTATCATATACTGTGTGCCGTCATTGAACTAGACTTATTTGAGCACGATTTGTATACATATTTCCAGAACTAGTAATTGAAACATCGCTTACACCAGCACATGAGGATCTCAAAATTGAATGTAATATTCAAAACACTCCGAACACCTGGGATAAGGTGAAGCTTATCTCCTCTGACGACAGCATTGGAGTTGTAGCTGTTGGCTATTCTAATGGAACAACACAGAAAGACAACAACTCGTACCAACTGACCCTTGAACCCGGCGATAGCAACGTAACACTAAGTCTTCTTTTCCCCAACACCACGAAGCATTGTTTTGTCAGGAGTAACTACACGTGTCAACTTCATAGCAATGGAAATATATTTGTGGAGTCCATGGAGTACATTTCCATCCCAGGTATGTTGATCCTGAGATGTTGTTTTGAAGTGTTCATGCCAAAAATGAACAGCTTCCTTTCTGATCTAAGCGCATTTATCAAAATATCCATATGGGCATATCATTGATCAATACAAATAGTTCATGTTGTGAAAAGTGAAACCATAGTTTCATAAAATTATATAGCAATTGTTTCAATTATTTCATCGAGTCATTAATGAATAAATACTGAAACTAAGTTGCAGACGCAGCGGAGAATATCCACATTGTTGGGCCTACAACGGTGAACGAGGGTGATAGTTATGTGGTGAACTGTAGCGGGGATCTGGCTCCATCAGATAGTACACTGGACCTGTATACCAGAACCGTAAACGCCACGTTATTTACAAAGTCTCCGATTAATCCTCAAATCACGAATGGTAACGTCACCGAATCCTGCTACCTCCACACAACAAAGAGGTACAGTCTCAGCGCCAGTAAGACTGATAATGGCACAGAGATGAGGTGTGAGGCAGCGAATTCCTCCCCTGGTTCAAAGACGATCTCTAGCGCACAAATGATCTTGGTGAAAGTTGCCGGTAACTATATCCCTTTTTACAAATATTGTAACAAAATATATGTACGATAGAAATATTGGGCGAAGTTTGCTATCACACATGTGCGAGCACCATGTGCAGTTCTAGATGTGTAATTGTATCGTTGTAAATAAATCTTTAGAAATGACGTATGAATAAGTGTTGGATAGGGTAAATTTATTTTCTTAATATATATGAAAACAGCTAAGTTTGTGTATATTTCCTGATTAACCTATATTGTTTTAAGTCAGACAAGGTTAGCTCTATCAGTTACAGACAAAAATGCAACACATGACCGATCTTAATGTAAAGATACGATGTATATACTTTACATATGTAAACATTAGAAAGACGTCCCTTTTTAAATCGGTAATGAATCGTCTAAAATCATATATTGTTGGAGAGAAAATACTAATGGCATACCTTTTGTATTTCGGTTTTTCATTTCGTAAAGACAATAATATATGCTCAACTAAGTTCAAGGTATTGTGTGTCTTACATCAGAAACCTTGTCGGTACAGTCCTGTCATGTCCATATCATAATAGATTTTGTTACAAATATCACACAACTAGCCACTCTTTGAAATGTCAAATCTATTCACTCGAGACACAGGGTTCGGTAGTTTTTCAATAGTGAAAAAGTAGAGATGACTTTGTTAATCAATAATCAAAACTAGAATGGTTGATGTATAGTGATAACTTCACAAGTTTTCCGATTGAGTTTTGATACGTGGCATTAAAAATGGCTGATCCTATCGAATATTTGTACGCCGTATCATATTTTGTGTGCCGTCATTAAACTAGACTTATTTGAGCACGATTTGTATACATATTTCCAGAACTAGTAATTGAAACATCGCTTACACCAACACATGAGGATCTCAAAATTGAATGTAATATTCAAAACACTCCGAACACCTGGGATAAGGTGAAGCTTATCTCCTCTGACGACAGCATTGGAGTTGTAGCTGTTGGCTATTCTAATGGAACAACACAGAAAGACAACAACTCGTACCAACTGACCCTTGAACCCGGCGATAGCAACGTAACACTAAGTCTTCTTTTCCCCAACACCACGAAGCATTGTTTTGTCAGGAGTAACTACACGTGTCAACTTTATAGCAATGGAAATATATTTGTGGAGTCCATGGAATATATTTCTATTCCAGGTTTGTTGACTATAATTTTATGATAAAGTTACGATGATCAAACATGCAAACCATTCTCGATGAACCTTGCAAACTTTTATCGATGTATTATTATATTTATATTGTAATCTTATTAGTTAATTTAACAAATTTCTTCGATATATGAGTTATCGTATCATAAGTCTTTCTTTTCCCAACAAAACGAAGTATTCTTGTTCCTGGAAACTGCACATGTCATCTTCATGTCAAAGATTAACATTTGTTGTGAAAAGCAAATACACTTTAATGTTATATACGTTGTTATTTTTTCGGTATATGTTATCGCTCAAAGAAATTTCAAACTCGAAGTTATATACGGTATTTCATCGTAATAAATGTGATGTAAATGTACTAGTTTCATTCAATAATTTTTACTGTTGCAAAATGCAAAGAACCTTTGTTTTGACATACGACTCAAATCGAAATAACAGTTAAAAGTAAAGTTCGGGTTTGGGTCTGCAATCAGCTTTTTAATCCGAATAATAACTTGCTCTCTTGATGTTGGTTTTTGAAGACAATGAATTTAATCTTTGATATGGACATTAACTTTTTAAACAATTAACTGATGTATAGTTGTAGATTTAGCGGAAAATGTCGGAATTGACGGAAGTACAACCTGGAATGAAAGAGACAGATATGTTGTGAACTGCACTGGGGATTTGACCCCACCATCCAGTACACTAGACTTGTACACTAGAATTTCAAACAGTACGCCATTTATAAAGTCTGATGTAACTCCTTTTGTGACGATAACTGGAAAAACAGATGCCTGCTATCTCCAAACAACAAAGAGCTACACTTTTCTTGCTGTGAGGAGTGTAAACGGTTCTGAACTAAGGTGTGAAGGACTTAACAGCACAATCAGAACAACCTCGATGTCGGATTCAAAGCTGATCATGGTACGGGTTGCAGGTCAGTACTACTTGATCTTCGTTTTTTTTTTTTTTTTTTCCTTTTTCTCCTTTTTCTTTCCTGTTGAACGAATTTCTCGGACGTCTAACAATATCTTATCACGTAAAACTATAATTGCCGGATATCCTTATAGAACCAAGAAACACTTTGTTTTGTACTATTATACGTTCCAATTATGGAAAGATGCTATTCATTTTCCAACAACAACGTTTTAAATTATATCAATTTTTCGTATTTACTCACAAGGATTCTGTAACATTAGGACGATGTTCTGGTGTTAAATCTGCATTTATGAGATGGAAGTGAACGATTTACATTTCTTCGTTCTCTAGAAATAAATTGAGAACATTATCAGTTACCGATATTAGCTTTCATTATTTATTGTTAACGTAAATTTCAACTATAATTATGTTACATTAGTATAATACATTAATGTGATATTTGTATTCCAGAGATGGAAATGAACGATTCACTGACAAAACCTGGAGAGGAGATCACCATTACCTGTAACGTCCGGTATGCTCCCTCGGGTTGGGACAACTTCAGTATCGTATCCATTGATAAGAATGATATATATGTTATAGCGTATCCAAACGGAACTATCGCGAAGGGCAACAACTTGTACACAGCTGGATTACAACAGAACAACGATGATCTGACACTTGCAGTCCGTGTTCCTAACACCACCACCACCACACATTGTACCGCTAGAGGGAACTATGTATGTACCTTGACAGACGACGGTGGCATCGTCATCAATGATACCTCAACTGTTACAATAACAGGTAATGTGATATGAAACCGCTTTAAAACAATGTGTCTTGGTTCGTCCATATACATTTACGTTAACAGGCACGTATTATGTTATTAAAACTTATTTAATAGATAAGCGGATTGTTAGCTCATCGTAAATATTTAATGAGAATATTCTATTTCAAAATTGCGACAATAGTACTTACAATTATTGTATTAGTTTTGATGAAGTAATAGAATGATATATGCAAACACGACGTGAAAGCCTTTTACATGACATTCTAAGCTCAATTTTGTTTTACATTTACAAATTGGTTAACAAAAATATATGCAAAAATATATGCATATGTTTTAAAACCAACAACCTATATGTTCTAGATCTTGCTACTAACCTAGCACTTGACGGAAATGATACAGTTCAGGAAGGTGAAAGATACGCCGTGAACTGTTCTGGTAGACTGGCTTCGGAGGGAGGTGAACTTCACCTTTATGTTCGATCTTGGAATGCTTCAGACTTCGTCAGGGCTACACAAGTTCCCTCAATAATATTCAATGATGATGACACGTGCTACCAATCCATAAAGAAGACCTACGACTTCTTCGCCGAGACTGCCCAGAATGGTACAGAATTCCAGTGCGTTGCCACCAATGATAAGCTGTCTTCCTACCAAAGCAGCAGTTCCATCGATATGGTTGTAGACTTTGCAGGTATTCCATCCTTGTAAATATCTCTATTTGTCTTGCACAAACGATTGTATAGAAAAGACACAAGCTTTCAGTGCAGTATTATCAAAGTATATGAAGGATGATGAATTAAACTGGATAATATAGCTTTCCCCCACTTTTTGACACTTTACATATTTAACGAGCAACATTTAAAAAGTCAAGTTGGCATAAACTTAAGCAAAATACAAAAATAATTACTATCAAAATGGTCTCACGCATATCACTTGTGTAGTAAATAGTGGCAACCAAATATTACGCATGCTATAAATAGGAGCTTAACTTATGTCCATGATGTTGTAAATAATGGCTTACTTCACTGATGTTGCAAGTAATGGCTTACTTCACTGATGTTGTAAATAATGACTTACTTCAATGATGTTGCAAATAATGGCTTACTTCAATGATATAAATAATGGCTTACTTCACTGATAATGCAAGTAATGGCTTACTTCAATGATATAAATAATGGCTTACTTCACTGATGTTGTAAATAAATAATGGCTTACTTCACTGATATTGTAAATAATGGCTTACTTCGCTGATGTTGTAAATAATGGCTTACTTCAATGATGTTGTAAATAATGGCTTACTTCACTGATGTAAATAATGGTTTACTTCACTGATGTAAATAAATAATGGCTTACTTTACTGATGATGTAAATAAATAATGGCTTACTTCAATGATATAAATAATGGCTTACTTCACTGATGTTGCAAGTAATGGCTTACTTCAATGATATAAATAATGGCTTACTTCACTGATTTTGTAAATAAATAATGGCTTACTTCACTGATATAAATAATGGCTTACTTTACTGATGTTGTAAATAATGGCTTACTTCAATGATGTTGTAAATAATGGTTTACTTCACTGATGTTGTAAATAATGGCTTTCTTCACTGATGTTATAAATAATGGCTTAGTTCACTGATGTTGTAAATAATGGCTTTCTTCACTGATGTTATAAATAATGGCTTACTTTACTGATGTTGTAAATAATGGCTTACTTCAATGATGTTGTAAATAATGGTTTACTTCACTGATGTTGTAAATAATGGCTTTCTTCACTGATGTTATAAATAATGGCTTAGTTCACTGATGTAAATAATGGCTTACTTCACTGATGTTGTAAATAAATAATGGCTTACTTCACTGATGTTGTAAATAATGGCTTTCCCCAATGATGTAAAAAAAAATGGCTTACTTTACTGATGTTGTAAATAATGGCCTATTTCACGAATATAAACAATGGTTTACTTCACTGATGTGGTAAATAATTACTTACTAGATGATACTGTAAATAATGTCACTCATATTTTAGTAAAACATGAAAAAAGTGGGTAGCCCTCAGGTATAAAGAGTAGATGGTAGAACGCCATTCTTCACAACACTACCTGCTCTACAGTCTACATTTTCCTATTAAGCTTACTTCGCCATTTTGAACATTTAAAAAACACTATTATCTTTCATGGTGAAAAATATTTGTCCATAAAGATCAGTTCCAGTGCTAAATATAATTTCCAATGCACGTTCGCTCGCTAAATAAAATATGACCAGTAACAGGAGGTGTCTAAAGAGAATCACATATTTGCATTAAAATCGCTGACAGGTTTTACTACTGATAACTGTTTATACCATTATTCATACTCTGAACTCGTTCATGTCATTTTTTTATCAGATTTCAGCATAAACTTTATTTTGAAAAACACTACTTGGGTCCCTGGGTACGATAACAAAAACAGTCCAGAATTTAAGGATCTCGCCGGACAACTCGAACATGAAGTAAGCATAACCAACGATATCTTATTCTTAAACTTGTGATTCTTTCAAATTAACTACAATATGCCGATATAAAAAGGATTAATTAAGCAAAAGACCACATTTCCTTATATGCAGGAGGTAACTCGTTTATTCTGTTTTTCATTAGACACGTTTAGACATGTTTTTTTTTTAATGTTTGCAGACTGACTATGTGTACAACAAAAGCCGATTAAAGGAAAACTTCCAGAAAAGTAAAGTTATTGGATTTGAGTAAGTTCTTGAAGCTTCACTGAAAATCAATATTCCGATTAAAGATTAACAACTGTTTCTTTGATTTACGTTCAATAAAAAATGTTACACGGATAAAGGGAACACGTAATTGTATTTCATTAATCTGTGTATTTTCTAATTGGAAATTGACTTATTCATTTCATTGATATCTTTTATCAGGCAAGAAGAAAGTGTCTTGGTCAATATGATCATATTTATAGATATAAAGATTATTATCATCGATGGAAGTAACAATGTTATATCAACTACATTGACATCCGCGGATATTGTGGACGCTTTTGTGGTGACACTTCCAGTGGTCGCTGTCGATCTTCCAAACAATGCTATCTCAGGTGTAGACACCAACACTATCACCGGAACAGTTGTTATAACGGGTACGTTTAAATACTAAATAAATTTTCATTCCTATTGAACATTTCATTATGTCCTGGTTATGTCTTTAAAGACAATAAAAATTAAATGTTACCTGATTTCGTCAAGGGGTCACTAAGGAAATATTTGTAGACAAACTCTACTCACCGAATATGTTAAAGATCCATGTGCTCACTTTTAAATCATTCTATATGGACAATGGTGAAATATTTATCAGCTATATTTTTTTGTTTTGTAGACCATGCTGATGATTATGGTAAGTACAATATAATTCCAGATGAATCCACTATCCCAAAACGTTCCTAGTCGAGTACAAAGCTCTGTTGCATGCAAGAATGTATTGCTTTTTCTGCTTAGCATAGTCACCGTAATTACAATGATGTAGTGATAACGGCCATAAAGTCTAAATTGAGGTATTTTTAAGCTTGCGACTAGTTCAGCATTGGAGGTCATGTTTCACTCTATTCTACTTCGCCTTGTAAATCTATAGATCATTTAAAGAATCAAAAAAAAGTTTTTTCAAAGTTTTATTATTATTTGTGTGAGTACATTACAAATTAATTAATTTCTCAAGAATAATTGAAAAAGGAAACAAATAATTCCTAATTTATTTGTGGATTATGGTCTCACTTTTTTTCTGATTTGATGCAAAGATTGTGATCGTGAAATTCTGGAATCAACGAAATTCAAGATTCTAGAATATAGTATTATTGTTTTTAACGCTTGTTTTGAAACCAAATATGTGTCAAACATGCGAGAATCTACAAGAACGACTTAAAAATCTGTTATTCAAATATATACAGAAAACGCACAGAGGTCAATTTAAGCGATCATTACACGTTTTCCGCCTACCTCCCATTGGGTCATTTATAAATAAGTTGGACTACAAAGTCGATTTTCGACCTATTATCCAACTCTGTTATACCTTCTGTTTATTGTTTGTTATTTTGTAGTATGTCAATCGACGTACCATCAACATACTTGACTTTTATGATAACTTTTAACTTTATTTAATTCATCATTTTCAGACTGCAACACGAAGACTGATGTCATATTTCTACTGGACGCATCTGGAAGTATCGGCTCTAATAACTTTAGAACAATGAAATATTTCATACAAAACTTTACAGCAAATGTTAAGTTGGGTCCAAATGACATTCAGATCGGTGTAACAAAATTTTCCTCCTCTCCAAGTTATGAATTTTGGCTCAATGAACACTATGGAGTATTAACTCTGAATCCGGCGATAGGAAATATATACTACACTGGAGGGGGAACAAAAATAGCCGCTGGTTTGGAATATGTTTTGAATAATTCACTTAAAGTTGCCAATGGAGCAAGACAGGACTCGAAGAAAGTAGTTATTCTTATGACTGATGGACAGTCGGCTGATAATCCAGCAGCAGTAGCCACCACAATGAGGAATGCTGGCGTCCTTGTAGCATGTGTCGGAATAGGGAATGGAATTGATATGAACCAGTTAAACGATATCGCTTACAACTCTTCATATATCTTTTTCGCGTCCAATTTTAATGTGCTTACACAAATCAAAGATACTGTGAAAAGATCATCATGTAAATTTGATAACAACACAAGGAAATAGATTTCCATTGGTTCAAATATGATTAAACATTTGTGATGTCAAGGAACATAACTGATAACATCAGGATATCATTTTGAATAGCTATATGAACGAATTTTGGTGTGTAGATAAGAAGCGTTAAGACTTTTTTTGTTTACATTTCACTTATGTTTAACACAATCTTTCACCGTATCGTGACATATTACTATTTCAGGATATGTGGTCATACTTCGGAACATTTTTTTTTAGGTTAATAACATATATTGAAAGGAATTCCTTGCATCACAACCAGTTATATAATTATGTGTGACAATTACTACATTGTAGTAATCATCAGACAATAGCCAGTGTTCACGGAGGTGTACGGTCTGATGAAAGTCGATTGTTTAAAACACGGTCATCAATATGCGAGAGTCTATGGCCCCCCCTTGTTCCTATTCAGTACATTTCATTATTATAATTAGGATATATATGCTTGTTTATCATGATTTAACATCATGAGTTATGATTTTAAAACATTTCTGATTTAATCTCGCATCTTCTTAATATCGTTATAGGACTGTTCTTTATACCGGACAATTCGATGTCTGATCGTGGTATATCGTCATCATTGACTTTCCCAACATCTTCTGCAATCTCCTGCCTTGCGAAATAGCCAGCTTTGGGGGCTAACAGCAGAATAACTGCTATCGAATTGAAATGCAGTGTGTCAATTTAAAGTATATTATTTGCATTTTTACTGCATCCAGTAACATCAGGAATTCGACAGGTACTATTTCCAATGTGACGTGTTCCATGGCCATTAGTATTTTCTTTATATCATTTGGTTCAGTTGTTGTTTTTATTTGGGAACGTGACACTACTAACTCGGATTAACCAATGTTTACATGGCGGGTGAAGTTTATGTAGCAGAAGAAGCTTCGTCTTGCAGAACGCCTGCTCTTATTCTCAGTGGACTTTTCAGGGGTCTCCGTGTAAACATTTTTTGCTCTTATTTTGCCTTGCTTTTATTATTATATTTTTTTTTATTATTGTTGACGTGTTGATATTTTGATATTTTGCTTTCCATTTGACGGCATTTTGCGCGAAAATCTTCTCGGTACAAGAAACGTTGTTCATTACCATTCTTCTGCCTATATCTACGTTTGTTAAATGATATATGAACGGTGTAATACATTTCACGTTTGGACGTCTCGCTGTAATCTGAGAGAGGCCGTCACCATAGTTTCAGAGAACATGCATCCGTGTACCTCACTACTGAATACTGAACACGATCGAAATACTGAGCACTCTATCTTCTAATTTTTTCAAAAACTATTAATCTTTCGATTTTTTTTTTTTTTTTTTGGGGGGGGGGGGGGGGGGGGGGGGGGATATGTATAAACTTATAAGTAATAACGCAAGTTTTGTAAAACATCAACTTTATCGTGAAATTATACCAAAAAAATAAATATAATGTTCTAAATTTTATTCAGACGATTAATTAAATGCCGGTATGCTGTATAAGATGGTATGTCAATAGGTATACATACTATCACTGTGGTCAATCTACTCGTATTAGTAATAAGGCTTTCATTGGACGAACACCTCATGCAGACTTGGACGTGGTCATCAACGCTACTTTTGTACCCAATATTTGTCGTGACTTATATCTATTTCTTCAGTGTGGATATGCAAGAACATACCACTCACAATGTTATATAACCGATAATCATTTACATGTATTGTAGTATATCACACATTCTTATGTAATCGATCTTCATATATTGTTGGAATATATATCACACATTGTTATTTAATCGATCTTCATATATTGTTGGAATATATATCACACAATGTTATGTTATCGATATTAATGTATTGTTGGAATATATACACATTGTTATGTACACAATGTTATATTATCGATATTAATGTATTGTTGGAATATATATCACACAATGTTATGTTATCGATATTAATGTATTGTTGGAATATATATCACACAATGTTATGTTATCGATCTTCCTATGTTGCTATGTAATCGATATCAATGTACAACCCCAATTGATTAGGAAGTAAAGGATACTAACAACCCAATTTGGTCGTCTTTAATGATTTTTCAAAGGTTAGGTCAAGATACTGCAGCATGTGTATGATAGTTAGAAAAGATTTGTCTGTTTAGGACTATTTGGCTGATATTTAAAACTTTGCATTATGTCATCATAGCATGCTTAAGTATTTTGGTAAGTTTCACTTTACTATAGTATTATATAGTGGTGTTGTCGGGGGTATAACCAAGATATTGATTTATATCCCATCGCTAGAAGGCACTCCAATGAATCTGATTGAGAGTAGAACTCGTATGAATAGGATTAAATTTTAAAAAGACGTACAAACAAGGGGAAAGGTTGTAACGAAATTAAAAAAGCGTCGCATGAACGAGATAAATGTAGAGTTGAAGTTGGAAAAAAAACCGTATAAACGAAATAAAAACACGTCGGAATGTGAAAAAATGCAGAAGATGAAAAGTGTCGTCCAAACTAGATAAAGTTGTACATAGACCACAATTATCGAACAAAGCTGATGCAAAAGCATTAATAGACATTACTAGATAGAAGTTTTAAAACAAGTTTAAAATAAAACTGACTTTCGAAAAATGTTTGACTAAAACGGTAAACTAACGTTTAAGTTTTAGGCATTTCCACATACTATCTATTATATTTGTGAATTAATCCACTAACGAGAAAATTGAAATCATCACGCTTATCATACATCCAGGTTGTAAAGTTGTACCTGTCCGCTTGTGGCAGGAAAAGATCGAGGTAGACAAAGTTGGTATTATGATATGGATTGAATGTCTTTGTAATGGACGGTTATCTGGGCTGAATCATGTCCATTTTGTCTAAATGTACCTTTAGATTTCTTGATGAATGCAATTAATAAATCAACAACTTTTTATAAAGTTTTATCATCCTGGAAGTTTCCTAGCCGTTCTTACAATAGATAACAGTTGTCTTTCAATAAAAAATGAATTTATACAAAAAAGAACAATGATTGTTTACATCAACTGGTAAGTAACTTATTATATATTATGTACACATGCCCACGATGCTTTGTGCCTCCATCTTTTCAGTAATAGAAAGACTCCGACAAGATAATTTCAAACAATAGATTAACGTTTAGGTAACACAACGGATTAGGTGTTTTGTATGTAAGAAACATACGATAAGAGCCCTGGCTTTAAGAGGGTGAAGTCACTTATCTTAGGAAAGATTTTTTTAAAGTCTGGGCAATTCAATGGTATAACAAGAGTCATGACATAGCTTTATATGTACCGGTGTATGTAGTCACATATCTTTTGAGAAATCTTTCTCCAAATCAATAGTTAACAATGGATTGTAACGTGCCGTGTATAGATATGCAACTATACAGGTAAAGGCGGTACCTCAATCATGTCAATATCTGTAGAGCATTGGCTATGTATAAAACAAATTAACCTATAACTAACACTTGTCTATATATTCAGGGAAATATATTCATTATACAACCTGTCTATAATCAACACCTGTCTATTATACACCCTGTATATATCCAACACCCGTCTTAAACAAGTCTTAAACTTAAAATTGTTAATATCAACCCGTCTGTACACATGTCTATTATACAACCTGTTATTAATTAACACCAGTCTATTACACAATCTGTCATTAATTAACACCAGTGTATTATGCAATCTGTCATAAATTAACACCAGTCTATTACACCTGTCATTAATTAACACCCCTCTATTACACTATCTGTCATTAATTAGCACCCGTCTATTACACAATCTGTCATTAATTAACACCAGTCTATTATGCAATCTGTCATAAATTAACACCAGTGTATTATGCAATCTGTCATAAATTAACACCCGTCTATTACACAATCTGTCATTAATTAACACCAGTCTATTACACAGCCCGTCATTAATTAACACCAGTCTATTACACAACCTGTCATTAATTAACACCCGTCTATTATACAACCTGTCATTAATTAACACCTGTCTATTATACAACCTGTCATTAATTAACACCCGTCTATTATACAAACTGTCATTAATTAACACCAGTATATTACACAAACTGCTATTAATTAACACCTGTCTATTATTAATTAACACCAGTCTATTACACAGCCCGTCATTAATTAACACCAGTCTATTACACAACCTGTCATTAATTAACACCCCTCTATTACACAATCTGTCATTAATTAACACCCGTCTATTACACAATCTGTCATTAATTAACACCAGTCTATTATGCAATCTGTCATAAATTAACACCAGTCTATTACACAATCTGTCATTAATTAACACCCGTCTATTACACAATCTGTCATTAATTAACACCAGTCTATTATGCAATCTGTCATAAATTAACACCAGTCTATTACACAATCTGTCATTAATTAACACCAGTCTATTATGCAATCTGTCATTAATTAACACCAGTGCATTATGCAATCTGTCATAAATTAACACCAGTCTATTACACAAACTGTTATTAATTAACACCCGTCTATTATACAACCTGTCATTAATTAACACCCGTCTATTATACAACCTGTCATTAATTAACACCCGTCTATTACACAATCTGTCATTAATTAACACCAGTCTGTTATACAAACTGTCATTAATTAACACCAGTCTATTATACAACCTGTTATTAATTAACACCCGTCTATTACACAACCTGTCATTAATTAACACCCGTCTATTACACAACCTGTCATTAATTAACACCCGTCTATTACACAACCTGTCATTAATTAACACCCGTCTATTACACAACCTGTCATTAATTAACACCCGTCTATTACACAACCTGTCATTAATTAACACCCGTCTATTACACAACCTGTCATTAATTAACACCCGTCTATTACACAACCTGTCACTAATTAACACCCGTCTATTACACAACCTGTCACTAATTAACACCAGTCTACTATACAACCTGTCATTAATGAATAATACAAACGTTTGTCTTATATACAACCTGTTACAAGCATTTGTCTGTCATACAACCTGTCTGTTACAAGCGTTTGTCTGTCATTCAACCTGTCTGTTACAATCATTTGTCTGTCATACAAGCAGTCTGTTACAAGCATTTGTCTGTCATACAACCTGTCTGTTACAAGCGTTTGTCTGTCATACAACCTGTCTGTTACAAGCATTTGTCTGTCATACAACCAGTCTGTTATAAACGTTTGTCTGTCATACAACCTGTCTGTTACAAGCGTTTGTCTGTCATACAACCTGTCTGTGACTAACACTTGTCTATCTTACAAACTAACACTTTTGATTTATCAGACCAATGTTACATATCGACATTACTGATAATTCATGGAAAACATAATTAGGAAATAGCATTTTCGAGTACAAATACTAGAAAAAAAATCGACCGCCCATCCAACACTTGGTAGCGCCAGACTTTGTGAAATGTTTGCCTTTCGATCGATGAACGAAATATAATTTTCACAATGACATTGATAAAATTACATCAGGTTTTACTTCAAGGAATGTTGCGAGTTTCCTCAAAGGCTTCATTTGTATTCTCACGAAATAATATCCGTACGTCATTCATTCTTAAATACACCTTTCCCATCTAAATACTATGCAAAGATAATTTTTGAAAATATCACAAACTTAGATATAGACTTATATCCAAGTTCGTGGTAATATGAACATTTACACTACAGGTAATTAATTCCATGGAGACTAACCTATTGTTTTCCAAATCCTCTTAGTTTGTCAGATGAAGGCGAATAACTGTACTGGAAGATCTTCATATTTCCCGGTATTGGTAAATGTTAACCTGGTTCCTCTGACTCCGACAAAGTCGAATTTATGTAATGTTTATAACAAAGGTCAAGAACAACAAACTGAAAAAAAATCTGTCCATACCTATCTTATATCAAATAGGGCATATATATATTGTACAATAATGAATAGATCTGCATCACACAGCTGCTTTTCCTTTTACTCCTCAGTGATGCTAGGGCCCAAAGCGAGGAAATCGAGATGACGTAGGGAAATAAGAATATGTCGATACACATGCTGAAAATTGTAAATAAGCACATTTCTTTATCAGTGTATTTATCTGAATGTTCAATACCAAGATACTAGACAATAATCAAACTACCAGGGGAAAAATATATATGAAAATTAAGGACCTTTGGTTTTGATCTATAGGGTATTACATCGGCCTGTTAGAAATAAACTGACCAAAGGTTTCGAAAACAGGTCTTTAACAATAACATTTGGTATTTAATTATACCAAAATCCTTCTGAAAATTTACTTAAATTTGTTTACTACTTTTCAAAATTCACCAAATATGGAAATGGACAGAAACTTGCAGATAATGCATACAAGAAACTATGTGTTATCAAGTAATTAATGACGTCATCAATTATATCAAAAGCATTGCTACAATATCCATCAAGAAAAAACCAACATGGCAACATGGCAACATGGCAACATGATCATAATTAAACTCAAAATTCCACATAACAAGGGCAAAATAACAGCAAAGGAAAGATTTACACGGAGACTCCTGAAAAAGTATAAAGAGGATAAGATAAGGTGTTCCGGAAGACTAAGCGTCTTCTGCTTCATCGGCAACACCCGCCATTTAAAATTTGGTCAATCCAGGCAAAACATGGCATGGTCTCAAATGAGAACAAGGTATACAACAACGGAACCAACAAGCAAACTAAGCAGCCTCGAACATGTCCAGCTTCATATCACACAACGGAACCAACAGACAAACTAACGAGCATCAAACACGACCAGCGTCATATCACACAATGGAACCAACAAACATCCTAACGAGCATCAAACACGTCCAGCGTCATATCACAAAACGGAACCAACAGGCAAACTAAGCAGCCTCGAACATGTCCAGCTTCATATCACACAATGGAACCAACAGGCAAACTAACGAGCATCGAACATGTCCAGCTTCATATCGCACTTAAAATATTCCTTGGTGACATAACCATGACGACCGTAAAACTTTGGATTTTTCTCAGTCGCCTCTTTGAAGTAGCAAAAATAAACCAAAAGCAAACAGAAAAATCCATTCATGTTGGTTTGATAAATAACAAATCGAAACAAAGAATCACTTCAATGAAAACATTTACACTGTGGTGGTTGTAACAAACATTATCTCTTCAATAAATACATTTACACAGTGTTGGCTGTAGCAAACATTATCTCTTCAATGAATACATTTACACAGTGGTGGTTGTAACAAACATTATCTCTTCAATGAATACATTTACACAGTGGTATTGTAACACTATCACTTCAATAAATACATTTACACAGTGGTATTGTAACAAACATTATCTCTTCAATGAATACATTTACACAGTGGTATTGTAACACTATCACTTCAATAAATACATTTACACAGTGGTATTGTAACAAACATTATCTCTTCAATGAATACATTTACACAGTGGTATTGTAGCAAACATTATCTCTTCAATGAATACATTTACACAGTGGTATTGTAACATTATCACTTCAATGAATACATTTACACAGTGGTATTGTAACAAACATTATCACTTCAATGAATACACTTACACAGTGGTATTGTAACATTATCACTTCAATGAATACATTTACACAGTGGTATTGTAACACTATCACTTCAATGAATACATTAACTTCGCAAATAAGCTGTTCGAATCTGAATGTAATATCGGGAACAATTGTTCTGTTTTCTAAAAATTTGGATTCTCCTACCGAAAGGGGCCTTATGTTACATATTAGTAACTATCTAACTTGTAAGGAGGTGGCTTTTAACTCTTTCTTTGAGGAATATCTCAGCGTAACCATAACTTTAAATAGTACAGATGAGATGTTAGTATGTCTTGTGTATAGATCGAACAGCGGATCAAGTGAGAATAACGATCAGTTACGAACCTTTTTACAAGGCATATCTAAGGAACGTTATTCCCATATTCTTAAACTGGGAGATTCAAAACAATAGTTAGGGTTCATCTGGAACATTCTATTACTGTATGGCATCCATATAGAGTCAAACATATAGATATGATTGAGGCAGTGCCATGGAGAGCAACAAAACAATTATCAGGATTTATGGAACTGACTGAAATGCCTAAAATTACCAACATTGGCATTCAGGGGGATTCGTGGGGATATGTCTTCAAAGTTGCGAACAGTTTTTGTGATAGTAACGCTGCTGGTTTCCTTAAATTGTGGATTGACAAAGTTTAAATTCAGCGGGCAAGGGGTCACTCCAAAAAACTTTACATGCAGCACTGTAAACTTGACATCAGGAAACATTCTTTTGCTTTGCGTGTGGTCAAAATATGGAACAATCTTCCGGAGTATATTGTATTGGCACCAACAGTTAACTCGTTCAAAAACAGATTAGATCAACACTGGGCAAATCAAGAACTGGTATATAATTATAAGTAAGAAATTTTGTAGTTCCTGGATCTGACGTCTCAAATGACAATAATTATAATCATTATCATTGCATCACTGAGACCGGTATAGAGGATCGTAAAGATCCTGCACTGGTAATAAACTAAACTAAACTAATTAACAATGTTGTAAGTATTCAATGGTGTGTTACATACACAATGATTATTAAGTCAGACACTGCTGTACTTCTCAATTAATAATGTGAATACAACAATATGTACAAACTTTAGACATTTACTAGAAATGAATAAATCAGTGACTGACAAAATAACATTTTATAAATATTTCTAATTTTGATCTGTCTTTGATCTTTAATGCATTTATACCTATACTGATTACTGGATAAAAGAAATACACAACTCTCACACACAAAGTAGGTTGTTACTATATATAGCAGTAAGTAACATGTTAACTGTAGGTAAAAATCAGACTCTGAAATACTGGTTGGGAAAGCCATGTCTTGATATAAATACATACCCAGTGTGGTTATAACAGCACTTCCTCAGCTCAATATGAGCTGAACAGAAAGCGTTGACATTACTTTGATGATAAACATCAAGTATAGACGATAATCCTTCATGAAACCATGTGCCGGGATGTCAATGATTATGTATCACTATATATAAAGGTTGGTGATGATAAGACCTGTGATTATTGAAAAATGCTGAGTCTTGTACAAATGCTGGCATCACCAAAGGAAAAGTCAGTTACATGTGAGACTTTATGTATACAAGTAGTATACCTCCATAAATGTAGACTTAAATCCAATTAAACAAACTACAATTACTAACTATGCTGTTGTAGGTGAATAAACTCAACGAAACAATGTACGGCTGAACCTATTTATCTTGGACTTGTATAAGTTGAAGACCCTGTTTCATTCAAAGTATTTCAGATGTCACGGCCAAACTTTTCAAAAAAATTTGTTCTCGCTTAAATCAAATAACTAGAAATTTTTCAGCGGTCCCACCGACTTCGAAATAACAAAGTTCAACATACATGCTCTACTACATTTGTCCAAATGGTACGTGTATGGGGCCACATTATTGAAATGTACATACAGCCTTTCAACATATTGATAAAAAACAAATGCCTGTTGACGGCATGACTAATCAAGGGTTTAGAAATTTAAATATGACCATGACATAACTATTTTGGATAAAGAAATGTACACTTTTGATCGAAACTTAAGAGTATAACTAGGACAGATCCACTATACATTTACGATAACTTTGATCATGCATGTTCATTGATATGTACTGATATGCAGATACATCAATAAATTCAGGTAGAACTTGTACCTTACAAGTAAGAAATGCAAATGCATGTATATTTATACTCCAATGTACTATGTGGTTATCTAATGTACAAAAAAAAATGTCAAAAATGAATAAATAAATAAATAAAATGAAAATGCACATCATTACAAATATATATGATAAAAAGAGACAATCTCCTCATTTAACAGTAATGCAAATAAAATAACAAAGAAATAGCATTGATATCATAGATATCTGTGCTGCATTACATATAATAGTAATGACAAGTGTCTTGTTTAAAGATTAGAATCACCTTATGCATTAATTCTCAAGGTTTGATACCGAGTTGATTTAAACTCTAGGATTTCTGATGTAATACTTACATTTATGATATGCATCCACTTTATGTCATAAATCATCGCTCTAAGATAAATCTGTTTGAATTTTTTTTTTTTGATAATGACATACTTAATTGTGCTATTCTGAACAATGAAAAAAAAAGTATATTTTGACCGTATAATACACTGTATGAACTCTAACAATAAATCCCACTTCCCTGTAATGGTTACCTGTCACTCTGTTGATAACAATTTGAATGTTTTTTGCAGAAACAAGAGGTTGGAATATCTATAAAGGACAAACAAAGGTTGTGTCACACCGACCCCCTTTTCCTTCACTATTAGAAGATCAGATTAAGATCCAGGGGGTGTGGTTCATTGCTCCCTACCCATGACAGTTTGTGTTTTACAGTAAGCTGAGTAATGAAACGGTCTGTACTTCATGGTTGTGTCTTTGGGCAAAACTCTTTGCCATAATTGCTCTGGATGACATTGGAGAGGTCTCCTGTATGTTGTTCAGTGAAGTAGCCACCAGGTACTACACGTAAACATCAAATTATCATGTGACAAAAACTAGCAAACAAGCAATCAGACAACCTTTCGTGACAAGGAAATATCACTTTTTTAAAAATCTACCAAGATCATCAACATCACAGCTTTACTGATATGTTTTGTAATTCTACCAATGAGCTAACGGATCCTCTCCTCTGTCGAATACTGCCCGTTTATCTGGAAAACAAGGATAGGCAGAAATATGATTACACAGAAATCAGGATAGATAAACTCAGATATAGAACCGTGAAGTGAACCTGACATTATAGGATATATCAGGAAACACTGTTGTTATCACAAAGTATAGTTCTACTTCAATACCTATTTCAGGTTAGAAGTGTTGTCTTTTATATACAGCATATCAAGATCATCTTACAAAGAGTTACTTCCCTTGTTGAATTGACCATCTTTCCTTTTAATGACAAATAATATCCAAAAGATAGCAATACCTGAAAGGCAGAATTGACCTCATATCATGCCCTAAATTTTAACATTGATTACTTTATACTTCTGTGTAAACGAAACAGTTCATGATTCAACCTTAATTCTCCAGTGGAAAGGAAATAGATATACATTAGATCAACATACATTAATGTATGTGGTATTTCTCTATGTGTAGCAATTTAACCACATAATAAATCTGAAATACCATTTATACATTTAGAAATAATATATCTACTGACCATGGCAAAAATCATTGGCATTTAAAAGTGAAAAAATATGTGACAGACACTTTAATACTTTATAACTCAAAAATACTGTGATGACATAAAAACAATTCCTGAATAATTATTGTCACTACCATTTGGCAACTGAAGTATGACAAATATAGTGGATCACTTAACTACCCTATCATCAGTGTAAAAACATCAATTACATCATTTTAGATGTGACACACCTGTAATATGCTTTAGCAGGGCTTTAAATGGCTGAAGGTTCCTAATGTTTGTTTTGTGATATCACATATTCATCGTGTCAGTATGCACATTGATTTCCAGAAGCGATATTGAGTGAGAACATCACCAATCTCGCTTTTTGTATCAATCTAAAACAATGCCAAATTCATGAATATGTACCAAAGTATTTCTACTGTATGATAAACTTTTTCTTTATTTTTTTTAATTTAAATTGCCAGAGCCTTGCTAAAATGAAAATTTTTTAAACCTTTCATAAACCTCATATTGCATAACAATATTTAAATAATTTTACTCACTTCGATCCGTTAAAACATCTTTAGCAGCAGTTATATCGATAAACATTTTCTGTGCCTTCACCTTATCGTCACCTTTATATCTATCTGGGTGCCATACCATTGCAAACGTTTTATAAGCTTTTAACACATCTTCGTAGCTTGCAAATCTGAAGAAATTGTTTTGAAAACTGGATTAGTAATTTTATATCACATTATGGTTTTATGTGAATTCTAATCATGAAATTTTCAAATACAAGCAAATGAAAGATTTACACAGAGATCAGAGGATATGAGACACACCCAACTACATACATATTGCAAAAGAAAATAAAATAATTCCTATGAGATCGTTATGACAACAGCAAAACTTTCCTCTTATCTTTATCCTCACTTTTCTTAATGTTAGTTTATTTGCCAGCAAGAAACCCTTAAATATTGAACCAACAGCGATACAAAGACATCAAATGCTGAAAAAACTAGGTTGTTGCTATCAATAAATAGTAAATTCACAACAGAGAAATCTAAATTATCATCATATGCCTTGGTGGAAAGCAGTCCTTGTTCATTTCATTTTGATGGAATTACAGGCTTATCTGTGGGTATCTTAAACGTAAAATCAAGTATTTTGTTTCAACATGGAGGAGTTATAAGACTTACCTATCTAAATCTAAGATTCTGTAATAATCCCTCTTCTCAGATATTTTCACCAATTCCTTGGCCTTCTTTAATCCATCTACCACATGACTATTATCCCCCATTCTTGATTTGACATACAGATAATCATCAACCGCTGAAAAAGAGATTTTCTAGATTTAGAATAATTTTACATTAAATCCTAATGATGACAATGATATAAACAATGTTAGGAAATTACATGTTTTCTTTCTAATCTTCTTGATAAAATTATTACAATTCTGTTTTCATCAGTGTAAAATGTTCAATATCCTGGTTTTATCAGTTTTGAGTAAGGTTTTGTTTACTTGTCAGTTAAGCTGCATGTTTTCGGTGATATACTTCAGACTTTAAAGTTGTGTTATTACAGCATGACCATTAGTTTATAGACAGTTTCCATTTCAGATATTACAATAAATAAACAAAGAAAGAATGTCTCGATAGTTTCTCAATAATTTTTTTCTTTTTTTTTCCATATAAAATTTGATTTCTTCAGAAAGTTTTTCTCTACCATCAACTTAATCAAGTAACTAATTACCTTGACGAGTTAATGGTAGAGAAATATTGAACTAATAATCTGATTAACTTTATGGCAGAGAAATATAGAACTACTTACCTTGATTTAGTTTTTCATTCACAATATCCATAGATATGTCTGCTCTACCTATTCTGGCTTGAAGATTATCAGGGTTTACATCTAAGACAGAATCACACGCCATGAAGGCAGTCATCAGGTCAGTCTGGTTAAAACAACATCAATAATGACACACTACCATTACGATATCAGACTCAGTCAGCTGAGTGGTCTTACACTTTGTTAGCAATTTTTGTTTCAAGTTCAATTATCTTTAACCAATAAGTTTTTTTTTATCAAGCACTCTATGTCGACACGGAATCCCATGTTGAGTTTATCAATTTACATTCCATATTGTGTCACTTGTTATGTAAAATACTACAGATCAGGTCCAAGATTTATGTGGAAGGACATCTAAGTAACAGTGAAACAGGGAAATCATACAACCAGATGGTAGTCACAAGCTGAGTAACGGGAAGATATAAATGACAAGGGACAAAGCATTAGATTTATTGTAAGGTAGGACACAGTAACAAAGGAAGGTGACAATGATAAAGGTAGGACACAGTGACAAAGGTAGGTGACAGTGACAAAGGTAGGACACAGACAAAGGTAGGACACAGTGACAAAGGTAGGTGACAGTGACAAAGGTAGGACACAGTGACAAAGTTAGGTGACAGTGACAAAGGTAGGACACATTGACAAAGGAAAGTGACAGTGACAAAGGTAGGACACAGTGGCAAAGGTAGGACACAGTGACAAAGGAAAGTGACAGTGACAAAGGAAAGTGACAGTGGCAAAGGTAGGACACAGTGGTAGGACACAGTGACAAAGGTAGGACAAAGTGACAAAGGTAGGTGACAGTGACAAAGGAAGGTGACATTGACAAAGGTAGGACACAGTGACAAAGGTAGGTCACAGTGACAAAGGTAGGACACAGTGACAAAGGTAGGACAGTGGCAAAGGTAGGACACAGTGACAAAGGTAGGACACAGTGACAAAGGTAGGTGACAGTGACAAAGGTAGGACACAGTGACAAAGGAAAGTGACAGTGACAAAGGTAGGACACAATGACAAAGGTAGGACACAGTGACAAAGGTAGGTGACAGTGACAAAGGTAGGAAACAGTGGCAAAGGTAGGACATGGTGACAAAGGTAGGAAACAGTGGCAAAGGTAGGACACAGTGATAAAGGTAGGACACAATGACAATGGTAGGACACAGTGACAAAGGTAGGAAACAGTGGTAAAGGTAGGACACAGTAACAAAGGTAGGTGACAGTGACAAAGGTAGGACACAGTGACAAAGGAAAGTGACAGTGACAAAGGTAGGACACAGTGACAAAGGTAGGGCATGGTGACAAAGGTAGGAAACGGTGACAAAGGTAGGAAACAGTGGCAAAGGTAGGACACAGTGATAAAGGTAGGACACAGTGACAAAGGTAGGACATGGTGACAAAGGTAGGACACAGTGGCAAAGGTAGGACACAGTAACAAAGGTAGGACACAGTGACAAAGGTAGGTGACAGTGACAAAGGTAGGACACAGTGACAAAGGAAAGTGACAATGACAAAGGTAGGAAACAATGACAAAGGTAGAACACAGTGACAACGGTAGGTGACAGTGACAAAGGTAGGACACAGTGACAAAGGTAGGTGACAGTGACAAAGGTAGGAGACAGTGGCAAAGGTAGGACACAGTGACAAAGGTAGGACACAGTGACAAAGGTAGGACACGGTGACAAAGGTAGGTGACAGTGACAAAGGTAGGAAACAGTGACAAAGGTAGGACACAGTGACAAAGGTAGGACACAGTGACAAAGGGAGGACACAGTGACAAAGGTAGGACACAGTGGCAAAGGTAAGACACAGTAACAAAGGTAGGACACAGAGACAAAGGTAGGACACAGTGACAAAGGAAAGTGACAAAGGAAGGAAACAGTGGCAAAGGTAGGACACAGTGACAAAGGTAGGACACAGTGACAAAGGTAGGACACGGTGACAAAGGTAGGTGACAGTGACAAAGGTAGGAAACAGTGACAAAGGTAGGACACAGTGACAAAGGTAGGACACAGTGACAAAGGTAGGACACAGTGACAAAGGTAGGACACAGTGACAAAGGTAAGACACAGTAACAAAGGTAGGACACAGAGACAAAGGTAGGACACAGTGACAAAGGAAAGTGACAAAGGAAGGAAACAGTGGCAATGACATAAAAAAATATTTTACTGCGGACAGAAGGAGGAAATGAGACTGTAAATACACTTGAACTTATCGGAAAAAGACATGCTAGTTTAATAGAATGAAGATGACAGTGACACAGATAGTAGAAATAAAACTATTCAGAAGATGACAGTGACACAGGAAGTAGAAATAGGACTTACCAGAAGATGACAGTGACACAGGAAGTAGAAATAGGACTCACAGGAAGATGACAGTGACACAGGAAGTAGAAATAGGTTTCACCAGAAGATGACAGTGACACAGGAAGTAGAAATAGAACTCAACAGAAGATGACAGTGACATAGGAAGTAGAAATAGGATTCAACAGAAGATGACAGTGACACAGGAAGTAGAAATAGGACTCACCAGAAGATGACAGTGACACAGGAAGTAGAAATAGGACTCACCGGAAGATGACAGTGACACAGGAAGTAGAATTAAGACTTACTGGAAGATGACAGTGACATAGGAAGTAGAAATAGGATTCAACAGAAGATGACAGTGACACAGGAAGTAGAAATAGGACTCACCAGAAGATGACAGTGACACAGGAAGTAGAAATATGACTCACCGGAAGATGACAGTGACACAGGAAGTAGAATTAGGACTTACTGGAAGATGACAGTGACACAGGAAAGAGTTGGCCTTCATGATGTAATACTGTACAGTGGATTCTGTCTGAAGCATCTTTTGTGCTCTTTTTATACATTGTAAATTCTGCATTTCATTTTTGTATTTATCACCAGCCCCCATCAATTTAACCATGGTCTTCACTTTCTTGTAGAGGGCATCACACTCAGTGTGATCAGGATCTAGCTTCAGGCATTCTCGGATATGTCTACAAATAAAATTTCTGATACTAATTTTAACTTAAAGTGCCAATATTTTCAGGCAAAATAACCACTAGAAGTAGTATTCAGATATATAAATTATTATCTGTATTTCATCATCACCTATTTTACATTTTTCTCTCTTAAAATAGAATTGATAACAGATTATCTCAATCTGTATCATTTCTTTTTTTTTCACCATTTAGTATTGCAGGTCTTAAACTGAACACTCTGTTCTCTGGGTGGTGTCAGGAGAAATCAAGGAAATTTTATCATATTATTTCTTCCTATACTCATTATACTCTTAAATTGCTAGCACTCATAGTAAAGAAGTAATAAATAGGTAACAAAATGTAACAATGAAAAGATCTGTACATAAATACATACACAAGTGAGTTTTCTGTATCCCCAATATCATATGCAATCATGCTGAGCTTGAGGTAAGCTGGTGCCTTAAGACCACGGTGTAGAAGAGTTGCCCGGATATCTGCCATAGCTTTTCCATATTTGCTTTCAGATAGATAACACTCCGCTCGTATCTCTCTCAATATCACATCCCACGGGCATAGCTAGGAAATAATCATATACAGTATCCACCAACGACATACCATGAGGATGGATAATACAGTGATATGCAATATTTTCCCAAGGGAGCTAAATACCTATTTTATCAGTAAACAGTCACATTTGAAAACAGATGAGACACCCAGTAAAAAATACTGCATTACTAATTCTGCACATTTCTGATGAAATAACATGTTCGCCCAATAAACTTTGATAAAGTAAGTAATGGTTCTACGCTTCAGTCTTTCGGCCAATCAGATTTTATGTTATGTAAACCATAGCCATCAAAAATACGATATAGTGGAGAGTGCTACACCCTTGAGAATCAAAATATTGCATCAATTAAATGTACATATTAAATATAAAATAGTAAGTAAATACAATATTGACTCATAATATAAATACATTTACTTACATGTACGTGTTAGTTAGAGATGAGTAAAAATGAACTTATAAAATACTGAATATAGCAGTACACTTTAAATTCTGCACTTAAAAACAGCACTGTCATACATATATAGCTACACATCTATATTCAGATAATTTTATTTAATCACATTGTTTATTTGTAGATATTTCTGAAACTGTTTAATTTTCAACTAGTTTTGCCATCGCTAACACATGTATCAGAATACATACAGAACCCACCAAATGTTCTAAAGTAAAACCTGTGTTCTTCATCAATATTTCTCTCCTGTATGGATCCTCTCGCCCATTCCGACAAAAATGGTTATGTCATACTAGACCTTTTGTGAAGTAACTGGTTGGAAATTTTTGATCATCAGAACATCTACTTATGACACTCACCTCTAGGATTTTATCCAATGCCTCCCTACAACCTAAGTAGTCTTTCTGCATGAACAGCAGTTTAGCAAATGATATATCCTGTTTTAGGTTCTTAATTTGCTGGATTCTTAGAGATGCCTCTCTGTTGGATGGTTCCCTTCGCAGCTGCAATGGGATGAAAACATAATATAAATCAAACATAAACCCCCTCCCTCACACGCATACACATACAAACAAAAACAAGTGGTCCATGGGCCTTAACGGTCATCTGAGATAAAATACAAGATTTCAAATTTTGAACTTGAGAAGAAGTCGAAAATGTGTTTTCAAGATGGCGGCCATGGCGGCCATGTTGGATTTCGGACCAACCCGAAATTAACAAACTTTTAGGATCATATCACGATCATTTCAGGTAAGTCTCAGCTCAATGACACATGTAGAACTTGAGAAGAAGTTGAAAATGTTTACGACGGACGACGGACAACGCCGGACAATAGGCGATCACAATTGGTCATCAGACCCTTCGGTCAGATGACCTAAAATGGCAAATTCTACAACATTTCAGAATATGTCTAATAATATAAACAAACACATTCATGATATGATAATAATATTAAAAATGTTTTATCTTTCGATGCATTTGAAAACATACCAGCTGTGTCATACAGTGAAAATCACATACTGATAATATATACAAATCTCTATATGTCTTTAAGGGTGAGGATATATTATTGAAATACTTTCATGTCATACAGTCTCCTACAATCCTGATATCTGAACATTACAGACAACAAACTGTGTATGGTGCGTGATGACGGATGATGCACGATAGGAATAGGTCATAGTTGACTCTTTGGTTCAGATGGTCTAAAAACTATAAGTGGAATTAGAAAGATGAGCAATGCGGAGTTTGCAACGTACCATTCAGAGATGTAGAAACTAGTACTTACAACCAAGTTGAAGTCATCTTTTGCTGAAATCAAATCTCCAAGGTTTAGATATACACTTCCCCTCTCCGCTATAGCCTGTAAACAAATCAGAAAATGGAACAGGTACTCAAATTTTCATTATTTAATATCTGTTAGATCATGTATTGTTATTTCACATATCAATTAATATGTTTCAGACCATATTTGGTTGAAATTAAAGAAACGAAAACAAATTATCCATATTACTGGAATACTTCCATATTTATTTATGTTTGTATTTCATGTTTCATTCATTCTTCGTTAAATGTGTACATTCATTAAATTGTATAGATACATTCTATAACAATCAACGGAATGATGACATCATCAGGACTGACACCTATTAGATTGACAAAATGGATCAAGACTAACACTAATGAGTTAGATATAATCCATTAAGACCAGGACTGACCCTTATTAGACAGACAAAATGGATCAAGATCAACACTAACACTGATAAGTTATATATAATGAATTAAGACAAGGACTAACACTAATTAGATTGATACATGATAAAATTAAGATCCAGATTTACATTTATATATAGGTGAGACATGATAATTATAGATCAAGACTAACACCTATTAAACTGACATTATGAATTAAGATTAAGACAAACAATAATTAAACAGACATAATTAATTAAGATTAAGACAAACAATAATTAAACAATAATTAAACAGACATAATGAATTAAGATTACGACAAACAATTATTAAACAGACATAATGAATTAATATTACGACAAACAATAATTAAACAGACATAATGAATTAAGATCAAGACAAACAATAATTAAACAGACATAATGAATTAAGATTACGACAAACAATTATTAAACAGACATAATGAATTAAGATCAAGACAAACAATAATTAAACAGACATAATGAATTAAGATTACGACAAACAATAATTAAACAGACATAATGAATTAAGATTACGACAAACAATAATTAAACAGACATAATGAATTAAGATGAAGACAAACAATAATTAAACAGACATAATGAATTAAGATTACGACAAACAATTATTAAACAGACATAATGAATTAAGATTACCACTAATACTAATTAGAGAGACATATATAAATAATTAAGATAAAAACGTTTTGTTGAATAAGCTTACTTCAGTAAAATCTGGTTGTAACTCAAATGCTTTGCCTAAAAACTTCAATGCTTTTTTGGAAAAACCCAAGTCTTTGCAAACCATTCCACATCTGAACTGTGACATGTGATTGGATGGATTTTCCTCTGAAACAGGAGAGATATGTATTTCTTACATTACCATACTGATGAATATGATCTGACATTTAATATAGTTGATTTGCAATCATGTATTTTTTCCTTACTCTAACCTAATAATTGGAATTATTGTAAATATTTATGTTGTGAAATAAAACTTGATCATAAAATTACTGTTATTGTTTTGATGATATTTCCATAGAATGTACAATATAAAAGGTAGATTTGGAGGGGTGGAAGTATAAAAAAGAAACTGACCCCGATAACTCAGGTTATTTTTATATGGGTATTAGAGACAACAATGAACAAATAATATCAGCAATTATTCAAATTAAATACCTTCTAGTTTTCAAGAACAGGTCTAATGACTGATGAAACCATAACAAGATTCAGTTTGCCTAAATCATACACAAAACTGTTTTTCCACACCAATTTCATGGTCTTGTTTTAAAGATTAAACAACACAAACTAACAATGTTGAAGTTTGGATGTATGTTTACCAAGCGCTTGTTTATACTGTTCTAGAGCATCCACAAACCGTCCAGCAGCTTCTAACGCATGTCCTTTGTCCAGGAAGTCATTCTCTTTTGTGGTTGATCCAGAGCCAAACCAACCTTATGATAAATAGATTTTTTAATACATCTTTTTAAATTTAACAACTTCAGTTAAATGACAAAAATTAGAATAGAAAAAGAAATTGGTCAGAAACAGAAGCATTCATATCAAAAGTTGTTTTGATAGCATGTGTCTGCCATTTGCCGTAGTCACAGTGCTTTATACCCTATCCTTCAGAATCTTGTGTGCGGTTTTATCTCTTTCACCTTCCTTCCATCAGAGACATATATATATATCACGTCTCTGCTTCCATCAAGAGGACATTGCATCTTTTTTCTATCGTGACCTCTGGTCCTTTTCATATTGTCCATTTGGAAACAGTTTCTTGTTACCCTACTATCATATTTGTCTGTTAATATTTTGGAAACGTTTATCTCCTCTTGTCCTGTGGTGTTGTAGTGTCAGCAGATTTAACTTCTGCAACCGTTCCGGATAAGACAGATTTTTAAGTTTAGGGAGTACTTTTGTAGCCATTCTCTGCACATTTTCTATGAGTTCTATATCTGTTACTTTTGACGGGTTCCAGACACTTGCAGCATACTCCAAATTTGTGTTTCTCTGATGAATATCTGGAACTATTAGCACAACTTTTAACAGCTGAATGGAAGTTTGTGTTTTCTATGTAAAGATCCGAGATGTGTCGCATGATCTCTAACGTACCCTACTGTATGTATAAATATAGGCCTAACGTTAGGACTTTCAAAACGTGCACAATACATGCTACACATCATTATCGGTACATAAGTTTTAACTGAAAACCTACCTGCTGTGTAAATATCATCACGTGCAATCCACAGTAATACATAAATGGTTACATAACTACCCACAGATCGAGCCTTCGATGCCATCGTGAAATATGATAACATCCGATCTTCACTGACGCAATCACCGGTTGCAAGCGCAGCTTAGAATTCCACGTCAGCTCTACGCTATATATACACATGGAAATCCTCATCAACATTTCTACTTTCACTTTCTCTTTTCGGTGTAAATTTTATTTATATATATTTATTTTATTATTATTTTTTTTTTTTTTTGCAATATCTTTACATCAACATACATGTATTTATTAGACAAAACACACTCTCATAAACCACGATTTACATACTCCGATATATCAATATATCATCATTTCATAAATTATCGTCATCATCATAAAGACATTACAGCATCATCATATTACAGCCATCAACAACATCATTAACATCCTCCCCCTCTTCCTCGTCGTCATCATTATTAAATGCCATCACCATATATAGTTATCATTATCATCATTAAAACACGCACATGCACACTCTGATACACCCACTCATACATTTACAACCATAGGAAGGATAGAAAGACGCAAAAGACAAACACGAAAGAAAGAAAAAAATCTAATAACTTAATCCTAAATAAGAACTTGATGGTATAAAGATATGCTGAATGAATTTGAGGAGAGGTTGAGGAAGGGGGCAAAGATTAGAAATAGGAGGGAGAGAAATGGATGGTAGATGAAATGTTATGAAAAATAGTGACACCGTGATATGCGTGACCGCCCTGTCCGAGACTGGGAACTTGTCTGATGACACATTATGACATGATTGTAACAAGGAACATGCAGTATTTTGTTTTCAAAACGCATGAAAGGTATAATTTTATATAAATAGTATACATTATTCCATGATTTGTATCAATTTTTTTCCGTCCGTATACGTTTTTTTCTTTCGTCCTTTCCCCTTTATTACTAGTGACATAGTTCTGATCTTTATAATGACCATGGATGACATGAAGTAATGTATGAATATTAAATGTCTTGTGTAGACATCTTGTTCTATAGAAAGACGGCTTTATACGTAAAATAACATGATTATCAACTTCATCGATTATATTGTTATTATTATTGATTCTGCCAAAAAACTACGTTTATTTATGTAATGTACAGGGTATAGATAAAGCCTCTAGCAACGTGTCTAGACTTAGAATTAAATATTGCACTTGACCACATTCCCAAAATCATCATCGTTCAGAGATATTTTCTTTGCCTTTAGCTAAAATAATCATAATTTTATGTTTATGCATGTCGGTCTAGCCTCGCCTTATTCGGTGTCTGTCTCTCCTGTCGGTGTCATCTTTTTACTTTTCAGTGCTGAAAATCATGCGGTTTTTTTTCTACATATTGTATGTAAAGCCTAATGTAACGGCTCGTGTTTCTTAACAAGACCTGATATTTGGTCAGTAGCATACTAGGATAAAGGCTAATTTACTTGACTCAAATGAAAGACCATGATTGATTTTCGTGGTCGCGGAAGTCAACAGTTATATTTTTATATCTTATGAATAACTGAATGCTGATATTTATAACCATGGACTTTCTAAATCCTTGTTATAACCATGGCGGACAAATATGATAAAACTTAATCTAATCAAAATACTTACCAACATGGTGCACTACTTTTAACATAACTGTGTATAATGACGGTCTGCATTTAAATCAGACTGAGTCTTCAAGAACATACCTGTTCGTCATCCTTTGGTGAGGTTCTTTCAAGTTCACGCATTTAAATTTTTCTTTCCATTTCTGAAAAGCAGCATTCCTGCATCTCCAACTTAAGGTATTTACATGTTTCAGTTGACTCGATAATGAAGGGTTGTTCTCAAGAAAGATGAGAGTAAGTTGGTTTGATAGCCGCTATTCCAAAAATCTAAGAATATGTCTGTAAGTATGCCAACAATTGTACTAATGTTTTTTTTTCAGTCCTAATTACCACCGGAGTCTGTAGATTGGATATGTAAGCGCCTGTGCTATATTCATCACATATATTTATTTTTTCCAACACATTGATATAACTTTGACAAACTTGAATTAAAATTAGTTGTGTCATGTTTTAGGTGAAAATAGCACATAATTTCAGTTCACAGTCCCAACGCTGTATAGTTAAACACAGCATCAATGTACGTGTATCGATGAGTCAATAAGACGGACTTCTGTTTATATATTGTTTCCTAAAACAACACCATCCTGTTGTTCAACAAAATGTTGGCACTCAGAGAACATCTCCTCTATACATTACGTTAATATATATACATTGCAATTTCAAAGGTATATGTACAGTCTACGACTGACATTTGTAACCATTGGTGAGAATTTATACGGACCGATTCACTTACAGTAAATAAAACAACAATGACGAATCATGTGAGCATTATTGAAGACTGTACCATGTATATACTATGTTGACGTTGATACTTACATGTACAATCATTTTAACGAGAAGTGTACGCTGCAGCCATGATTATAACAGAGACTTTATCTGGGTTCAGAGTGCTTTAAGATAATTTCGGAATTTTTAAAGCGGTAGGACAAGACAAGAATAGATATAAGGGCTGTTCGATTAGATTTTCAGAAAAAAAAGGTGTACGGAAGTGATAGCGTACAAATCACGGCTAATTGCCTTGTTGTCTGATTGCTTTGTTTTTTTCACTTGTTTCTCAATCAACAGCCATGTTTCTATAACTAATATGTATAATCAGTCCCGTGTCAATGACTATCATTAGATAATGACAATTGTTGTATTGTGCAAGGTTATACAGAACATCTTCTCATTCAAAATGCATTCCATATCCCACTTTAATGAAAATACAGTCAAGTGCACACACACTTTGTACGTATATCTATATAAAGAGAGAGAGATATTGCGCAACTCAAGTAAAATCTTCTAAATTGACATATTCATTATAAACCATGGCTATTTATATCCCCTTCCATGAACACAGAGTAATTATTTTCTCCCGATATTGCCATCATTTGTGCACAGCACCTAAAACAGACGTTTGTCTACGCCAACCCAAAATGGCCCTTGTACCATTTGGCTCATCAGCATCAAGCTTATCCGTGTCCAGGACATACGTACTAATTGGGCTGTATCCCCGAACGCATACATTTTAAAAACATGTCTTGGGTGATATGTTTACACAGTGATTATAGTCTGTTTCCTTGTGTAGGTAGTTATATTTACCTGTACAAGTTACCTGTATTTACCTGTGAGTGTACAGGCATCCTGATTTTAGGGTGGGAAATTACAGATGAGGACATATAGTGTATAATAGACTTATTTAAAGTAAAAAAAAAGAAGAAATTACAATTGTATGGATTATATATATAAACTTTAAACAAATTATTTAAGAAATGTTCAATTTACAAGATGAAGGATATAAATTGTGTACAATTTTGTTTTAATATTTTTTAATTTATGCACAATTATGCATGCATTCAATTATCATTTCCTAGTGCTGTATATATGTCTTTAGTTATGTGCTGATATGTGTACATTGATCTTTCTTTAGATCAAAATATTGTACCTTATAGAATTGATTTGAATTTAAAGTTAATTGTAATATTATGATAGAATATATTCATACATGTTGAACTTGATATTTTAGTTGAAGTTACATGTTATTTAAAGGTAATTGTGCTATTATGATAGAATATATTCATAAATATTGGCATCTTTGTGTTCTTTCTTTATATTAAATGTATTTTAAATTTAATCAATTGTAATATTATCATAAGAAAAGTTAATAAATATTGAACTTCATATTGATATCTTAGTTTTCTTTCTGCAAGTTATCACAGGTTAATACAGGTAACACAGGTAGATCCACAGGTAAAATATCTCAGGTAAATATAATACATGTATGATATAGACTATAATTACCCTCCCTTTGATGTTTCTACCTATTGTTCTAGACATGTATGCGTTCAGGGAACACACCACTAATTGCTATACGCCCCAGGACAGTTAACTTTCACACCTCGGCGGCAGGCCTTTTTTTATCCCCGTTCCCCATCCGTCCTAAATGAGTTGTCTTCAAGAAGTAGTTGGTTTCTTCTTAGACAATATTGGTGTATTTGTGAAAATGTATATTCTCTGGTGTCCAGATAACACTGTGATTCTCTGTAAATCTGATAAAATCTTACAGACAGCTCTAATTATTTTAACGATAACTGTCGAATCTGGAAGTTAAATGTTAATACAAAATTTAAAGAATTTTAAAAAAAATTAAAAAAAAAAATTATAATATTCACAAAAAGGAAATGTAGGAATCAAGCTAGATTTACATTTTCTGACAAAAAATAGTATATATATATAAATTGTAGCTGCAGTGTTACTACCAAAGTATGCTATATATCAAGTCTTGTTTGGACAATCTGAAGTAGTTTCTTTATTGATATATAGGCAATGTAACTACATTGTTACTATCAATGTATATCTATAACTAGTACGGATGTCTTTATTCGACCATCCTGTAACATTGGTCAAAGTTTACTGACATTTTTAGTGCCACAGATTTACAAATTACTTTCTGTAATATAGGGTGATATTTCAGTTGTTAATAGGTCAAACTCGCGATTTGTTTTTAAAAGAATCTAAGTAAACAGAAAATATTTGTCACAAAAGTTAGCGAGATTTATTTGAAAATTGATAATTTTACTATACTGGTTGTGTTGAGAGGATTTATTGTTTTTCGAGAAGAATGGTATCATAAAGACAGCAACGTTAATTAACAATAAAACTGTATTTCAATTCAAATGATTCCATAATACAATCATCGTACAGAAAATATCAATTTATGCGTTGTAATTAGCACGTTTCGAGACAGATATCAAAATAGATACAAACATGCGTTTTATAGCATTTGTAACAACCAGGAAAAGTAGAAATACGTTTCTGATTTTACCTGACATAGCTGACTTTCAAGACTTGGTTAAAAGAAGATTTAATTATGTTGGCGGGCTAGTATCGCATTTAATACATTGTATATCATTATATTTTCTTACAAAAAAAAAACCCGGACATGTTACTTGAAAACTAAGAACATGGATTGATGTTGCAACAACCAAGCAAATGGATTACATAAATCAATTGACTTATTGACTGATATTTAAAAATGCAATTCATCAATCTGAATGAGAAATAAAATGTACGAGTTCAATGAATTCGAGTTTTCTCTGTACTATGTATTTATATTGGGTAGAAGTACTGCCACAGTAGAGAAAAAAATGTCTATTTAAAAATGTTGTGGTTAATCAATGTCTAGCCATTGTCCTTTTCCTTAGTGTAATGGGTTACTTTAAGATTCCTTTCGATCCAAATCCTTGATCAAGAGTTTTCCGTTGTTAATCGTCATTTTAATTGCTAAAGTAATCATCAATTGTTCTGTTCAAATGTATTTTCCAATTCTAGATTTTCTCGCAGTTTTATTTTCTTTAAACCAAATCCAGGTGTGTCGGTTTTATACGGCCCTGACCAAATTAGATGATATCTTCGTATATTGACTGCAGTAATATGTGAAATCATATAGGACATAGAGTCAGACGATGAGAAGTTAGCCCATGAAAGAGATGTCTATAGTTCACACATGTCCAGGTAAACCAAAGGCGTGTCCTTCGAAACAACAGACCATATTCACTCATATAATAAAATGTAATGTTATATATTCAACAGATATTGTTTAACTGAAGTGTAAAACTCTGATTATTAAGGACTAGTAGATGTGTAACCACTATGTAGGCTACGACAGATACCTATATGACCATGACTGCACGGGTCTCTTAGTCAAAGTCTGATAAAATAACTCATCCATGACTGACCCTATTCTACCGGTGCGCTCACGTGCTCCCACTCCATAAGCGGCAAGGGGACATAACCCATGATATCTCGGAGAAATATACATATAGTTTGCAAATGAACCAAATAGCTTCAAAATCTCATTATATTTCAGCTTTTTCGTGAAAGTACTATTATGTAATTTGTTATTTTAAACAAGAATACCTCTCGACAGGTTGGTTTTATTAGCCGCATTGAATTTTAAGTGAAACTATGTACCATGTATGCAAATGAGTGTGCACCTACACAAGTGACTTTATAGCCCTATATAACAAACACACAAAAAAGGGTGGAAGGAGGGAGTGTCTCTACTTCAACACTAAAGCGTCACTATAGCCTTAGAATAGAAACAGTAGCTTCAAACCTACTCGTTTCGTCAGTGACATTAACGGGCAAGGACAAATCCAAAGTGATCGAAAGACACTGGACGATTTTTGTTAAACTTTCAGTGTAATTTCTATTAGCATAAATAATAAGTTTAAGAGAAAAACAGGGTTCAATTTTCTTGTTTGAATGAAACATGGACATTTAAAAAATGTCCAAAAATTAGAAGGAAGAGTTCGGGACCTATCTAGACTTTGTTTGTGTAAGGTAGTTATAAAGTCCGTCTAATGCTTTAAAAATAATCAACACTTGTCAAAGTTCCTATTATACACTCCATGTCAATACTTGTCAACGTACGTTTAATACACTCCGAGTCAATGCTTGTCAACGTTAGTGCATTACACTCTGCGTCAACACTCGTCAACGTTAGTGCATTACACTCTGCGTCAACGTTAGTGTGGAGTAAGAAATGTCACTATGGGGAATTGTTTATAATAAATCGTTTGAGAAAAATACTCTCTGGAGAAATCACAATTGTTTTACCGCAGTACAGTTAAAGAGCTAATGCATTAAATTGTCATTTTTTTTTTGTTGATCTAAAACAATTTACATGTCTTTTTATTACTACCTAACTAATTCGCTATTTTTTCTCGGAAAAATAAAACGCAACAAAAATCTTTTTTTTTAAAATAAGGTGGATTTTATTGAAAAGAAAATATACATATATTTCAAACTCTCTCTAACTTGCTTTCTTTCTGTCTCTCAATTTCCTAGCTAACATCAAAATATTTCCCATGTTCAACAATAGTAATCATATAATGACCGGAAAGTACAAACTACAAATAAGTCAGTTTTAGAAGTCTGCGTATGTATACAACACTTCCACAAAAAAACATGACATCATGTTTCATGTCTTCCATAACAACAAACAAAATCAACAGTTTTTCCTCAATCTAAATCTGAACCTACACCTTACAAAGGTTCAGATGTAACAAACATATTACAAAAACAAATAATGGATTAGAGAGTAAACAAAAAAAATCTGCATTTCAATTTTTTAAATACATTATTGATAAAATATTTCATTAACACTAAACAATTTCTTTTCTTGTTATATGATTTCACAAATTTAATTGTTAAATATCACATCTTCTACAGCTATAACTATCACAGCTAGTACAAAACTCGCCTACAGTTCAAAATGTGTTTTAGTAATAATGACCCATATAAATTGTCTCAAGGAACAGAGACAGAATATGTAACATTTAACAATATCAATTTCTTCATTACACACATGCCTAAGAAACATCTTCATAGGTATTGCGAAAGAAATACAAACAAATGAAAACAACTAGAAAACTATTGCAGACATAAGTAACAAGTTATTTATAAAATATGCTGACAAAATGAACCAAATGTCAACTGTTGTCAATAGTCAGTATGGAAAACCACCCAAAAGTCTCTCTGTAAATCTATTGGATTGATTTTTAAAACAGTCGTCTCCCTTCTCTTTAAGTAACATCCTTGCTTCACAATAAATATGATGCCCTTGTAATACTTCCCAGTGAATGGGAACATATGTACGGGCAACCTGTTCAGTACAGAGAAATCATTTCCTTCATAATTCATGCACACTATTTCCCTGTATTACATAGAATGCTGGTCTTTAACTTTTAGAAAATGTTGCACCAGTTAAGACAATACATGTTCAGCAAAATAGTCACCTGCAAGTATAAAACTAGACATTTTATTTCTCTACAAATCTATATAATCCATTCAAAGTATTAGTCAAAGTGTAACTTCACATGATTATAGATATCTTCAGTATAATTATAATGCTTATTTAAATAACACATATTGTAAAACATCTTTTTAATAGTCTTGAAAACATGTTGTAGAAATGTTAATTTTCTTGGACTAAAGTCACCTGTTTTCTTTTCTCTTTCTACTTGTCCTTTAATCTTTGAGAATCAAACTTATTTTGTGTTTAAGATTATGATATATACCATTCTGAACAAAAACTACAACATAACAGCTTAAAATACAATGACACAAGCATGTACTATAAAAATATTCTCCTTCAATATATCAGAATTGTTCTTTTGCCTCATCATATAGGTCTAGCATCGTCAGAATGTCACAATATTACAAAGAAGTCCTGATAAAGCAGACATTTTTTTTTAAGTGCACATTATTACTTAGTATAATTAATTTACTTTCTTAAACATAAGTTTAACTTAAGTCATTATTTATCAAAATGTCTTTAGAATAATTGTATCTATTAAAGTTAATTCACGACATAAAAAAGTGGTTGATTTCATTTTTTAAAATGTTGAGGATAATGTATAGTAATGACAATTTTTCTAGATTCTTTTAGACAAAAGATTTTTAAAATTTCTAAGACACAAAATCTTGTGAGTTTCATTTTAGATGTTTTCATATGAAAGTCAGTATGATATCAGTGCTTTTTTTAATGAAAGCATTTTTGCTTTCGTTTGCACCTGATTTGCTTCAACAATACATATTGTATAATGACCGATGGAGTACATACCTGTTAACTAATATGGTTGAACTGAAAGGTAAGAATACACATTTTTGACTGGCCGTCATCTTTTTAACATTTTTTTTTAAGAAGTCTGTCAAAATCCATCCGTCAACAGTATAATGGCAATACTTCGATACATAGTACCAGACCTGAACTTAGTATAAGCTAATTAAAGCATTAACCAAACCTGGAAATGGCGACGTAACCATGGTAAAGTGGTAGATTCCAAACTTGGCCGATGATGAAAACACTTTGAAAACAGAAACAGACTAGACTAGAGTGTTTCTGGAACTTCTGCTGTCTATTGATTGAAGGTATATTTATGTTACCACAGCATTTTGTTACCGTGGTAACCCTTGTGTTGACAGGGAGACCATTTTACAAGGCCAAATGGTCCGAGAAAGGAAGAAGGAATAGAAGTGAATTAAAATGATTAGTTAACATCATTATCCATTTAGCTCCATGTAGCTAATCACTTCTTCTTTTTCTGCAAAACAATAAAACAAAGACAAAATCAAAAGGTTGTAAAAAAAATGATAAGAAGAAAATATTTCAAATACAAAAATGTAGTAGAAATTTCTCCCATTCATACTCAGTCGTAATGGTATATCAATTTTTTCTCCCACCTCTGCCCATGTAGGAAAGACATGTCCCATGTGGAACACCCATGGAGGATAAATTTATCCCAAATGACTGCACTCGGTGACCTCAGTCGGCTATCACAACTGACTCAAACCAACGAGTGGATGCTTTGTTGACATATCCTTATACACTGTAACTTTGACATATCCTTATACACTGTTACTTTGACATATCTTTATACACTGTAACTTTGACATATCCTTATACACTGTTACTTTGACATATCCTTACAACTGTTACTTTGACATATCCTTATGTACTGTTATTTTGACATATCCTTATACACTTTTACTTTGACATATCATTATACACTGTTACTTTGACATATCCTTATACACTGTTACTTTGACATATCCTTATACACTGTTACTTTGACATATCATTATACACTGTTACTTTGACATATCCTTATACACTGTTACTTTGACATATCCTTATACACTGTAACTTTGACATATCCTTATACACTGTAACTTTGACATATCCTTATACACTGTTACTTTGACATATCCTTAAACACTGTAACTTTGACATATCCTTATACACTGTAACTTTGACATATCCTTATACACTGTTACATTGACGTATCCTTATACACTGTTACATTGACATATTCTTATGTACTGTTACATTGACATATTCTTATGTACTGTTACTTTGACATATCTTTACAACTGTTACTTTGACATATCCTTATACACTGTTACTTTGACATATCCTTACAACTGTTACTTTGACATATCCTTATACACTGTTACTTTGACATATCCTTATACACTGTTACTTTGACATATCCTTATACACTGTAACTTTGACATATCCTTATACACTGTTACTTTGACATATCCTTATACACTGTAACTTTGACATATCCTTATGACTGTTACTTTGACATATCCTTACAACTGTTACTTTGACATATCCTTATGTACTGTTACTTTGACATATCCTTATGTACTGTTACTTTGACATATCCTTATGTACTGTTACTTTGACATATCCTTGTGACTGTTACTTTGACATATCCTTATACACTGTTACTTTGACATATCCTTACAACTGTTACTTTGACATATCCTTATGTACTGTTACTTTGACATATCCTTATGTACTGTTACTTTGACATATCCTTATGTACTGTTACTTTGACATATCCTTATGACTGTTACTTTGACATATCCTTATACACTGTTACTTTGACATATCCTTACAACTGTTACTTTGACATATCCTTATGTACTGTTACTTTGACATATCCTTATGTACTGTTACTTTGACATATCCTTATGTACTGTTACTTTGACATATCCTTATGTACTGTTACTTTGACATATCCTTACAACTGTTACTTTGACATATCCTTAAGTACTGTTACTTTGACATATCCTTATGTACTGTTACTTTGACATATCCTTATGACTGTTACTTTGACATATCCTTATACACTGTTACTTTGACATATCCTTATACACTGTTACTTTGACATATCCTTACACACCGTTACTTTGACGTATCCTTACAACTGTTACTTTGACATATCCTTATGTACTGTTACTTTGACATATCCTTATGTACTGTTACTTTGACATATCTCCAGACTGTAAGAGTTCTATATAAGATTTATTTCTATGAAATTCTGATGAATTAACATGACAGATTTCCAGATCTACTAGAACAATTACTTCTGTTTATGATAAGATCATCTTAACTTTGCTGTGGCTCTTCTCACAGAAATTGATACTGTTAAATACATAACGTATGTTAAGAGTTTTATGAAGTTTATCATAAATGTACTGGTAACATAATTTATTAATGTCTTTTTGTCTACCTTACAGATGAACAGGAGACACATGTCTAAGAGATAAATGACTCCTAACACAATAAACGTGGTAATAAACATAGCTTAAGAAATGTTTGAGAAGCTGACAAACCACTTTTAACGGGTACTTCATAGTTGAAGTTAAATCTTAAAGAGGTGTTTTTGCTTTAGAAAATCAACTTCAGATCAATTTTGAAATGAAAAATAAGACATTTTGAACATACTAACTAAAATTATGAACTTGAACATTTAACATGAAATTAAGAGCCTGGAAATACTAAATTGAATTATGAACCATATATCAGTGTTCTCTTAGGGCCATCATAGCTCTGACACCAGTTTATATATTCTGACCACTTGGTTATAACAAAAACACACACTAACTCAGTACGTTTTTCCCTATTTGATATTTGGTAAGGTATGACTACATACCATTGCCATCAGTGAATCAAAATCAAATGTTATAACTGTGTATAAAAACAGAGAATATTCTCCTGTTTTATTAGTGTGACAGATATATGTACCCGGTATAATTTGTGAGAAACCTGCTATCATGTTATCCTTGAGAGAGAACACTGACATATTTTCAACAATACCAATGTAAAAAACCTGCACCATGTGCGGAAATGTTAAAACACAAAATATCTAGTAATAAATTTTAAAAAATGTTTTAAAAGGGTACTTTTCACTATTGTCCTTTTACTGTTTTAATGGACTTTTGGTCATCAATGTTAGCTATTGTCTGCATAGCAGTGCAGTTCAAAATATACACATGTACTTGGCAATCTTCTAAAATTTACAGGTATATTAAAATTGAGAAATTTCATGAATGCACCTCCCCATCTAGATTTTGATTTCTTTCAATCACATCTTGGCTTCAAGATTTAAGTTCTTAGGATCAGTGACAAGTCTAAAAAGGATGACACAGCTGTATGATGTAGTTTAATTTGTTGTTTAGCTCTATTGTACTTAACTCTTTCTATCAAAAGGTACTATTCTCTTGCGGTTTTTTGATCAAGCTTATATTTCCTAGAGAATACAAAGCAGATTTCTATTGAGTTAAACAGATATGTAGATAAGTTATGAACAAATATCTATATCATTATCTTGTCAAATAACACAGTTATATGTATTTACTTTCACACATTAAATTATTCATAATGTTCACCACATCAGTCAGAGTTGTAAAATATTAGTACTGCAAATTATATAGCAACAATTCAATATATGTCAGATTGATTAAAATAAATCACACCAATTAGACCCAATACATATTTGTTATATCGTAAGATTCTTAAATTTCTTTCAAACTGGCTTGTTTACTATAAATGTGTGATACAAAATAAGCATCATTAACCTATAAGAAATAGCCACAGCAGACCAACAACACACCTTACTACAGTGTCATGTAGGTGTCATCCTGACCTCATTTCTAAATCAAGTATAAAAAAAAGATATGATTCACTAAATACATATCCAACGTTGACTTCACCAAGAGAAAGAAACAAAAACTTTAATACCATAACCTTGTATCTTACCATTAAAATCTTCCACCTAAAACACCATTACATTGTTGGATTTTGGTGAATACAGTAATAGAAAGAATTGATTCCCAGCAGATTTATCAAATCATTTCAGTGTATATCATAGGAGAATTGGGGATTGAGAAGTGGAGAGAATCAAAAACAGGAAAATTCAATATCATTCTATAAAGATCAGTACTCTTTATCAAGATTTCATTCCCTCGAGGTCAGTGGAGATTATCAAGATTACAGTCTCCCAAGGTCAGTGGAGATTATCAAGATTTCATTCCCTCGAGGTCAGTGGATATTATCAAGATTTCATTACCCCAAGGTCAGTGGAGATTATCAAGATTTCATTCCCTTAAGGTCAGTGGAGATTATCAAGATTTCATTCCCTCGAGGTCAGTGGAGATTGTCAAGATTTCATTCCCTCCAGGTCAGTGGAGATTATCAAGATTTCATTCGCCTAAGGTCAATGGACCTTATTAATATAACAGTCCCCAAAGGTCAGTAGACATCAATATAACAGTCCCCCAAGGTCTGTGGATGTTATTCAGATTACAGTACACAAAGGTTAGGGAACGCTATCGAGATTACAGTCCCCAAAGGTTAGAAAACACTATCAAGATTATAGTCCCCAAAGGTTAGAGAACGCTATCAAGATTATAGTCCCCAAAGGTTAGAAAACGCTATCAAGATTACAGTCCCCAAAGGTTAGAGAACACTATCAAGATTACAGTCCCCAAAGGTTAGAGAACACTATCAAGATTATAGTCCCCAAAGGTTAGAGAACGCTATCAAGATTATAGTCCCCAAAGGTTAGAGAACACTATCAAGATTACAGTCCCCAAAGGTTAGAGAACGCTATCAAGATTACAGTCCCCAAAGGTTAGAGAACGCTATCAAGATTATAGTCCCCAAAGGTTAGTGAACACTATTGAGATTACAGTCCCCCAAGGTTAGGGAACAATATTGAGATTACAGTCCCCCAAGGTTAGAGAACACTATTGAGATTACAGTCCCCCAAGGTTAGGGAACAATATTGAGATTACAGTCCCCCAAGGTTAGAGAACACTATCAAGATTATAGTCCCCAAAGGTTAGGGAACGCTATCAAGATTATAGTCCCCAAAGGTTAGGGAACGCTATCAAGATTATAGTCCCCAAAGGTTAGAGAACACTATTGAGATTACAGTCCCCCAAGGTTAGGGAACAATATTGAGATTACAGTCCCCCAAGGTTAGGGAACACTATCAAGATTACAGTCCCCAAAGGTTAGGGAACGCTATCAAGATTATAGTCCCCAAAGGTTAGTGAACACTATTGAGATTACAGTCCCCCAAGGTTAGGGAACAATATTGAGATTACAGTCCCCCAAGGTTAGGGAACACTATCAAGATTACAGTCCCCGAAGGTTAAGGAACACTATTGAGATAGTAGTTCTTCAAGGTCAGGGTATAAAGACTAAAGACAACAAATGTCAGAGGCCGTTATCAATATTTCAGTTCCTCCAAGTTAGTTGTCATAAAAATTCAGCCACACAAGGTCGGGGGATATTATCAAAACTACAGTTCTCAAAGGTGGAAGGACGTTATCAATATATCATTTATCTTTGGTCACTGGATGTTACCAATATCACAGTCCCCAAAGGTCAGAGAACTTTATCAGAACACAGCCTCCTGCCTCCTAAGTTGATGTTGATGCAGTCACAGTTGATTATTACATGTCAAATATATTTAACTCATCAAGATTTTAAAATAAACTTCAGTTTTTTCTTTTCTCTTTATTTAGGCAATTCTTAAATCTTTTTCCTTGTGTAGATGTTAAGGTTCAATGGATTTTGGAAATGAGAGAAAATTGCAGAATGTTTTAGTCTCAATAACAACAATTTTGACAAGAATTCTACCCATATGAAGTCAATCTTATTTGTAAATGTAATCTTACCTTTTTTCCCTTTTTCTTCTTTTTCTTGAGACCTGATCCGAGCTTACATATATTTTTAAATGTTTCAGCCTGTAGCTTGTGTGTTGTCTTTAATTTCACACCACCCATTTTTTCTAAATAAAAAACAACAAACAAACACAATATTATTGTATTACAAGTTACACACATCTGCCATGTAATTGGACAGTTGGAATGAATTAAACAAGACTGACTTTCATAATAAATCAAATATAAAAAGCATCTCAAAACCCTAGTAGTTAACTGAAGTATGAGGCATAGCACTTTTAAACTTGGACCAATGATATTCCTTTAGTAGTGGAATACAGAGGACTGAATTTCATGAGCAGAACCAATATTCACTGATTTCTCAGACCTTGTCCCCTAAAATTGTTTTGAAAAAAGGAGTAGCATTATACAAAATGTGTTAAATGATATGGTCCAAACTTCCATCCTAGCAAAACTTCCAAATATATCCATACCCCATACCCTTTCATTTTAAGTCTTCTCCATACTAACCCTAAAATATAGTGAAGGCCTTTATTATAAGTTTCTTTACTTAAAAACAGTTATGGTAGATATTGATTAGTGTAGGTTTGTACGGTTCCATACAAAGCACATGTATACTTGTGTCAAGTAATAGCATAAGAAAATTGTCCATGTGCCTTGGAACATGTGTTTTGGAACATGTGTTAACTTTTACTATGTGCAGTCTAAGCTTATAACAAAAAGACTGAAGATCATTGAAAGACGTTACTAAAGAGCCGACAAGTCTGGGTGTTACATATGACCTTATAGTAACATCTTTGTTATTACATTTCCCCTCAAACTTTCATTCTCGAGGGGACAATTATAGAATCAGCTCTAAGTAAGCGAGAAATATTCTTACCTTCCTTCCTATGCTCCAGTGCCTCTACTATTTCTCGGGCAGACAAGTCTCCGATCAGGTTGTCATCCAAGTCCAATTCCTCTAAAGATTCAGCCCCCATGATCAGTCTGGAAAAGTTTTAAAGCATCCAAACCTGAGAAACATCAGTCATGTTTACTTAATCAGTAACATATCAATCATCCACACAAATAACTTTTTCCGATTAAAATTTGTAGAGAAGTTTTACTGCAAAAGTGAAAACACTTTTATCATGTTATTGCTAATTTTTGTTTTTTATTTACACTGACAGAAAATAAATGTGTACTTAAAAGGAGTAAGAAGCATCCAATCTACATGAATTATATTTTTTCTCTTTAATTGAAACAAAAGAACTTAATACCTTTGCCTGTCATTGTTTAAATGGCAGAGTTTTGCAGAAATAGTTTGGACTGACTTTTGTAACAGTGTGTCATGAAAACTCACTTTTTTAAAACCCGTACAAATATTATAGGTGCAAATTCTTTGCCAAAGGCAACATTATCGATGCCATTGTCTGCTAGGTGAAGTTTCCGTATCCAAGGACCAACTGGTGGTGGACCTTCATCCTTCTTCTTTTTCTTCTTTTTACCTTCAGGCACAAAAATGCATAATTAAGGATACATTTCAGGGACTATTAGAAACATAAAAACAGACAAAAACAAAAATAAAAACTTATTCTCTACAGTATTAACAATTCTAAGAAAATGTCATTTTAAAATATATATTAATCAATATGTCACTTATATCATCAGATTTTAGAAGGATTTGGCACACCTCTTTTTTCCCCCTTCTGCCATTGAACAAGACAATGATCAGGTCCAGTAAAGCATAAAATTTTAACCCTTCTGTTTTTCCTTTTCAAATCTTGCCTTTTACATTCGTGTTTGGGTGGAGGGGTTGACATAGTGTTGACTGTGTCTGTTTGTCCTGTTGTGTCACTTGTGTCCAGTTCTGAATCAATATCATACAAAAACTTCTCCACAGACTAAATCATTCATATTTACCCCTAATTATTATAACATACAGTTCTACGCCTTATTAAAGAATTAGACGGAATAAATTGCCTGTGAATTATCATTAAGTAGTTCAAATTTCACCTGCACCTCTGACCTGGTGACCTTGACCAGATGTCAGGTGACACCTCATTTGATTTCAACTAATTATTCTACATTATGTCATGACAAAATATCTGCCCGCAAAATATTTCAAGTTTGACTTCGACCATTGACCTTAGATATTAGTCTGTGAAATATTTCAAATTTGACCTTGACCTTTGACCTAATAACCTTAAGCTGTGGTCAATTGACTTTTCATTTTACTTCTGTCAATAAATGCTTCATTATGTCATAACAATATATATTTCAAATAGGTGAGGAGGTAATAAACTGAGATTTTATTGTGCATTGAATATCATAAGGACCTGACAGTGATACTTAAATATTCAAATATATGTTGAGCTAGACATATAAAGAACATACAGCTGTACATGAATTAAAGAGTAAATGATACAGAACTAATAAAACTGCAGAAAAACCTTAAGCATTTTTATTCCAAACCTTTTTTCTTTTTCTTCTTTTTCTCATCTCCTCCTACGTCTTCCTTTTCTGATCCTGACGTCATGCCACCTGATACCGCTGAGTGGACTCGCAGTCTACCTTCTTTCTCTGAAGGAACAATAATGTACACATATGTATATAATTTAAACATTACAATATTATTACATGGACCAAAAAATGTGATAACAACTTCAGCTGTCAAGATAGAAGATAGCCCAATTGGTCAGCTTGTTTTATACACAAAAAAGGACCAAATGGAAACTACAAATAAACTTTGAGAAAGATTCCTCCAATATGTTCTGAAAACAGGGATAAGAATCTCTAGCACTGAAGTCCAGAATAATTGTCTAGCAGCCATCTTGTCATCTGTTTAGTCTAAAAATTGAATTTACTTCAAGACCAAGTATATATTCTCACAAACTGTCACTTCATAAAGTATAATTATGATATAAGTTGATTAAAAAACACAATTGAGCAGACCTAGACCCGTGCAAAAAAAAATTATAGTTAAAAGAATCATTCCTAATCTGGTGAATACCCTTTATTCTGTTGATGGTTTATATCGCAAAATAAAATACAAAAAGCATTATAATCAACAGAAATAACAATTTCATTATCAAGGTAGGATTTTCATGTAAAGTGAATTATCAGACAAACCTTGTTCAGCTTTCAATGCCTCCTCCTCTGCCTTAAGTCGGGCTTTCTCTGCCTTTTGGAAAGCCTCATAGTCAGCCTGCTCAGCACACAACTTAATGATATCTATAGCACCCTCACATTCTAAATTGTTTCCATCAAGAAACAGGTCCCTGTTGATGAGAACCAGAAAAATATACAATATACGTATACCCTGTGATAACTGGTACACCTTGGAGCGTTATCTATTACTAGTGTAGCAGTCAGGTTATCAATGAAATTCTTAAATGGGGAACTGAACCCAGGTAGGTTGATTTACTAAACAAATATTCTTCAATGTGATAATGAGGAATTTCTTTACATACTCCCTTACCAGGAATGAACTTTTCAGGAATGACAGTGATGCTTACTTGAGAAGGATTAATTATTTTTGTCATTAATCCAATGTCTCTTCATTATTATAAGGCATCAATAAAACAGAGGTCATTTTTTAAATGTCCACTTGGAATCAATGATAGAACAATATCACCAAGACATTAATCATTCTCAGGTCAAAGGTCACAACAACACACTGACACACTTACCTGACAGCTGTTCGTGATACTATATTGCCGAGATATTTGCCACTTTCTGGTCCAAGGTCACAGAAACACATACTGATGGAGAGGATAGTGACATTGCCTTCCATGCCCTTACTTAAGTTTTTGCATCCCTCATCTCCAAATCTATATTTGTTACAGAAAAATGGTAGATTGAATTAATGTATGTATCTTTATTTTGAAAAATAATTTTACAATTTTGTGTGGTAGCATATTTTTTTTTATTATGGATTAATTAATTGAGATCTTTGAATTAATATGACATAATCATGAAATCTAACAGATATTAAGGATATGGAGGGGAGCGGGTAGGTGGGTTATGGTGCGAGCCAGAAAGGACATAGTGGGGAGTGGATTATGGTGGGAGCATGAAATGATATAGTGGGTAGAGAAAGGGATATTGTAGATGTAGGAAAGGATATGATGGAGAGTGGGATATGGTGGGGAGTGGGAAGGATATTGTAGGAACTGGAAAGGATATGGTGGGGCGTGGGATATGGTAAAGAGGGAAAGGATATGGTGGGAAGTGGGATATGGTGAGAGCAGGAAGGATATGATTAGGAATGGGTGGGATATGGTGAGAGAGGGAAAGGCTATAGTAGGAATTATACTTACTCATTGTAGTCAAGAGATATGGTTGTCAGTGTACTACAAGCCCTGAATGACCGAGCAAACCTCATTACAGAGTAGGGCTCCATAAGACAATCCATACACTCGACCAGACGTAGAGGATAGCATTGCTTCTCCAGGAGCAGGCCCTGCAAATACACCAGATTGTGCAATATCAGAACCCACATTGGACACTACACTATAAGGGATAAAAAGAATCCAGACTTCCCTGCTTGTTTACTTGGTTAATTGTCCCATCTACAGACAAGTAATTTTGAGTCTTGTTGTACTACTGGTTACTAGCTCACTGAACAACATAAGGGAGGCCAATCATATCCTATCCATAGCAATGAGGTAAAAGTTTTTGTTGATAGACTCTCCATGGACAGTACAGACTAGTCTGTTTCTCAGCTTTGTGACAACTGTAAAGTTGCCCTGGATAAGGAACATCAAACCATGCACCTTAGATCTTCATCTGCGGGTTGTGTGGACTAATACTTTACTGACTGAGCTATCAAAGCCCCCTTTCTCATGTTGTCTACAAACCACTAACCAAGGTAGCTGTGTTCTCATGAGACATGGGGTAATTCCAGATACGTAGGTCCTTGATGTGTATGTAGCGTTCCTGTCGGATAGCTGCCAACAAGGGCTCCAACAATACTGGCATATCTCCCTCCTTCTCAACAACCGAGGACTCTACAATGAACTGAAAGCAAAGTGTGATTTTACGATATATATATGAATAGAAATAATGCACTTTTCTCATTACAAGCTTATCATTACACCAACAAGAAAATGTATTATCTTACAGTATTAGCCTGTAGTAAGCCCATGGGTGGGGAAGAGGGGGTGACAATACAAAAAGTTTTACTTAAATGTATAGAGTGAGCTCATTACTGGAGATTAAAATACTGCTATGTTAACATTTCCTTTCAAGCATAAAAGCCATAGGTATGGTTATAATCTGAACTATCATATTAATTCATCACTTTTTATATCATTGTTCATTCAGAATAATTTGGACTAGTACGTTAATTACAAGGCATGGTCCATACACTATTACATTGTATAGTGTTCAATGTTGAAATTTATTGTATACCTTATCAAGGACTGTTCCATTCTCTAGACAGCCTTTCAATGCGTTTCTAACCCATGGACTTGGCTGAGATTCAGTCAAGGCACAATTCCGTTCATAACTTTTCAGGAGTCTCTGAATAATAGCATCTGCTCCTGCAACTGTCTTTGTCTTCTTTTTTCCTTTCTTTCCACCTTTCTTTTTTCCTCCCTTTTTTGGCATCTGTATTTGTAAATAATCAGCTCAGATTATTTAGGATTCGAAAGTACAGGTTGGTGTGGTACGTATTAAGAGAACAAGAAGTCAGTAGTTTGTGCCCTCAGGGAAGACAAGGCATGTTTCATCACTTCTTCCTGTTATAATCATGTAGATATCATCAGATACACAATGCCTATTATATCACGTGAAACCATTCACAACGGTGATTTTTGTTTTTGTTTTTTTTTTTTTTTTTTTGTTTCTTGTTTTTTATGAAACTTTTGATCTTGTCAATTAATATTACTACCACCTGTTTTTTGTAGCTATGCCAAAATAGATAAAAGAATAGATTATGAAGTTGGTAGAGTGTTTGCAACTTATTTATATCTCTCTGCAAGGGTTCAGATCCCTTTATCTCACCAACAAGGGAGTGAATGACTATTTTTCTTTTTCTCTGCTTGACAGTACTTTTGAGTGGTTGGGTGGTGCAGTGGTAATGCACTTGCCTTTCACCTAGCCATCCAGGGTTTGATTCCCAGAATGGATGTGAAAAGGAATGGGTTCACCTGCCTGACTACATGGGTTTTCCCGGGTACTCCAGTTTCCTCCCACACTAAGACCCCTCTCTCGCTTCAATCCGAACCAAAAAGAGTGATTAATATAAGTTGGAAAAACTTGCTCCGCAATTGTTGCAAAATAAATAAAGTTTATCATTATAGTACTTTTGGCATGCTGTCACACTGTTATCTTAACCAAAGGGTTAGACAATGAATTCTTCACTGTTAAAAGTGAGGATACACCCATTCAGTTTGGCAAGAAGGGTTTTCTTTTCCTTAGCAAAACTGCGGTCACCTTGTGGAGTATGCAAGAAATATGCACATCTGTCTAACAAATTATTTCAAAGACAAGTTTCTTAAAGCAATGACGACTATAGCTTTTATTTTTCAGCAGCATCAACCACAATGCTTTGAGGTTATTTGTTTATTATGCTAATTACTGACACTATAAATACAAATATAATTCTATTGGAAAATTAAAATCTTGTGCAGAAGATCTGCACTCTTTTTACGTAGCACGTTGACATTCATTTTCACGTTTTTCATTTCCTTCTTCCGCACCTGTCTCGATATCCGACCGTAGGCCTTGTTATGTATGGCCGAGAACCGACAGATTCGGGAACAAAGTCAATGTTACAGAAATGAAAATATCAATGCTACTGAAAAAGCAAACTGTCCAAAAAATGGTTCATTTGCGTCAACAACGTGGGCATAAATGAGAAGCGATAATGGCAATCGAAACGTGACCCGTTTATTATTGACTTGGTTCAACGTCTTTTGATAGGTGCTTCAGACGGAGTTACTGCGAGTAAAAGGTTATCATAAACTGGCAATTCTAAAATAAATATTGTCGTGACTTGGAAGGTCTAAAGATGATAGAAAATACACAAATAAATGAGATCATCCTACCTTTTATCGGTTTGTTTGGCTGTTGTCAGCCACACGTTTTCTTGTTTTCTACGGAAGAAGAACTCATTAAAGGGGAATAACTTATATGTCCCCCATAACGGCGAAACGATTCTAATCACCCTCAAGTGTTGTATCTAATAAAATAAATGACGTATTACCACTGAAACCTATAACTGTTGCTATTACTTCTTTTTATCTTTATGTTTTTGAAATGATAATTTATATGTCCGTTCCCGATTGTATTAGAACTAATCATGGAGATGTATAGGGACAGGCATTTCAATACTGTACCAGGAATTGAACAAATAAGACAAGATGACCATGTGTAGGGTCTGTATCTCTCACCCTCTAGCTACAAACTAAAGGAAGAGGATTCCAAAGATTTATATTTCTTATTTATATTTTCCATTTTGGGCCCCCCATTCTGACCCCATATCAGTCAAGCGATTTATACAAATTTCCTTCACTAAAGTATGTTTCGGACAATAGAATCCTGCAATTCTACAGAAGCAGGATTTTCAAGAATTTGCACCATTTCCCCTAGGTTGCCCTGCTAATCCCTTCCTTGGGAGCCGATACCTAATGTATACAAAGTTGATTTCCCTTTATGCAAGGATGCTTCTGACCAAATGTGGACATAATCTATCCATTCCTACAGGTGGATTAAGCAATCTCCTCCATTTCCCGAATTGGTCTCTAGGGGGTGAGACCTACCATTTATGAAAAAAATTGAGCCTCATTCACCCTAAGATGATTCAGGCAAATTTAGGACAGAATCCTGACATCCCAAGAAAAGCCCATTGGGCCAGGTTAGCTGTACATACCTGGAGCTTATTACATTACTAACATGTATTTTCCATGCATTTTGTCATCAAGTGTACTCCACACTAAACATGGTATGTGTGGGCGGAGACTCATTTGACATAATAACAATATTAGAATTTCATGTATAAAGAAGTTTATTTTGTAGTATTTGTATACACAAAATATTTCAATACCTCATCATATCATATTAAAACCTCTTTCATTGCAAAATTAAGATTGGACATATCAAAAGTAATTCTACTAACCACCACTGCCCAAAAGTCTTCTCAATATTTTCTGACCTTCAATTTGTTTAATTTTGAAAAATTAGAAGAAAAAAATAATATAGAGTAGAAAATGTAGCGTTCTACAAGAATAAAAATCTGTCAAATGATGACAATCACACAAGTGAAGAATGTTATATCTAAAAAAAAAATAAAATATCTATACCTAGCAAGTGAATGTTTATATATATTTCGATTGTTTACATATATTCCAATATTTTCTTTATTTCTCGAGTTTTTCAGTAAAAAAAAACAACCAAAAAACAAAAACAAAAAATAAAAATGAAAGAATGAAACACTAGTCAGAATAGAACCTATTAAGAAAGAATTTACCATTATGTGAAAAAGATTATCACCAAGCATCTATTCCATGTCACTCCATTCATAAAACTTTCCTGAAGAACAATCCCTTTTAGTTTTAATTTTGTAATATATAAATTATTGTGTAGAACATACCTATTTCCACCCCAAATGAGATTTTTCTGTTAATACCAAATCATAATTTAATTTACTTGTAAATAATTTGAATTCCAATATTCAATGATACCATTTTTTCTGTGCAAATTTGATATTTCAAGTCATAAAATTTCTCTGCTAAAGACATTGGTAGTTTAGGATCTTGCACAACATAATTTTCTCAGGGAACGATTTCGGTCCATTTTCATGCAGCAAACAGAAAATTTAGTTCAGCAAAAGCTAATTGAGTACAAAATATTATAAGTGCTTTTCTGCTATTAAACCATTTTTCTTTCAAATTTCAACGTTTTATTTGACTGACAGACCTAATACTTTCCTCTTCCTTTGGAATATACTGTTAAGTAATGGATCTGATAATAACCCATCTGTTGCCAATGAGATGTATCTACTGCTAATGAAAAAACAACTCCACATAAAGTATTAGTAGTAAAGGAATATTTGCAAATTCAATTAGATTCACATCTCCAGAGTGAATCGTAGTGAATCAGTAAGTGTTATAAGATGAAATAATTGTTTACATATTGAAAATAGCTTTCCTTATCTCAAATTGTTATCAAACATTTGGGCATCAAATTCAACAGTGTTGATTTTCGATCTGATAACATGATAAATCTAGCAAAGAGCAATAGACTACACAGGTGTTGAAGACCAATTTTGTAATGAGTTACATTCGTAATTACATCACTCTAATCATATCACTCTACCTGCTCTTGGATTGGTTCTTTCTATTGTTTTCTTAAGAAACATTTGAGAAAAATACCAATACAGAGTGTTTAACGATGAAGAAGTAAATATTTGAAATTTCCCTAAATCTCATTTGTAACACCAAAGTAAATCAACACTCATCAAACTGAAACCAAACTACCGGGCAGTAGACATTTTTGTGTGTGAAAATTGAGACCTCAGACCTATAGTATCTATGTAGTGTATATTTTTCGTAACTGTAATACAGGTAGCAGTACCTGGTACAATGTATTCTATAGTGTGTCAATTGGACTATCTGCAAAACATTTTATCTTACAGTAGATTTGGTTTGGAACCTGCACAAAAATTAGACAGATGCATCAACAATGTGTTGTTCAAAAGTTCAACCCTGTACAATTTTAAAGGATAATATAGAAATCAAAACCATAATATGTCAAACTGTACACACTGAAATATAACAAGATATAGACATTCCGGAATTCTCTAACTTTAGAAGTAAAGATTAACCCATCTTTGTATATTCTGATATCCATGGGAAGATTCAAATCTTACACATACACTCAATAACGTATCATAGACAGAGCAAATAAGTATGGACATATGTTGAAATATCTGTCTGAATTTCATGATAAATAGTGATGAAGGTAACATTTTATCAGTTCTGTAACATAAAAGATACAACAGTACCAACATTCCACACAGTTCACACACATCATTATCCACAATTTTTGATAATAACGGAACTTTAATTTCTTTATAAATAGAACAGTACAATTAAATGCTTACAAAATTTAATGTTTACAGCACAATATTTGATGACAACAATTTGAAGATGGTCATGAAACCAAGTATGAGCTTCAATAATTTGCTAAAAAAATCTGAAAAGAAAGATTCTATCCAACAATATAAAGGGGTTATTATCATCTCTACCACAAGTCCACATCTGGTTACCATGGTAACATAAACTTAAGTCTGCATGTAAGTCTAGATCTGATTACCATGGCAGATGGAAGATTAACCTATTTCCATAGCCATATTGAATTATGATATATAATGGTGATAATTATATTACAAGGGAGTAAAACAAAAACTGAACTCACTAACAGTATGTAGCATGTACCAGGAAGTAGTTAAATCAAGATGTTTAATATGTCTATATGCGTATATAATAACTAAGTCTTAACAGGACTACCTTTATTTTGTATTCTTATATTATGTAACTCTTAAATGCTACAATTTTAAAAAAATTTTTTGGATAAAGCACCTGTCTCCAATATGGCATACTAACATCTAATGGGTAGGTCTGTATTTCCTTTCCTTATATTGCTACTTATAACCTAAGCTTAGAGAGCCAATTCCAGAACACTAGATGCAAGTCTGTAGGTCCTGCCTATTGCTTAAACAAAAGTTTTCTTCATTTTAACTAGAACTTGGCATTAAGACATTAATGCCCGCATGCAAGTATCATCATTTGATGAATTTACAGACATTGTCAAATGTGACTTTTGACCTGCAACCTTGACCAATGAATACCTTGATAGAATACGGTGTATAATTTGATGTTAAGATATTATGGGCTAAAAATTAAACAAATCGGTGCAGAGGTTCTAAAGATGTGACATTGCCTCAAAATAGGATTGTTTTATAATGAGATGCAACAGAACATGACATAACGCAACAAGTGGACATGGGTAGCACTATATGCCCTCCAATAAAAAGATGGAGGCAAAATAGGCTTGTAATAGATGAAAACAAGGATACATAGAAGCAGAGATTAACCTAAGGTTTCAGTTATTACATTGCAAATGGGTGTTATTTTTATATCTCTTTCGAAAAAAAGTTACAAGTAGTTAGTTTGAATACATGCATCTTGGTAACAAACAGCAACAATAACAAAAATTCCCCATCTATTTATACACAAAATAAAAATGTGTTTCACCCCCCTCTTGGATAAACTTTGACAACAGCTATACAATGCATTGGCCTTTTCTATTCATAATCGAAAGGTCAATTTGAAATGTCACCCTCTCATATTCTTATGTAGTTAATCTGTTGTCTATATGTCCATACAGAATGTAAAATTTAAATAGTTCACACATTAAAAAATTTGTATTCACTATCATACTGTTGTACTGCGAGGTCCCTGAATCAAAGGTTTTGCATATTCTACAAACTCATCGATGAGCACAGGCCATGCCCCTGAAAAAACAATTCATCATAAATTAGATACTGAGAACAATAGAAACTCCAGATAGTACAACATAATTACACACATACATAATAATATGTAAGACATAAAACAGTGTTGAATTTACTAAAACAAAGTCATCCTTTAAATCTTTGCCTTCGTTTTGCAGCATGGATTTTTTTTTATCTAAACTCATATTTCACAGCCTGACAATATGAATATGATACCATTTTCCACCTTTTTTCTTTTGATGTTTTTTCAAATCTAATTTCTTTTCCTTCAGAAATGTTATTATAAATAAAAATCAAATGGTTTCCCATTAAACATTTAATTCATTTTACTTGTACAACAGAATACATTCATAAAATTTTCATTAAATATTTGTATTAGAAAAACCATCAAGTAACCTCTGTGTATCAAACTGTGTAACTGACATATCAATCCATGTTTTAAACTTCTTTTTCTTCCAAACTACTTTTTATTCTCACTTTAAATAACAGTTTTCATGTCTCTGCCATCCAGGGTAATTCAATTGTTAAATTAAAATATATTATATTCGATGCTGAAAATGATTTTTTCTGCCATTTCACATTTCAAATTCAGTAAATCCAAATGATGGACTTTGTAAATCAAAATGGCTGTCACTTAGTCCAAGCCTGCCTAACCTGCCAAACAAATCACACATCATACCAAACATCAGTCCAAGCCTGCCAAACTAAAGACTTAGCCCAAGAACTTAATACTTAGCCTTTCAAATAGAAGTCCTTGCCTGCCAAACTTAAGAACTTGTCTACCAAAGGTAAGTCTTAGCTAGCTAACCAGAAGTCCTGCCAAACTTACTAACTAGCCTACAAATTTATGTCTTAGCCTGCCAACTTATACTCAAACTTAAGACCTAGTCTGCCAAACTTGTGTGCTAGACAGCCAAAGTTATCCTGCATACCTTCTTCATCGTAGTTTGTCATATCCTCGTTAATCATTGTACAGAAATCCAGGAGTAGGTTCCATGTATCCTTTGGGATGGATCGCTTGTGGTGTTCCTAATAATGAGAAAACACATTTGAAAGGCAACAAACATTGGAGGTCCTGTACTCACATTAGAGTAAATGATCCAGGTTGTCGACAGGGGAGTTAACCAAGCAAACAAACAAAAAATTACCTTAATAATATGCATGTCAATTATGCAGTGCATGATTATAACTACTGTTACATATTTTATATTGAAAATACACCAATCTTGACCTCAGTAGATAATTCATCATCCATCATAAACAAAAACTTGTTTTGATAATCCAAGCCCTTTCATCAAGAACTTCAAGCTAATCAATAAAATATCAGGGTTCATATATCAACTGACCGTCAAAAAGTCACTCCATAGTTTTAAGAATTTAAATCTTCCTGATAAAACTATATTCCAATATGCTATAGCCATTTCCAAATCTGAAAAGAATAAAAAAGGAACATAATGATTTATTATATATTTATGCATGTATAGATAAATAGTAACTGACACTAAATCAAATTAATATTAGTTTTACATGTACTTGTAAATAAACAGCACCATCATTACAAGAGTATATTATGCATGAATGTGAAAGGTCAGGGAAAATATAAACACTTAATTTCTATTAAGCATCCCCATAGGAATCCAATCCTGATTTCTGGCATTTCCCAGTAGGACAATCCACCATTCTACAAACAGAGCCAAGAAGTGTGCTGTGTCAGCTTAGTGATAGAGATCATATTAAACACTATATACACCCCATACTGACTTGTCAGCTGAGGGACAGAGACCATATTTATTACTAAATACAAGCCTTACTGACTTGTCAGCTGAGGGACAGAGACCATATTTAACACTAAATACAAGCTTTACTGACTTGTCAGCTGAGGGACAGAGACCATATTTAACACTATATACACGCCATACTGACTTGTCAGCTTAGTGATAGAGATCACATTAAACACTATATACACGCCATACTGACTTGTCAGCTGAGGGACAGAGACCATATTTAACACTAAATACAAGCCTTACTGACTTGTCAGCTGAGGGACTGAGACCATATTTAACACTAAATACAAGCCTTACTGTATACACGACTTGTCAGCTGAGGGACTGAGACATATATGTAAAAGCACTGACTGTAAAAGCCCTACAAGCCTGTTGTCAGGTCCTTTACTTTGCCACCTGTTGGTTACATTAAATATAAATGATAGGAAATTCACTGTAGTTTAATAGGCATAATCCCAACCCAAGGAGTACATATACAGTTGAAACGTGTTATCTTGAAATTGAAGGGACCATGGAAAATATTTCCGACTTATCCGTATTTCAACTCAAACGAAGTATATAAATAAGGCTGACAATATCAGTGTTGGCGTAGTAGTGTAATATGATATTCAAAAAGGCAGTAAATAAACAAATGAATCAATCCTACTTTCTCCTTTTATTGTTTATTCATCCAAATAGCAAAACATGTAATAACAACTCCAATCAAATGCAGTTGTACTCACGTCGTTCCGTTCACCACACGTGAACAATAGCCTTACTGACCAAGCACATATACATCATATATCTTACTGAATGACATAAAATAAGATTTTAATTTGCTTTTGAAACACTACAAGAAATGCTATATGAAGCAACAATATGACTTTATTATGAATAAATAAACTATGGAAAAAGCAGCACTAGAAAGTTTTACAGAAAACATTGTACAAGCACCAGACTTAACAAATCACGCACAGATATAGACTCTACCAATGAAAAATACTTCCAGCACTTTACTGTCCAAACAATAAATCTGACAAAGTGCCCGATCACAGTCCTTTGTTGACAAGCTCAAAATTGGTTTCTCTCGGAATTGTTTGACCGTTTCATTTTTATCATTCCCAAAGATGCACGCAACCAAGCTAAATGTTTTCATGTTTTGTGTATACGTGCTACTTTTTATTGTACAGGTAAGTCACTGCTACAGGATGGTGACAATAATTAAGAAGCCAACCTTTAATTGGATAATTAAACTGGTAATTAATCGCCAGTGACCAAGTGTTGAGTGTATGATGGACTGATACTCCGTAATTAGCCATGTGTTTCTACTTTCTACTTTGTGTATGTATGCATTTACCGATGTCATCGGAACATGTGATGATGTTTTGAAAAAATTAATTTTGAGACAATGAATGACTTTACAACTGAAGGGACTGAAAAATCGCTTTGACTCAAGCGAAATTACAACTCAATGAAATCCAAGTCATCCCAACTAAAAATTACAAAGATATAGAAGGAACAAAATCGGGACTTGATATTACTTCAACTCAAGCGATTTCGAGACAAGTTTCAACTGTATTTAAATGGCGTTTTTATACCAAAGTCTAATGGACAAATAAATTTACCAAGAAATCAAAAATATTCTTACAAAGTGAATGTTACAACATATTAGTGTTCACATCCCAGTAATATTAGACTAAATACATATTATATGTCTTTCTGTTTTGGTGTGAATGGGTCTTGTTTAAAAATGGTCTAAATGGATAACATACTTACCTAGACCTTTTTGTCCTGGATTTTTGGCATAATTAAATGTAAATTGGTAGAAGTCTTTGAACTTGTTCTGATCTCTTATTTCCTGCTCCAGACCGGGACATTTGTTTTTAAGTTTTTCTACACTATCACATCTGCAAGATTAAAACATATCTTTTCATTAGGCCAAACAAAAAAATAAATGTGTTTCCTTTAACATGTTAGAAACATTTAGGGTATGTAAGCAGGCAGAAATTTTCATTCTAACAAATAATCTTATATGGTTGATACAGGAGAAAGGTTCTGACTTAAGCTGTGTTTCTTTGAAAATTGCTTTAACCATTTAGGGTGGGCAAAAATTAAACACTTCACAGAAAGCATGTTAATGACAGATTATTTATGCTAATTACTCACTAAATTATGTACAGTAAGAGTAGTTGTAAGTTGACATAAACATTTACATACGTAAGTCAATGTCTTACCCGATAAATGTTATCAATGTTCAAATATTTCAACCAGATTAGTCTCAGAAAAGGTTCAACAACATTTTATAACAAATATTTTTACAAGTGTGTATTTTTACAAGTTTGGGGTATAACATCTTTATAACTTATTCACTTGTAACAGATTAATCATGAGGATTAAACATCAACTATTAGAACACAAAAATAAACACTTTGGAAAATATATATCATTCTTCAATTTTCACATTGTTTTCAAAATAGATTTACCAAAATGGCAAAATGAACAAAGCCAAATTAGTAAATGTTAATGCCTAGTAAATATGGGAGAAAAGAAGGAAAGATACTGGTAACCAACCTTTTCTTGCCAATAACAGTGAAAAAAATGCATTTAAGAGAATGGGTACATGGTTGGAATTGGTCGGTGCTCAGTAGTCTTAATTATTTGATTGAAGCAACATAAAACACTCTGTGAACATAATTGCCATTAGGGATTGTAGAATACTTTATACATATATTGTATATACATATATATATTCATATCACTGAATTTACCCAAGATCAGCCATCCCTGTTATAAATTCTTCTTTAGTAAATTCACATTGAGTAGCTGCCTTGAACTTCCATGCTATGAGGAGGACTGTTCTTGATTCTGGACTGAGATTGAGATCTTCCAAGAATTTCATCACACCATCCACTGTCATTTTATCATCTTCATTTGGATCTAGAAATAATGTACAAGAATAATTTTTATACCAACTGATATATGTTTCCCTGTGATATAATATTTTATAGGACTGAACACTTTAAGATATCAAATAAAAAATTCAGTTAAATCAATGGAATACTTATGTAATAAAACATGGTTGTGACCTCAAATCGAGCTATGATGAAATGTTTAACTGTTCAGTATTCTATATGAATTGAAGAGTAAATCTGAAAAAGAAATGTCACTTTGTTGTTCTGATTGACTGTTGACTGAACAAGGAAACCACATATTCCTATAGAGAAAATACCTGCCAACTTTTCAAAATTCTCATGGGGGAGAAAAGTGAGTGAACGACATTTTTGACTCGCCACAATACCTTGCGTGTCCTAATATTTGTCACAAAGGAAAAATTACTGTATATTTAATCAATACATCTATATTGATAAAGTGCATGCTTTACTTACTATAACAAGTAAGGTTCAAGCTTGAATTTGATCATTTGAATTCTCAGTATTCGTTGAACTTGCACAATATAACTGATGATAAAATTGGTGATTACCTGTTTGGTTGTGAGTATAAATAGGTTTTTTTCAAATATGATGCTTCTGAAAGACTTTGTTTAATTGAAATAAGGAAGAAAATAATATTAATCATCTGATGAAATTTTAAGCTGTCATTTTAATAAAATAGAAAGAGGTGAAAAATGATAAATTGAATCAATTCTCTCATAAAATTCAAAATGTTTTAATCTAGATCTAATGGTCCATGATATTTCAATATTTGTATTTACTGTTAAATATATATGTAGAAAATAAGATTGATACAACTCTGGAAATTTGGTACAGATTTTGCGTAAGTGTAGCTACTTCCAGTGTAACAATTATCACATTTTTGTGGAGAACTGAACATGCTTGAAATTTTAGTCAACTTTTCTGTGAGTGAAATATTTCTTTGATCTGATTTACCCATGATGCTAACTTGGTTTTTTTAAAGGACTGATGTGATTAAACTATTGGTATTGATGGAGGAATGCATGGACATTATCACATCATAAAATATTGTTTTTCAAACTATTTTCTTGTTGAATTTGTTATTTGACTGAATAGGTAGTATAAACATGGTAATAACTACTTAATTATCTATAAAATGGCCTCAGTTTACCAAACATTTTCCAGGGCCCACCCCTAAGTCCTCCAATGGTCTACCATTAATTAGGTAGAGAACAATCTGCCGTTTAGAAGTGTTCTTCCAAGCATAGCAGTAAATTAGGATAACTGGAATCAGGTGACACTAATTTGATAATTGCGCAGTGTACTCACTAGCTAGGCCTTGACTCTGTGGCCAGGTGGTCAGCCTTACCAATTTAACAAACATAGCAAGGTTACTAATTACCTACCTAGCAGGATCTCTGAAATCTGGAGATTTACCCAATTCTGAACCAAACAATTAGGAGGCGGGATAGGGAGTGAAAATCCTGACTGTATCAGGAAAGTTGGCAGTGTTCAAACAGTAATAATCCGACATTGGATTTCTCACAGTAGTGACATGTGATAATCCATGACACAGCAACTGAGACCATGGTAAGATACCATTTCATTTAGTGTTACTCTAAATCTATAACGCATAAGACACGTGTTGCACCAACCTGCTCTTTTTAGGCTACACTAATCAGTTTTAAAATATAAACAGTTAATCAGAAGGTAAGATTTCAGCTTAAACAAACAGAACTCAACTACGACATTTTTCCTGTGTCTAGGAAAACATATATTCGTCTGAATGCTTATGATAACTGTAAAGAACAACCTTTCATAATGCCCCAAAGGTATGGTGCAACTATACACAACTGACAACTGCAAGATATTTTCTGTGTTTCCAGAAGTATATGATATCATACATCCGGTTTCATAGTCGACCGACATTACCCTTGTATCTTCCCCATAGTTGTTCCAGTCTTTTTCTATCCACGGTTGTCCTGGAATCACAACTGTAACGGTCTGGATTTTGGAAAAAGTTATCAACTGCTACATCCAGTTTCCAATCGAAAGCGGAGAGACAAGTGATTGCTGATTTCTCCCCAGTCTGTGTAAAGGCTATGAACTGCCTTACTTTGTCTTTCTGTGAACTCTTTAATTTATGCTGAAAAAGAAAGAGAATCACGAATTAATTACATGATAAACACCATTGTTGAAGAGTACTTTCTCTTTTACGTATCTGACAGATGCCTTACCATTTCTGTTTTTCGCCATATTAGGGTCAATGGGGTCAAGCATGCGCAGAGGGGAAAGAATTTTCTGGTCAAAGTTATCGTTAAAGCCATATAAAGACAAAGAGCAAATTGCATTTTGAATTAGTTTTTGTTCACAGTATTAGAGTATATATTTTTTTGGCGTCGAAACAATAAACTTCTCATTGAGCTATAAAATACATTAGGGATTTTCTAAACGACAAAACAACCACAAATAAATCCGGAAAACAGGTGCTTATTTGAAATGATACGTTTTCAAATTTATTGATATTAGTGGCAAGAAAAACTGAAAATCGAAAATACAAAAGTGCGTCTTTCTATGTATTTAGATATAGTCCATAGTCACTTATACAAAGAACCTAGTTCCAATATACTTTTTTTCGTAGTGTATGATTGGAAAAATAATTAATAATAAATAGTTATTATAGGGACGTATCATACATCCTTTGTTATTGATTAAACTTTTTTTATTTCTTGTGTGTACTACGCTCAGATAAGCAGACATCACATCTAAGCTAGAAATACAATGGTTTAAATTTTAGCTTTGATGCAGTAGTCAGCTACGACTCTCTTATTACGTTTTCATTACTTCCTGTTGTCTGTTCACGTGGTCAGAAATTTCGCGCGGTTTTTGGTGGGCTTTGTAAACAGAGGCTAAGAAAACAGTGGGAACCGAAGATAAAACCAGAGAAAGAAAATGCCACCTCGGGATTACGAAGCCGATAAAGGTAAGTCATCATTGATACTACAATTAAAATATCTATAGTTTTTAATTATTTGTCTGAATGAAAGGATATTAAAAGCGTTATATACGGGTCTATATTGATTTGATGGGCTGCATGAAGAATGGGCCGATCAGCGGCCTTATACTTCATGATATTGAATGTAACTGTATCCTGTATTTTACTTTCAAAGAATCATTAGTAATAACGCAGCTTGAAATTTCAGAAAAAATCAAGACCTTCCTCCGAGAGTTTTACATCGACGGTGCAGATGGTGGAAAAGATTTTGTCTATGGACAGCAACTGGTAAAAATTTGCTTAAATCAAAAGAATCTTAGTTACGTTCTTTGTGTGAAATATAAATATTTTCCTGACTGGATAGTAATGTAACCCAGGTAAAGTACTAGCCACAAAATATACCGCTCGGCTAGCGGGAACTTCTCTTCAGCTTAGTCCGTTGAGTTTCGGACTAATAAGCCAGAGGTCCCCAGTTCAAAGCCTTACAGAGGCATTAAAATAAGTAATGACGTTTGTTACATTGGCACCAATGTAGGGACTCGGGATTGACTGTAAGTGTTGGTTTTATGAGCATCACTCTAACCTCATAAAACTTAAAAAGTTATTTCCAGGAGGGGGGAATATGTAACCTTGGTAAAATACTAGTCACAAAATATTCCACTCGTTTAGAGAGAACATCGCTTTAGCTTGTTCATTTGAGCATTAGATTTCTAAGCTAGAGGTCATGGGTTGAATTCCTAGCCATGAAATGAAATGAATAATAACTTCTAAATAATGACTTCTATTACAGTAAGAACTGTGAAATTTATGTATTATACTGCTGGAATAACAGGAAGTAGCAGTGTATTTCACCTAAACATTACTGTGTTTTAATAACCATTCTGAGTATGAATGTAGCTATTATACAAAATATTTACAGCTATTTAAAGCCTAATTCCTATGAAAGAATGCTAATATATAAAATGGAATGAATAAGTAACATAATAATTTATCTACAAATGAATTTAAGTGACTTAATGAAGTCTGAAATATTAGGAACTGTTTATCCACTATATTATTGATTCATGCCATACTGTATGCAAATGCAACCACTGTTGATTCTGGAAAAATAATTTTTAGTTGATATTGTCCTTAAATTTTTTATGAGAGTTAGCTCCCTTGAATCGATATTTCCTATAGCTACAGGGCAGTATAATTCAGATGTAAGCAATTGGGTTTTTGAAGCAAATAAACTTGTTTTGCTTTGAAATCAACCCAAGATTTAATTTACCACATCCACAGTGGATGTGTTTCTACCACTTTTATTAATAACTCTGTTCTGCCTTTAAAATGAGCATAGTCAATAAAAATGTAAATGTCATTAACAGCATATTAAATGTGAATATTGACATCAAATTATCATCTTATGGACAGAGATCTTAAGACTTGGGGGATATAAAAGTTGTCACAGTGGTAATGTTTCAGATGCATGTTATGTTAAAGTTGATTTATTTTCGTCAACTCCCCCAAAAAAATTGACTTAAAAATTAAATTAGTGTACATGGTTTGTTGCACATTGTAATGTATGGTCTCTGTTTGGGAAATGTTTCTTCAACTCAGTTGGTAGAGTGGTAGATTATCAAATTATCTTGCTTGAGATCCAGGTTCAGTTCAAGTTTGGGTCTTGTTAATAATGTGTTTAACTCTGTTAACTCACTCACTACATGGTGACAGAGAGAAATGCTACAGTTTCTATTATTATAAACTCAAAAGATACAGAAATCCAAAAGATGTTGTACATTTTCACTTATTCATAGGCATTTTCTACTTATTTTGTAGGAAAATGCTATCAGTATTCCAACAGTCAAATGAATATATTTTAAAATAGTTCTTAACAAATGCTTTCATGTTTAAGAAAATTGTCATTTTCAACAGGTGAAAATTGCCCACAGAGAGCAGGTTGGTCTGACGATTGAAATTGATGACATAACAGAATATGACCCTGATCTTGGCGAGGCTATTGTAGACAACACCAGACGCTACATCAATATATTTAGTGATGCTGTCCAGGAACTTTTGCCTGATTATAAAGAAAGAGAAGTAAGTATTAAAATGATAGAATGTATTGATTTAAACATGTGTGTTTTGTTTGGTTTCTTACAACTGGTATCATTTGAAACGAGTGCACAGGTTATGTCCAAGTTGCCTGGTAAACAAGTAATATAACCTTTACCACATCTGTGAGAAATGATTAAGTATCTAATCTATCCAATAGCTGTCTTTCTGGAGATAGCTTTTGAGATTTTTATTGTCATCTTAAATTGGTTTCTATGTATTGAAACCATGTCGCAAAATTTTGAAAGAATGATGGACTTGATGAGCCTCTTAGGTGATGGACTGTACTTAAATATTACCGAAAGGTCTCTGTCAGATTTTTACTTGGAATTTGAAATAAAATCAACTTTCATCTGATATGTGATAACACCTTTTTTTTTTTTTTTTTGATTTCCATCTAGTCACTGCAGATACATGCATCAATACTTGAAATTCCCTTGCTTCAAAATAGCCATTCCACAGAACAAAAAAAAAGAAAAATCACATGATCAGGACCAAAATTCAAAAATAAAGTTTGGTTTTAAACTGAACTAAAAAGGCAGCAGTTGTATTTTGTGTTAACTTTGAAACTTTTCAAATAATATGCTTTTGATGAGAAAATGTACATGATATCTGAAAACGTTGCTTTCTTCAGGTTGTGAACAAAGATGCATTGGATGTGTATATTGAACATCGTCTTCTTATGGAACAGAGAAATCATCCTGATGGAGCAGAAATTACCCGTGACCCTAAAAATAAATACCCACCTGAATTAATGAGAAGATTGTAAGTTAACGGAAGAAAAATAAGATTTGTTGCATATTGTCATCGTTTAATCCCAAAACCATACATTGTAATAACAAAGAAAATGGAGGATGGGAATCAAACAAAAAATTTTCCATAATGATGTCAAAAAATAGCATCAGTAAGATTATAACAATTGTTTTTAGCAAATGTAACAAACTTTTATTGATGATAAGCTTTATGTAGGAGAAATTATGATTTTGAGGGATGAACAAACTACTGAAGCTTCTCAGAAATATTATCATTGCTTGAAAAGGCCTTTTTTTGATTTATGTAAAAAGTAACAATTTATGTAATTGTTTAAAATTTCAATGAAATTATTGAATGTTCTTTTTGTATTACCAGTGAACTTTACTTTAAATCCCAATCCGGACAAAAGCACTCTGCCATTAGGGATGTCAAGGCCGATAGTATCGGGAAATTGGTGTGCGTCAAGGGAATTGTTACCAGGGCAACAGAGGTCAAACCAATGCTGGCCGTTGCCACATACACCTGTGATACATGTGGTAATGAGACCTACCAGCCAATCAGCTCACCTTCTTTCATGCCTTTGATTATGTGTCCCAGTCAAGACTGTACAACAAATCGATCAGGAGGTCGTCTATACCTGCAGACCCGAGGGTCAAAGTTTATCAAATTCCAAGAAGTAAAAATTCAAGAACATGTAAGTTAAGCAGTCTGTGATTCATCTGATAATGAATGCTTTATCATGCAACAGATATCTAGAATAGAAGTTCTTTTAGCACAACCAGTAAAAGATTTGAGTGACATTTTATTCACTACACTGTCACCTTTAACAGACAAATGACCAATGTGAAGCGTTCTAGCATTGATGAGGAATCTGCTGTGCTACATTATATGTAGCTTAAGGTAAAAAATGGTGTGGCAACATGGTAGAAAGATTAAAGAAAAAAATACACAAGATGGTAATAATGTACTGTAGTCAATTCTGCTACGTGTTGTATTAAATATGGCTTATTTCAATATCTGACTTCAGAGTGATCAAGTACCAGTTGGAAACATTCCGCGTGGTATGACTGTGCTTTGTCGTGGAGAGATGACACGTCTCGCTCAGCCAGGGGATCATGTCAGCATATCAGGTGTATCCTTTTTCTGCCAGTGATAAATTGATGTCTTTTATCTGGTAGGTCCTTAGAATATTGTCAAAAAACATTTCAATTACTGTTCTTAGTTTTCCTTGACTGTGGATTAGGTTTTCTTGCCAATGATGAAACAAGGTTTTAAAGACATGCAACAGGGATTATTATCAGAGACCTTCTTGGAGGCACATGTAAGTATCTAAACCTTGTATTTACCATTTTGATCTGGCTTTAAACCAATTTTTAGACTAAACACAATGCAGTTTTGGTATCAGCCTATTATCACAGCCTTTAATAAAATCCACCCAAAACTAGTACTCTAGTGCTCCAGACAGTGATTTTGTATTTAGGTGCCATTTCATAGAAAAAAGGATGGGAAAAAAATGGAAAATTATTTCTGCATGCAAAATCCAGATGTATTAGATCTCAAATTTTTAGCTGATTAGAATACATATAATACAAGCCACAAAGACACTTGTTGAGTGAAAATGTTATGTTGTCTGTGTAAAACAGCCATCACTCAGAAGCAAAAAACCTACAAAGTAACACATACATAAAAAATATGTTGGAAAAAGATCATAAAAGGAAACATCATAGAACGTTATCCAGACAGGAAATCTATTTTGCTAAACGGGGAGATGGTGTCTATGGGATGGATATAGTGATCTGATATGCATGTTATGTTTTGATTTTTCCAAAAAGGCCAAGTGTTTACTAGTGCTTGTTCAACTATTCTAGAGAAGCAAGTTACACACCATGAAATGTTGGAATGTTACATTTTTACAATGAACACTAGAAAAAGATGATCAAATAAATGTAATAGCAATTGACCTGTTTTATTGAGTTATTAGAATCATAGTACAAATTAGTCTAAAGACCTTGTTATATTTCCTTGTATGTATAGTAACACAAGCTTTCACTTTTAGGGAGAAGGGATGAAAAAAGAAATGCTTTTTGTAGAGTTACGGATGAAAACCTTTCATGTTCATAGGTTATCAGGAGAACTCCAGAATTGTTATTAGGGAAGTCCATCCCCAAACTCCATAACTTCGAGTCAACAACTCTCCATCAGAGCTTATTGCTGGCACTGATACTACTTGTTGAACTACCATCAAACATTATATACTCTTCCTAATTTATATGAACTCTTTAAATGTTGAATTCATTGATAATGATAACATGACCAAGGACATGCAATTTGTTTCAAATTGAAGAGAATTGTAAAGATGAACAAGACAGAGGATGATGAATTAGGAGCAGAGGAGTTGTCTGAAGACGAGATTAAAAAAGTTGCTGAGGACGATTTCTATGATAAATTGGCCAGCAGTATAGCCCCGGAGATCTTTGGTCACGAGGATGTAAAGAAAGCTCTTCTGCTTTTACTAGTCGGTGGTGTTGACAAATCACCTCGCGGCATGAAAATCAGAGGTCAGTCTAATACACATCGTAGCTTTTTTGTGAAATGTTCTCAGTTTCATCAATTAAATGAAACATTTACTTCTTTTTGTTTGACACCTTGTGAGCCAAAGTTTAATTCAAATTTGTTAAGAAATGTTTGTTTTTGCAATTGAACTATTATAATAATTATTATTGATTACTCTTTAACTTTTCTTTACAAATACTTCATTGTACCAAAACCGAATGTATTAATGTAAATTAGGAGGCAGTGCTGTATTGGTCAAAATTCTCAAGAATATGGTTTTTAGGGCACCTTGACCGAAGTCTCAAGTGACCCCTTATGATCGCCTTTTGTTCGGCATCATCATTGTGGATTGTAAACAATCAGTAAAATAACAAAATGACCCAGAATCATGATATTGGGTAAATAGTATGCTGTGATGAAGGGCTAACTAATTTGTTCAAATCAATGACCTTGAACCAAATTTCAATTTCAGGGATCAAATGTGTTAAAATCTCAAAATGATTAGCAGTTATCAGTTCTGTTTAATTGAAAATTAAGTCTTCAAACTTAGAAAAAATAAAACCTTTGTAGGTATACCTATATCAGTTCTGTTCTATCTACCCCAATGCTGGGACTGAAGGACAGGTTCTAATACTGTCCAAAGTCCTGATGACCTCCAATGACCAATAAAGTTCATGGGCCTCTTGTTCTCTTGATTTTACAGCAGCCTGTGCCTTCATAAATCTGGAAAATACAATGGGATTTTCTGAAAAATAGGGGGAAAGTTCTTTTGCTTGACTTTGGGAATATAACACATTTTGGCTCACAGAAACAGACTTTTAAGATATCTTTTGATTGTAAAACAGGGTAAACAAAATATCACTGATGCTGAACACCTTGAAAATAAGCCTTGAATTAATGATTGGACAAGACTAAGGTTATCTCATTAGAATGTTGATTTACATATACTAATATCAAGTTCATTGTAGGAAATATCAACATCTGTTTGATGGGTGATCCTGGAGTGGCCAAGTCTCAATTGCTGTCTTACATCGACCGACTCGCACCTCGTAGTAAGTACAAACTTTCCTCTGTTCCAATGACGACCCCCAGAATAATTGCAACAATTGCTTATGCCGTCATAAATCCTGGAAATAGAGGAATTTTATGAAAAATTGGGACAATATTTTTTAATATTACTTCACTTTGGGAAAATAACATGCATTTTAGCAAGGAGAAACAGCCAATTACAATACTAACTGTAAAACAGGACAAAAAATCCCAGATAGAGTAAAAAATATGGTATCTGGCATGCTTTGGGGATATAGTTACAGCATTCTACCACTGCTTGGCTACTTGTGTTGTTAGAAAATATATCTTGTTGCCTCCCTTTACAAATACTTTGGAACTCCTGTAAGATAAAATGGGACAGGTGAATGGAGGCATACATGTTTTGTCAAAACAGCATTCCAGTCTGAATATTACATAAAGGTAGATATGTAGTCTCTGTCTCATTGTCAGTTATGAAGGTTACGCATATTGAATTTTTAATATAAAAATCTATTATTTTCCTCTTGAAATAAATTGAAAATAAAAACAATCAATCATCGAGGCAATTGATTAATTGGTACTCCACTAATTAAAACATAATACACTTTTCTGAACAGATAGATAACAATCAGATTTAGTGTGAATGGTGCAGGTCCTATCCAATTGAGGTTTTATAACAAGGCAAAGTTATTGTATAACTCCCATTTTAAAAGCAATGTTTCAGTCGACAGACTTGAATATACAAGGATTGTTTTTAGTCCACCATAATGAGATGGTTATGCTGTTCAGATCACAGATCTTCAGTAGTGAAACCCCTTCATTTACACAAAGTAGAAGTAGTAACAAGACTGAATACACTTGTGCAGACCTAATCACCATGCATAATATTGATAATTAAACTTTTTTTTTGTAGGTCAGTACACGACTGGTCGTGGTTCATCCGGTGTTGGATTGACAGCAGCAGTCATAAAGGACCCCATCACTGGGGAAATGACACTTGAAGGAGGGGCTCTCGTGCTTGCTGATCAGGGAGTGTGCTGCATTGATGAGTTTGATAAGATGATGGACACTGACCGGACAGCAATCCATGAAGTCATGGAACAACAAACCATCTCCATTGCCAAGGTAACCAGCTTGGAATTTTTTAATATACACAGCTACTATCACCAAAGTAACCAGCTTGTAGCTCTCTTAATATACATAGTTACTATCGCCAAGGTAACTAGGTTGGAATTCTTAAATATACACAACTACTATCACCAAAGTAACTAGCTTGTAGCTCTCTAATATACATAGTTACTCTCGCCAAGGTAATCATCTTGTAGCTCTCTAATATACATAGTTACTATCGCCAAGGTAACCAGCTTGGATTTTTTTAATATACACAGCTACTATCACCAAAGTAACCAGCTTGTAGCTCTCTTAATATACATAGTTACTATCGCCAAGGTAACTAGGTTGGAATTCTTAAATATACACAACTACTATCACCAAAGTAACTAGCTTGTAGCTCTCTAATATACATAGTTACTCTCGCCAAGGTAATCATCTTGTAGCTCTCTAATATACATAGTTACTATCGCCAAGGTAACCAGCTTGGAATTCTGTAATATACACAGCTGCTATCACCAAAGTAACTAGCTTGTAGCTCTCTAATATATATAGTTACTCTCACCAAGGTGACTAGCTTGTAGCTCTCTAATATACATAGTTACTATTACCTAGGTAACTAGGTTGTAGCTCTCTAATATACATAGTTACTATGGCCAAGGTAACCAGCTTGTAGCGCTCTAATATACATAGATCACCAAGGTAACTATCTTGAGTTACATAATGAAATCTAGATTTTGATAACTTTGTATATAAAATCTCTGCCATGGCAACTAGCCAGAGGTTCTAATCACAATCATTTCTGTGGCAGTAAAATGATATACAGAATGTTCTTGTAACAGGCTGGCATCATGACAAGTTTGAACGCCCGAGTTTCCATCCTTGCTGCAGCCAACCCTGCATATGGCCGATATAATCCTAAGAAGACTATAGAGCAGAACATACAACTGCCTGCAGCCCTGTTGTCCAGATTTGATCTTCTTTGGCTGATGCAGGATAAACCTGACCGAGATAATGACCTGAGACTAGCTCAACACATTACATACGTCCACCAGCACAATGTCCAACCTCCAATGACATTCACACCACTTGACATGAAACTGATGAGGTAAGTTTCAGAATTTTGAACAGCTCACTCCTTTGAATCAATTTTACTAAAATTGTGACCTCAAGTCAGGTTGGGTACAGTGATATATTGCCGATAACAATTATGTTAAACAGCAATGAGGATGTTCAGAAAAAATTCAATTTCGGTTGAATTGCTATGAAACCAGAAGGTATGTTGACATGCTTTGTGTTATGATTGAAGAGTTGCTCCCCCTCTGTTACAGGAGATACATTGCCCTATGTAAGAAGAAGCAGCCAGTGATTCCAGAGGGTCTGGCAGAATACATCACAGGGGCTTATGTAGAAATGAGGAAAGAGTCGCGTAATAGTAAGGACACAACCTTCACCTCTGCGCGTACACTACTTGCCATACTTCGTCTGTCTACTGCTCTTGTAAGTTGCAAAGCTTCATTTCTATGCCCTGAATAAATACCTTCTTACATGAACTTTAAATATTACTGCATTCTGACAATGAAATGTTTGTGGTGACACTATCAATTGCAGAAAAACTTACTTTGGTTATGTTTCTATCACAAGGATTGACTTTAATAAGATTTTTGAGGTGAACATGACCACATTTAAGATAAACCAGAAAACTAGAAAAATTTGCAAATGTTGATCTCAATCATTACTCAGAGATAATGAAAAGAGTAATAGACGTGGAAGTTTCGAAAGTTTTCACTTTCCAAGGCCTTTTGATTTCTAGTCAAAGTTGCCAAATTAAGCTTAAGAAGTTGGACAGTGCCATTAAGTAGAGTTTAAGAATATTTGGAAATTTGAAGTCTTTGGTTTCATGACATGAATATCTTTTACAACCATCAGGCAAGACTGCGCCTGGCTGATGCAGTGGAAAAAGAAGATGTTAATGAAGCTATGAGACTCACTGAAATGTCGAAGGATACGCTCAACCCAGCACACGAGGTTCATTCACGGTCAGTATTTTATAAGCACAAGGCAGTGATAATGTATACTGTATCTTAGATAGGATAGGCATCACAATAAACCCCTTTCAATTTGATTATATCTGTATACATTTATTGTATGTAATAATGCAGTTGTTTCTGCCATAATATGATACTGATGTAGAGAGAATTAAAAAATGGATGCAAAGATTTTGAAATGTTTATGTAAAATAAACAATTTAACAAAATTTTGAAACTCATTTGAGAAAAGGACAATGTCATTATCAAATGTCATTATTGTTGTTGGCAGTTTGTTATCTATTCTGAGGGACTGTGCTAAAGGGAGTATTGTATTGAATCAATAATTGAATTGAAGGAGGAGCACCATAATTTGATAGATATTTCAGGGATCATTTCATCTCTACATGAGACACTCATTTTTGTAAAGATTTAAATAATACCCTCATATTTAAAACATAGATGCTGTATGTTATAAAACGTCGTAATTTATTTTTGTAATGAGACATTTTCCTCAAAAAAGGAAGGTAATATCTCGTGCAGAATATTGAATAGTTTATATTTTGTTTTAGTTTTATTATGATACTGTGTCCAGAATCATTAGGATTGTTGTGTCCAGAATCATTAGGATTGTTGTGTCCAGAATCATTAGGATTGTTGTGTCCAGAATCATTAGGATTGTTGTGTCCAGAATCATTAGGATTGTTGTGTCCAGAATCATTAGGATTGTTGGTAAATAACTTCATTTTGTGTCATTCTTTAATTACAGAGCACAAAATGTAACAGATCGTATCTTTAACCTGGTTCGTGAGATGGTTCCGGGTAAGGGTGCTCGAGTAGTAAAGGTTAGCGATGTTATGGAACAGTGTACATCAAAAGGATTTAAGCCTGATCAGGTGGATGCATGTATTGAAGAATACGAGGAGCTGAATGTGTGGCAAGTTAATCAGGCCCATACGAAAATCACCTTCATCTAGAAATGTGTGGCCAGATAAACCAGGATTCTGTTTTAGAAATTTGGATAAATTTAAGTATTTGTGTTTGAGCTGAGACAATACAAACAACTTCAGAATGGAGCTTGTTCAGGGGTAAAACTAACTTTGCCTGAAATTTACAGATACGTCTCTCTTATGTCGGCTTAAGCGAACTGTTTACAAATCTATGCTTAAGACAAATTATTCTGAAAACTTTATATTGTGTCTCAAAATTAGATTTACACATGAAATTTCTTGGACAGAGTTGTTGGAAATTTAAAAAAAACCGAAAAAATGAGAGAGAAATGTATACTGATATACAAAATGTGAGTTACAATTCAGATTCTGTAGTTAATATGGTTCAAAGTCAATTAAAAGAACTTTAACTTATTCATAAGCATATGTAAAACAAAATATTTTGTATCTACACAATGTTTGTACATTAATCTTGATGATATTGTTAGGAAGACACTTTTCGCAGAAATTATTTTGATATGTATATACATGCATGTGAAGCAAGAGTCTTCTTGTTGATGAGGTCAATGTCAGTTGAACTTCGTTTTTAAAGTATTTTGCTTTGTAAATAAAACTATATGAAGAAATTACTGTTGTGATTTATACATGTACAAGTACCAGTAACCAGTTTTTTGTCTCCATCCTTGATAACCCTGTATAGAATAGATCTTAAGGCCAAAGGACAGATTTAATTCATATCAAAACCTCGGCATGGTCTACACCCCAGAAGATTTTGGTGGTCATCGGTCAAGGTTAAAGGTCAAAGACACTTGGATGGAAGAAAAAACCTTGTGTGTATTATCAGGCGGGTGGTATATATATGAGCCCAAGTTGGCTTTGTTTTTATTATACTCCCAGAAATTTTTAAGGGAAGCCTGTAATTGCCTCTGTTTGCATTTCCTTTCATCTCTGGAGCACAACTTTGCCTACTGTTAAGTAAGGATCATAAAACTTTATGTATAGATTGTCATACTAAGGCGATGTGCATTATATAAATTCAGGGCCCTCGACTCCTCAATTACAGAGTTATTAATAGTCCTTTGCCAAAATTTCCTGTCCGAAGCATAACATAATGAAATATATACATAGACCATACTAAGACTATATGCAGTGTACCATATTCAGGGCCTGGGACCCTTAATAAAGTTTTTGCTCTTTGTCTGAAGCACAACTTCAAATTGCAAGCATCTAAACGAAGATAATGAATTTTTGTGTAAACATTGATCATACCGAGACTATGTAGTGTACCAATTTCAGGGCCTTTAATTATGGACTTATTTTTAAAATTTTGTTTCCAGATCATAACTTTGCTTTCATTTAAGCAAGGATAATGAAATTCAGTGTATACTTTGATCAATCAAAAACAATATGCAGTGAATTCTTAATTTCAGAGTGAAAGCCCTTTAATAAAATTTTGTGTCATGACTAACTTTGCTTGCATGGAAATTAGAATAATGAAACTTGATGTATACCTTTGTCATAGTAAGACAATGTGTGCCAAATCAAGAGTTTGTAATCCCTTAATTACAGTTATTGTCCTTAGATAAACGTTTTGTGTCCAGGGCATAACTTTCATTAATCGTGTGATAATGAACCTGGTGTATACATTGGTCATACTAAGGGGATATGCAGTGTATCCATTTCAAGACAACCCATGAATTACATAATATTGATAATATTTTGTGTCCCATAAGTAGTTTTCAGGGAGCATTCATCATACTTGTGATGGTCCATCATCTGTCTATCCATAAACATCCTTGATATTGCTATTTCCCGAGAAGAAGTTTGGAAGGATATTTCTCAAAATTTACATGTAGGTCCCAAGTCGTGCCGAATCATTTTTGAGACTGACCATTCAACAAAATGGCTGACAGGTCTCGAAGTCCTGAATGGATTTTTCTGCTCCCAGTGGTCCCTAGTTGTGAACAGTTGATTTTGGGACTGTTTAGAAAAACAACATGGTAGACTGGTGGCCATCTTGGATTATGACAAAGATTGTTATAGCTATTTCCATATTCATGTTATCCTTACTCACTTGTGCTCTTTTGATTTTTGGACTAGTCTGAAAAACAAATAGGTCTGAGAGGTGGCAGATAGGGAGTTCAGTCATGAATGTTATAGAAAATACAACATTAGTAGTCTGACTAATGGTCGGACATCACCAACGCTGAGTTCTTGGTTGTCATGGATTTGACATATGATCATTCCAATTTAGAAACTTTCAAATTCCATATACTTCGGAGAACTTGGCATTACAAGAGACTCCACTTGCGTTGAAACTGTTGATAACTATTGGTTTTATCCTCCTCGGACCTGTTAGGAAATGTTAACCGATTGTTTTCTACAACATATCTCCTCATAGACTGTTACTTTAAAGGTCACTGGATATTTACAGTATGTACTGGGTAACATTCACAATATTGATTTTCAAAAACGCAGTGTTGAAATTGGTCTAGCTTACCTTAGGGCTTGCCAAACTTTGGTAAGACTCCATTACAAATTTGAAAACGCTGGAAAAACATCTGAACATTAGGTAGTTTAACATGTAGCCTTCCGTTTTGACTTTTCCTATAATTGTTTCAGCCACACCAGTTAACGGTTTCATGCAGTTATTGTGGTCTATCGCCTCTGCCTTTAAGTGTGAGGTGCACTGAAATTAAGGCAATGTGACATTGACCTACAGGTCAAAGAAGTGTTGTTTTTCATTCTGCCTTCTGATATTTCAACTGTTTAGATATAACAATAAAACTTAAATGTATGTATATCAATTGTACAAATATTGATTCTGTCAAATGTTCTTACATTACAAACTAAACTTGATGACACCTGCTGAACTTTAGACAAATGTTATAATATGAAGCAATGTTGCAGTGAGTGGTAGTCCAGCTGTAGTCTGAAATAATCATTTAAAACAAAATTCAATGTCCAAGATCACAATATTGCTATTAAATTGATGACTGATTGGGAGAAACCAGGGCCATGAAACCATCCTCATGCTCGAGCGTAGATTTTGTGCTCAAGCAATTCTTCACCTAGATCATACAAAATAATACAAATGTCAAATTTAAACAATGAATATAAATTTGACTTGAAGTCCATTCAAACTGTTTTTAATCTTTGGCAAAATCAGCCTTATTTATCAATTTCTAACTTAAAAATGACAAAGCACAAAATTCATGCTTGAGCATTAGAACGGTTTCATGAATACAGGACCAAGTCTTTGTTGTATGTCAACAAAATGGAGTGGAATCGAAGGACACTTAGAACCATATATCCATGTGTCTTATAAACACCAGTGTATTGTAACTGATGACCAAGAATGTCATGTGTCTTATGAATACCAATTTCATGGCTAATGACCCAGGTTGTCATGTGTCTTATGAATACCAATGTCATGGCTAATGACCCAGGTTGTCATGTGTCTTGTGAATACCAATTTCATGACTAATGACCCAGGTTGTCATGTGTCTTGTGAATACCAATTTCATACATAATGATCCAGGTTGTCATGTGTCTTATTAGTACCAATTTCATGGCGAATGACCCAGGCTGTCATGTGTCTTGTGAATACCAATTTCATGCATAATGACCCAGATTGTCATGTGTCTTGTGAATACCAATTTCATGCATAATGACCCAGATTGTCATGTGTCTTATGAATACCAATGTCATGGCTAATGACCCAGGTTGTCATGTGTCTTGTGAATACCAATTTCATGACTAATGACCCAGGTTGTCATGTGTCTTGTGAATACCAATTTCATGCATAATGACCCAGATTGTCATGTGTTTTGTGAATACCAATTTCATGCATAATGACCCAGATTGTCATGTGTCTTACAAATACCAATTTCATGGCGAATGACCCAGATTTTCATGTGTCTTGTGAATACCAATTTCATGCATAATGACCCAGATTGTCATGTGTCTTACAAATACCAATTTCATGGCGAATGACCCAGATTTTCATGTGTCTTGTGAATACCAATTTCTTGAATAATGACCCAGATTATCATGTGTCTTATGAATATCAATGTCATGGCTAATGACCCAGGTTGTCATGTGTCTTGTGAATACCAATTTCTTGAATAATGACCCAGATTGTCATGTGTCTTATGAATATCAATGTCATGGCTAATGACCCAGATTTTCATGTGTCTTATGAATACCAATTTCATGACTAATGACCTAGATTGTCATGTGTCTTATGAGTACCAATATCATGGATAATGACCCTGATTACCAGGTGTCTTAAAGTTTATCATGACTTATAATCCAGAATGAGATGTTGCTGTTTCAGTTACCTAGAACAATGACTGCTGTGACTGGATCATCATAAAACACAAAACGAAATGGAATATAAAAAGTACTGAAATTTATTATCAGAATGATTTGCAACAGACACAAGACAGCAGTACATAAGATATGTATACAATGTCAGAAAAGTTGAAAGCAAGCCAGCTAAAACGGAGACCACAGAAAGCCAATGGGTTGGATTACAGCAGGTCACTGTAAACAATATTTTTACATACATCAATACAGGAAAAACAACCAGAACATTATTTCAATCTTCTACACTTGTCACAGAAATAAAATATTCTAATCTTTTTCTTTTTTTTTTTTCATTTTATTTTTCATCTTTCAAATTAAAATATTTTAAAGCTTGAAAAAAAACACTAAATGAAAATACTGGCAATTGACAATATCTGCTTGAAATGCAAGTTATCTCCCCTGAAAAACAAATGTGGAAGCTTTTAACATTATTGCGACAAAACAATAAATTCTTACATATCTCAAACTGTTGCTGAAATAATAACAAATATAATCAAACCTCTATCTTTTATTCGATTATTGGAGAAAATCAATTTGTGCATATATTTCTGTTTAAAAATTAAGTACTTTGCTGGACAATAACCTGATAGGCCGGAATATGTTGATCAACACTCATATGATAATTAAGGCCAAAAAATTATTATACAGCAAAAGCATTACGTAATGTACATTATTCAGCCAAAGTAGGTGTGGCTTCCACAGACAAATCTCATCTATTAAAAGGACTGACTAATTTTATTTTTTTTTTAATGTTCAATTGTTTTGATCGCAGATCTTTGGTTGTAGCAAAACTTATTGCATTTGTAACGATCTTAAAACCTCACTAATTTCTTAGACTAAAATGTAACATTTAAGGTGCATTGTCAAGACCACTACATGCTTGTTCATATAACCAAAATTTAATGAGGATATCATCACTACACCTTTTTTAATGGTAAAATGTTGATTATATAAAAGTTACATTTTTTTTTCCAACAAAAAACTCATGAATGTATAATGAGAACAGATGGAGAATTGAATATAATCAAATCAAAATTACACAGAGTACAATAACGGATGGACTTTCTTAAATGTACCATCAACTGATTATGCTAAAATTTTGAATTTCATTAACAAGTACAAGATTTTTTTTTTAATATCACATCATGAACAGGCACACACACATACTCTCACTCAAGTTCCAAGTCAATTTTTACTACATCTTACTCTGTATGAATGTCTGCCTAAAATGTTATCCATATAATGTCTGAAAAAGAAAACTGAAACACACTTTATCAGTAATCATTAGATGTAAAAATATTTAAAAAATGATTCCTTGATTTACGATACAACACAGAGTGACCGTGTTACTGGGTCTATGATGGTTGATCACTAGATGTAGTAAAAACCAACTTATTTGCACTCATACTGATATATATATATATATATATATTTATTGATATTTACAAAAGATATATACATAGGTGTATACAGTGATACAGACCCCGTCCCTTCTGCCACTTTTTGTTCTAATCCCTCCCCTCACCATATTGATATATTCAATGAGTTCATCACAATCCACAACCACATGCCCCGCCCCACCCTTCACAAACAAAAATGAGGCACGCCCATGACTTTAATACTTTTCGACATTAACTATTCCCAAACATCCGACCCCTTAGTGTCAACTCTAAAGCTTCTAATGAGTAACATTGTGCAGCATGAAAAGCCAACAAAAAACAATAACCCTTGACCTCATGTGACCTTAACCTCTTCATATTTCTCATCACTTTGCCCCTTGAACTTTGAGCACCATACCTTTGTACATAGCTCCCCACAGTGTTAATAGGTCAAGTTTAGAGGTCAACCCATTTAATATCATACAAGTAATCTACCAATACATGTAATTTGACAAAATAACAATAACAATAAGAAAACAAACATTTACAGAGTGTTGGACACAGATTTAACGGGGAAGGATGATAATATAGCTCCTAATTTTCATTTGTGATATCAAAAATTGGTATATTCTAACAAGCTTTTTTGCCTTTTTTACACCTGTTTGGGCTATTCAGTGGACATAAAATACCTTCAAAGATTTGGTGATAAGAACAATACTTTTTACCCTATACAACTTTATAATACGTAAAGCAATGTACTTGTATACATGTACATGTCATAAAATATCATCCAAGGTTGTTATTTTCTTAACTTATATACAGGACAAATTGGAAAGAAATGAACAATATTGAGTGTCCAAGACTAAGTAAAGTGGACATGTACTGGACACGGTCAGAAATTACACGTGTAACATGTTTCTGTCATCTACGTACAATGAGACTACATTAAACTTTGTTAATTACACCACGCTAATCACTAATTACAATATAATAGGATCACAGATCATCTTAGTGTTGCTTCCAACATCATCAACCATACCTAAAACAACTTCCATATAAGGATATCAAATGCAGCCATTGATAACAATTTCCCATCACTAGACAGGAATAATCATTTTTGAAACATTGATGAATTATAAGAAAACAGTTGAGTTTTCAAACTAAGTCTGAGGAAAAATCAATACCTTCATTAGAAATGTTCCAAAATCATAGATCAATATGGCACTGCAGCACAATGGTTCTCCTTATATAGAGTTGTTTATGCTAAAACAAAATAATCCTGAGCTTAGAGCTCTCAAATAAAACAAAATCTCACCATTCAATGGTAAAAACAATCACTGCAACAAGTCACAGACACCAAGACAATGGCCTTACTCTCGCCTTAATCTGACAGTAATGCCATGACAACAACCTTGCTCTCCCCTCAATAGGTCAGAGAAAAAGGACACAACAACCTTATCCTTGTTACAATAGGTCGAAGTGTGGAGTTATGGCACAGTAACCGCCATTAAGGTATTCTCAAATGGACCCAGGAATAATACCAAGACTTTACTGTTACTCTTACCTGGAGGGATCCAGGAGTAACGCAATAACGACCTTACTGTAACCTTGTGGTCTGCAAGTATACTTATTAGCAGAAAAGGAAACAAACAACCAAACTGCGACTCAATTACTGTGAATTGGGAATCAGCTGTTTTTGTGCCTTAAGTATTACATACCAAAAAAATCATCATAACTCTTGTTATGTGACAAAATGATCTCCCTTGAACTGATATATAACTTCAAATTACATACCACTTCATAACAGAAAAGTCAAAATTCAGATCCACATCCTGACACTGAAATTTTACAAGGAAAATACTTTCAAACACTTTAGGCTATATATGCTGCCTTAGTGTGATGTGTCCCCTGGTTCTAAATGGATTTGTAAGGGAGATAACTCTTACACATTACCTCACAGGTGCTGATGTAAGGGAAATAATTCTCACAAGGGTAATCATAGGACTTTGAAATGAGAATCAATAATCATTTACTTTATAGCATAAAACATTCAAATAATCTTGGTACATATGGACAGTATGTTATATCATCACAACTAAATGAACTTCTCTCAGACAAACCTAAGTGACATCTTCATTAAGTATTTACACATCAACATACCAATTCATTATTTTTGTACTGAAAACATAATGATATTTAAACTTCAATTTAAGTCAATCAAATTGCCATTTGGGTTGATTAGAATTTTCTTAAAACTGAAGTCAAAACATTTTTTAATGATAAACAGTTCTTTTTTCTTCAAACAAAATGTATTTTTGATATTGGGCATTGTTTGCTGCTAAGTTCAAACCAAACAAATTTTTCAGTAAACAACAATTTTTTTCCCATATATATCATTATGAATCCTTACAGTTCCTCTGGAGGACACAAGACAAATAGAATATGAATTAGTCATTATAAATCAATTCAACAAAAATCACATTAAATAGCACTTGATTCCGTATTTCGATTTGATTCTCATTTTCTGAAAGTATTATACAAGGAAATTGTGAGATAGATATCATAATGAAGGAAAGTAGTCGTTTTTAAATCAAATCTATTTTCTAAGATTAAAAAAAAAGAATAAAATAATGCAAAAGAGGGTGGAAAAATACTTAAAAGTAGCAGCATTGTTCTCCTATAATTTCATACTCCTTTATTTGAAAATTGAAGTAAAGACTTGTTGATACTGTAAATGTGATCTTTTTTGGTTTGACATAAAGGCAAAAAGTCAGTAGACCTGTCCTAGCTGTCAATTGAAGATGTAGAAATTATCGGTATTTAATTTTGAGACAATGTGATTTAGTCCTTGTACAATACCTGCATTTGAATTTGGTTTGACATAATTATAGGAGTTACTCCCCTTTGACTACTATCAATATTTAAAATCATCAGAATTTTTTATCATTCATAACTCCACCACATCTGATGATTCATAACTCCACCACATCTGAATCAACACCACATCTGATGATTCATAACTCCACCACATCTGATGATAACAAGACAAATACTATTTTTTTTGTTTTCTTTTCATATGAATATGGTTACAGCTACACCAAGGAACATGGCTATCATGGAGACAGAGATGTGCGAGGCTGTACCAGTGTTGTCTCCACCTGGTGGTCTTGTACCTTTGATACCATCATCTGGGTTTGGTGGGTGTCGTGCTGTGGGAAAAAACAAAACAACATCAAAATAATGACAACAACACAGGACTTGCATCATCTGCAATTTATGAATAAAATGCACTTTATGAAAAGTCAGAGCAGACCAGGATAAGATTGTCAAAACAAACATGCTGTGATGTCACTACTACAAGTAGCAGTAGTCTCTGCCTTCAGTATTAAGCATCCATATTTGGTAAATTTAACATTTTAAAAGGCCTTTCCAACATATATTAAATCCATTCTCTAATTCAATGCTACTATGTTTCTAGAAACAGACAAAGAAAGTAGCTACATAAAAAAACTTTCCAAAACAAGAGATCCATGGCCCTCAACAGTCATCTGACTATCAACGGACGGATGGACAGACTATAGATTGTTAGAATCAACTTTTTGAATTAGATAATTAAATGCATACCCCTAATGATGCATCAGACTAAGTTCAATTGAAATCCATTAAGACATGAAGGAGGAGTAGCACTTTAAATATATTGTCTAACGTCCTCAGTCCCCAGGTCCCTAATGCTTGAATCAATTTTCTGAATATAAGAAATTATATTTCCAACACCTGATGATGCATCAGAGCAAATCTGGTTGAAACCAATCCATGTATGAAGGAAAGCATTTTGCAGGCAAATGTTATGCACATGTGATGACAAGGGATGAAGCATGAAAGCAACAGTTCATCTTGACCCTTTGGTCAGATGACCTTAATATCATACAATCAACTATCCTATCTCCTTTACTCAATCAGGCAAAAGTCTTCAATGGATAACGAAACCTCACGAATCCTGTTAATTTAACGATGCCTTCTATTTTAAGTGTGTGTATATGTCCTTTTTTCTTAATATTCATTCAATTACCTGATAGAATCCATAAACTATTACAAGGACAGTAGATAACAAACAAACTGCTAAACACTTTCAAATAACACAGTACATAGAAACCATTGATTGGTCTGCTATGTGAATCAATACAGCTACACTATTCTATATGGATAAGATCCAGGGAGAACGATAATAAAATTTTCCACCGGTGTTAGAAATCTTAGAAATTGTCCAAGTAAAGGGGTGCTAGAAAGCTGGTCCACATTTCAGAACCTAATCAAGTGGTTCAGTAATCCTGCCTATTGCTTAATACATGTCATAGACTTCTCTACAACACAGAATTTTCAGTACAAAAATAATAGGATCTGTTCATCAGGATGTATACAAATTCTACATATGAAATTTCTAATAGGTCTGTCAGTATCCTGACGTATAAATCACAGTTTCGGTTTTAGCAAATCTGTGTTGAACTGAAATAAGTCAATTATAACTGTTTACTATGTAAAATATCAGGACTTTCTTTTACAGGATCTAATTGGCCTGAAAACATTCTAACTGGCCTGAAAACATTCTAACTGGCCTGAAAACATTCTAATTGGCCTGAAAACAATCTAATTGGCCTGAAAACATTCTAACTGGCCTGAAAACATTCTAATTGGCCTGAAAACAATCTAATTGGCCTGAAAACATTCTAATTGGCCTGAAAACAATCTAATTGGCCTGAAAACAATCTAATTGGCCTGAAAACATTCTAACTGGCCTGAAAACAATCTAACTGGCCTGAAAACAATCTAATTGGCCTGAAAACACTCTAACTGGCCTGAAAACAATCTAATTGGCCTAAAAACACTCTAACTGGCCTGAAAACATTCTAACTGGCCTGAAAACAATCTAATTGGCCTGAAAACATTCTAACTGGCCTGAAAACATTCTAATTGGCCTGAAAACATTCTAATTGGCCTGAAAACACTCTAATTGGCCTGGCCTGAAAACACTCTAACTGGCCTGAAAACATTCTAATTGGCCTGAAAACATTCTAATTGGCCTGAAAACAATCTAATTGGTCTGAAAACATTCTAATTGGCCTGAAAACATTCTAACTGGCCTGAAAACATTCTAATTGGCCTGAAAACATTCTAATTGGCCTGAAAACAATCTAATTGGCCTGAAAACATTCTAATTGGCCTGAAAACATTCTAATTGGCCTGAAAACATTCTAACTGGCCTGAAAACAATCTAATTGGCCTGAAAACATTCTAATTGGTCTGAAAACATTCTAACTGGCCTGAAAACATTCTAATTGGCCTGAAAACATTCTAACTGGCCTGAAAACAATCTAATTGGCCTGAAAACATTCTAATTGGTCTGAAAACATTCTAATTGGCCTGAAAACATTCTAACTGGCCTGAAAACATTCTAATTGGCCTGAAAACATTCTAACTGGCCTGAAAACAATCTAATTGGCCTGAAAACATTCTAACTGGCCAGAAAACATTCTAATTGGTCAGAAAACAATCTAATTGGCCTGAAAACATTCTAATTGGTCTGAAAACATTCTAACTGGCCTGAAAACATTCTAATTGGTCTGAAAACATTCTAACTGGCCTGAAAACATTCTAATTGGCCTGAAAACAATCTAACTGGCCTGAAAACATTCTAATTGGCCAGAAAACAATCTAATTGGCCAGAAAACATTCTAACTGGCCTGAAAACAATCTAACTGGCCTGAAAACATTCTAACTGGCCTGAAAACAATCTAACTGGCCTGAAAACATTCTAATTGGCCTGAAAACATTCTAATTGGCCTGAAAACAATCTAATTGGCCTGAAAACATTCTAACTGGCCTGAAAACAATCTAATTGGCCTGAAAACATTCTAACTGGCCTGAAAACATTCTAATTGGCCTGAAAACAATCTAATTGGCCTGAAAACATTCTAATTGGCCTGAAAACAATCTAATTGGCCTGAAAACATTCTAATTGGCCTGAAAACATTCTAATTGGCCTGAAAACATTCTAATTTGCCAGAAAACATTCTAATTGGCCTGAAAACATTCTAATTGGTCAGAAAACATTCTAATTGGCCTGAAAACAATCTAATTGGCCTGAAAACATTCTAATTGGCATGAAAACATTCTAATTGGCCTGAAAACATTCTAACTGGCCTGAAAACAATCTAATTGGCCTGAAAACATTCTAATTGGCCTGAAAACATTCTAATTGGTCAGAAAACAATCTAATTGGCCTGAAAACATTCTAATTGGTCAGAAAACATTCTAATTGGCCTGAAAACAATCCAATTGGCCAGAAAACATTCTAATTTGCCAGAAAACATTCTAACTGGCCTGAAAACATTCTAACTGGCCAGAAAACATTCTAATTTGCCAGAAAACATTCCCACACAAGATTGCCATCTTCAATGAAATACATAAACTGTTATGTGGATAATGGTCAAATCAATCTAAAATCAAAATGTTTTTGTCTCACTTACTTATGACAGGCTCGTGTGGTCTGTCTACACGGTCGTCCGCACTGCCCTCATCTCCTCCAATGGAGTAGACTCCACTACCCGAGCCGTCCAAGTCTTCATCATCAGATGTGAAGCTGTTATGTCCTCGCGAGTCACCACTACCATATTGAAACATTGTGTTTGGGTCCTCAGAATCAGAGAACATCAGTTCTTCCTGTTCACTGTATCGTACCTTGAGGTTCTAGGATGAAATACAGAGCAGTTAGGAAGGTAACCATGTGCTCGGTTTCAGCCAAGTTCAATTTCATGAAGAAAATATTTCATGTGTGTTTAATATGTACAACATAATATACAAGTTAATCATGTGTATTTAATTGTTTGAAACTTGATTGAAAGAATATTTCAGTGCAATGAAAAAAGCTTTATATGAACAGCAATGATGACCTTGACCTTCCACAGCGAAGCATCATTTTAAGAATCTTCATTGCTGATCAATGACCATGACCTTTGACTTATTGAACTTTAAGTTTGGTCAAGTATGATGATTATCTATCCACCAAGTCTTAATCCATGCTCATATCTAATGTTGTTGAAGAAAGTAATCTGTTCTAATGAAATCATCAAAGCTCAAAAAACACTCAAATCATAAAGTGACTGAACAGAACCTCCATGAGTGTCATAGAATCTTTTACTTACCATTTTCATCTGGAAGAGTTTTTCCTTTAGTGTGGTGATCTTTGGGTCCATGTCTATGTTTACAGCTCGTGCGTAGGCTGACAGTCCTTCCACCATGGGATGATACCTGTCACACACACAGAATGTCACATAGCACTACAGGTATTAAAATCACACAAGTTTTATAATAAAACTTTTTTTCTTTAAAAAACTGAAACACCTAAAAAGTAATGATCAATTAAAACTGAAGCAGATGACCTAACCTTTTAGAATTAAATGTCAGAATTGAATTTAATGTTGCCACCAGGAAACATTGCATGAAATGTGATATATTTAAACTGAAACCAATTTCCGTCAGTCAAAACTTATGTGACCTCATTTTGAGGATTCTCAAGTGAAAGGAAATGGTCAGTCTACAGGATAAATCATCAGTCATGTTAGTCACCTGTCTAGTAGGTACCGTGTCTCTAGTAGGTACCCCAGGGGCTTCCATAATTTTGTTAGTAGTAGGCTGTGTAGTGAAAGTAGGAGGCCGGCGAAGCAAGCCACCCGAGCCACAATGCGGAGAGGTGGGGGTTGTCTGCCGTGTACGTGTAGTCGTGTACGGAACATTATTAAGGAACTGGATTGGTGTAGGCGGCCAAATGATCAAAGAAGGCGGTCAAATTGGCCGGCAACCGGCTCTTATGGAAAACCCTGTTACCCTGCCTCTAGTAGGTACCCTATCTCTAGTAGATACCCCGTCTCTAGTAGGCACTCTCTCTAGTAGGTATCCTGTCTCTAGTATGTATCCTGTCTCTAGTAGTTACTCAGACTCTAGTAGGTACCCTGTCTCTTGTAGGTACCCTGTCTCTAGTATGTACCCTGTCTTTAGTAGGTACCCTGGCTCTAGTAGGTACCCGGTCTCTAGTATGTACCCTGTCGCTAGATGGTACCCGGTCTCTAGTATGTACCCTGTCACTAGTAGGTACCCTGTCTCTAGTATGTACCCTGTTTCTAGTAGGTACTCAAGTCTCTAGTAGGTACCCTCTGTAGTAGGTTCCCTGTCTCTAGTAGGTACTCAGTCTCTAGTAGGTACCCTGTCTCTAGTATGTACCCTGTCTCTAGTAGGTACCAACTCTCTATAAACAGTCTAAATACGCCATCTGTCTATATCTATTACCAGTTTATATCTATCATCTCTCTATATCTACCACCTGTCTATAACCATCAACCTGTCTATATCTACCACCTGTCTGTTACTATCATCATTCTATAACCATCAACCTGTCTATATCTACCACCTGTCTGTTACTATCACCTAACCATCAACCTGTCTATATCTACCACCTGTCTGTTACTATCACCTGTCTATAACCATCAACCTGTCTATATCTACCACCTGTCTGTTACTATCACCTGTCTATAACCATCAACCTGTCTATATCTACCACCTGTCTGTTACTATCATCATTCTATAACCATCAACCTGTCTATATCTACCACCTGTCTGTTACTATCACCTGTCTATAACCATCAACCTGTCTATATCTACCACCTGTCTGTTACTATCACCTGTCTATAACCATCAACCTGTCTATATCTACCACCTATCTTTATCTAAGACCTGTCTATAACTACTACATGTCTATAATCACCTCCTATCTACAAATACCACCTGTCTATATCTATCGCCTGCTATCACCTGTCTAAGTAATACCTGTCTATAACTGATACCTGTCTATAACTACTACCTGTCTATAACTGATACCTGTCTATAACTAGTACCTGTCTATAACTGATACCTGTCTATAACTACTACCTGTCTATAACTACTACCTGTCTATAACTAATACCTGTCTATAACTACTACCTGTCTATAACTAGTACCTGTCTATAACTGATACCTGTCTATAACTACTACCTGTCAATAACTAGTCCCTGTCTATAACTGATACCTGTCTATAACTACTACCTGTCTATAACTAATACCTGTCTATAACTACTACCTGTCTATAACTGATACCTGTCTATAACTACTACCTGTCTATAACTGATACCTGTCTATAACTACTACCTGTCTATAACTAATACCTGTCTATAACTACTACCTGTCTATAACTGATACCTGTCTATAACTACCACCTGTCTATAACTGATACCTGTCTATAACTACTACCTGTCTATAACTGATACCTGTCTATAACTACTACTTGTCTATAACTAGTACCAACATATTGTGGATTACCTCCTGTCATTCACCTTTCTCTAGATCCATACTGTCTGTAAGCTAATGAATTATGCACTAGATTTTCTTGTTTAATTTGTACATGCCTTAAATTGTATGTCAATTGGTATACCATACACTGACATATATCTATATTATATTAATCAATTGGTATACAATACATTGACCTATATCTATATTATATTAATCAGTTGGTATACAATACACTGACATATATCTATATTATATTAATCAATTGGTATACAATACATTGACCTATATCTATATTATCTTAATCAGTTGGTATACAATACACTGACATATATCTATATTATATTAATCAATTGGTATACAATACATTGACCTATATCTATATTATATTAATCAGTTGGTATACAATACATTGACCTATATCTATATTATATTAATCAATTGGTATATCCTACATTGACATATATCTAAATTATATTAATCAGTTGGTATACAATACATTGACCTATATCTATATTATATTAATCAGTATATCTATATTATATTAATCAATTGGTATACAATACATTGACCTATATCTATATTATATTAATCAATTGGTATACAATACATTGACCTATATCTATATTATATTAATCAGTTGGTATACAATACACTGACATATATCTATATTATATCAATCAATTGGTATACAATACATTGACCTATATCTATATTATATTAATCAATTGGTATACCATACACCGACATATATCTATATTATATTAATCTTTCCCACCTATGATAAAATCCAACTGTAGCAGTATTATCAAACACTGACTCCAGTCATCATTTTGTCTGATAGTTTCAATGAGATTGTTGAACAAGATCATCTGTTTATTGGATTTACATGTAATACAACAGGAAATAAAAGTATTTCTAACCCTGATTAAGAACAATGAAAATTTACCAGATGCATGTTGGGAGGTGGAATGATAACAGAATAGGCTAGGTGTGACCTTGGCAGTGACCATAGTAACCAGAGAGGTCACACTGGTGTAGAAGATAATTTCTCCCTATTCAGCACTACAAAGGTCACCTGTAAGGTCATGGACCATGACTTCCTGTTGGAGTCAGGGACGGGGAGAAAAAACATTGTACCTTTGATGCTAGATTTGGTTTGCTAGCCCTATCTACATTTTGGCAGAATAATTGGCGTCCCGGAAAAATATACGACACATCCTACACGACAAAATGCATATCATGCTAATTCCAATATTACCATATAGAGAATTACGACTGGATTTCATTGTTGTCTGTTCCACATGCGTGTGTTGCATGGCTGCAGCCATCAAATGCAGCCTGCCATTTCAACAGTGTGACCTGCCGGCTTGAATATCAAATACCTCCAGTGCAAGAACTGCTAGCACAATAATTCATTTGTAGGTTCATATTAACATACAAACTATCAATTCCTCACTGAATCCACAAAGAATGCATCTGTGATCGCAGCGACCACAGTGTTTTCAAATATAGCTCACAACGTCCTGAAGTCACCAGGAAAAATTACACATAAAGACTATAATTTTACAGGATTAAAGCAAAACACACCACAAAGAAGAAGACTTAGCACTTGGCTTAAACAGCCATTGGTGTTGTACTTCATTTTACTAAATATTCCTGATCTAGCTATATAATTTATTAAGTATTATGACTCACAATGTCTTTAGTGGCCACTTGTGTAATTACTTATTAGCTGTGTAAACATCTTTTGACTTCAATTACCATAACAATTTTGTATTTAGAAAAAGGTTTATTATTTTTCATTCTAAAAATCATGCGTTGAAAACTTGTTATGGCTACCTAACATAAAACACTCCATTCCAACTAGATCTGTACATGCTTAAATTCCCCCCTAGCAGCCAAAACAAAGTTTGGTAATTAATACATATATACATCAGCTGACCACTAAACAAATATCAACTTGACCTCCATCTTCTCATAATACAACTACACATCAAATTTCAGTCCAATATTCCCATCTAGCTGTGAGAAAATGAGTAGATTTGTTGAAAGTTTCTTAATTCAAGGTCCATAACTGTTACCCATCAGACGACCAGAATCAAATGATAATTAATATTGTACAACTACATGTCAAATCTAAGATCAATATCTGTCAAAAAAGTAAGAGGGAGAAGTGATTTGTAATAGAATAACGTCCGGGGAACACTGTATTCCACAGCCATTTCATGTCATAGATATTAAAATGATTCACATTTTAATTAATCATGTTTGAATGTGTCATTAATTCTTGTGTACCTCTGATCAAAACCCTGTCATCAATTAAGGGGTACCTTTCAAATGTATCGCTGATCAAAACCTGTCATCAGTTAATGGGTACCTTTCAAATGAGTAATCAATTATTTTGTACTTCTGATTAAAACCCTGTCATCAATTAAGGGGTACCTTTCAAATGAGCTATCCATTCTTCGTGTGCCTTTCAAATCAAACTAAGTAATTTCATATTATTTTTCATATCATTTTTGATATGGACTGTTTTGAAAGGTGAGTGAATCCTTTACAGGAAATGCTGTGTGGTGGTGATGTTACTTTGAGTAGGCTATTTATCTACAATTTTAGGATTTAATTGCCCAGATTTGAGTCTGGCTCTGGATCCAATGCAGTACATTTCCATTGTATAATTTACTTTTCTGATAAACTGACCAAAGTAAAACCAACCTGCAAAGGCAGTCATTACTACAGTGCAAACCCATAAATATTTCAAATCCAACCTAATTTTCAATATTCACTTGGAATAAAAACAAATCTTAGCGGCCAAGATGATTGAATGAACTCATATATTTTTTTTTTTTAATTTGCATTTCAGTCTTAATTATCCACAATAAGTGAGTTTTACAACAGAAGAATAACAATATACTGCCAATAATTAA